CAGCCGTAATTCCACCACAAAAACCAGTTTCTTTATACAATTTCAGGGCAATGGCAAAAGGACCACTTTTAAGAACGTGGCAAAAATAGGGCTCTGGGTATTAACTTTCTCAAAATTTTGTTTGCATACGACATCAAATTGATGCTTCTAGATAAATTAATTTTATAAACATTAAAGGAAGAAATTTAAGGGTTATATGATAAGATGTTGATAAAGAAGAGGATTTCTGGATTGGGAAAAAGTGTCTGAAATGCACTAGATAGAAAACAACTTTGTAATCAACTATGTTTTGATGCAAAAAAGTAATGCATTATTCAATGTTATTTCACCGAATACGCAACATATTTTGAAAATATACACTTAGGGGCCCATGTGCTACGATCCTGATGTTTGCACAGTGCCGTCGGAACCGGGGGATAGGGGGACTAAAGCCCTCCCAATGATTGTCAAACTGTATTCTTTTTTTTCTATAACAGTGTACTACTGAGTGAGATGGAATACAATGGGCAGCCCCTCCCCAAAATGAATTTCGTTTCGACGACACTGTTGCATATTTGTAAACAACAGAGGTTGAATTTAAGGCATGTAATTGCGGCATGGTAGGTAACTTGTTGGTCGCTTGATCTTCTAGACTAGAGTGGAAGGAGGGATGAAAGGTCATCAATAGAAAATTTACCGACAAAGACATAAATTGAAAAGAATTTAGCTGCTATTTCCCTATTGATAGATGATTTTACCAACAAACTAAACACATTTTGTAGACAAACTGAAGATTTACCGACAAAGTATTGGGGGGGGGGGGAGTGTTACACCCTCCTATACCCTCCCCGCTAGCTACGCCCCTGAGAAGGTTGTATCGGCAACAACATCAACCATACAAAAAATGCAACAACACTCACAGGAAAATCGTAACGAAGTCTATTGTTATTGAATGAAAAGCCAGAAGAAAATGAAACACATTACAAATGCACGTGCTTTCTGTAATCGCCAACGAATTCTATACAATTTGATACATCTGTCGCCATTAGATTCTGCACCTGGAATTTGAGCAAATGTCTGTAACAGTGACTGGAAGATCTTGACAATTTAGCTCAAAGATAAAAGGTTCTTCGACATTAAAATATTGCAATTGAATAACTCTTGTCGTGCAAAATTTCTTGAATTGCAGAGTTGTAAAACAATATGGTAATTTCGCTTGGAACCACACAATTTCGCATTGAAATAAATAAGTTTGAGCTTTGCTAAATAATGGCAGAAAATGCTTACTGGAATTAATAAAAAACCGATCTCTTTGTATCAAAACTTCTTTTAGATTCATAAGATATTTGCAATCCTGCAGGGTTGCTCGTTCAGGACCTATTTGTAATTTCTGATACTAAAGAACTTTAATGATAGAAAGATTCGTATTTAAGGAGCTGTTTATGATTGATAATTGATATTTGCAATTGTATTATTTAATGAATCATAACAGTGTTGGTAGGCCTAAAGGAATGCTCCCTATAGTTTATCGGCTAACCACTACACATGAAAGATTCCCTCAGATTTAGGGTTCTTCAGAAGTTTTCAGCAAAACAAATGTCATTAAACCAAGGCGGAGGGAGTTAGTTGCCTAAGGGCATTAGCATTGAAATAATTAAAAGAAATGTCTTTTATATAAATTGTTTATGGGTGAGATCATAAAATCAACTGACACGCAAAGCGAAGACGGTTTATCACAGGAGGAAAACCTTCTTATCTAGCTTAGGCAGAGCTTTTCATTAAAAACGGTTTCTAAAAGGAGGAAATCCTTCGCTGCGTGGATTACAACTTTAAGGGACTTTATTAAATGGTTACAGAAGAAAATCTAAAAAGATGCATTTCTTCTTTGTCATGTAGCTGAAGGTTATTTCATTAAATGGATACAGAAGAATATCTAAACAAATGTTTTTCGGTATGTCATATAGCTTGAGGTCTTTCCTCTCAATGAGTTCAGAAGTAAAACACCGACAATAAATCAGAAGGACCGACCTGACAATCTCAACATTTACATTAAGGTGGTGCCTCAGCCTGCGTTGCCGCTTCAAAGAAGAATAAAGATTGATTTCTTTTCCTTGGTTTTTTATTCCGTTGCACATCGCAAAGAAGGACGATAAAGTTGGGATAATTGAGAATAATGACTTTATAATCAAGTCTCTGGTGGCGTCAGAAGGTCTTGCATGTGTGTTTTTTGAACATTTGTTCGTTTACTGAGGTCGGAAAACACTCTCTGTTGATTTTTTCTCCTGTGAAACAAACATTTATTAAACAAACAAACAATCAAGGTTTGAGATAAAAATTTCCTTTTTTAATCGTTTGTGAGCCATGCTCATTTGAGACATACTTCTTTGTCAAAACTTGTCTCTCTTACGAAACCAAAGCAACAACGTCCATCTATCAAGCCATGGGATTTATGTCACACAGTTAAAACGGTTGTTGCTGCTGCTGTTGGCGGGACTTTCAGCAAGGTGGTCAATTTTCTAGTCGGACTCAGCAGTCCAAATAAGGTTAAATACTCTCAAGTCTGGAACAGCTGCAACAAAAGAGCTTATCTTTTCAATTTATTTGAACATCATGTTTTGAATAATTCATTTTCAATATATTGAAGAGCGTAAATCTTTTTCCAAGGCTATTGACAACTCACATTTTGCCTTCGTCTACTTTAATGTCAAATTCCAAGTACTTGGGTGATTAAACATCTTATGGAAAAAGAATGTCTTCAAAAAATGACCCGATACGAGCAAGGGGGTTAAAGCACAGGGCCTAGTAGCCTGTGCGCAGACTCGATTGGTTTTACCTGAGATAAATCTAGTTGATTGGAAATTTAGTTGATTGGAAAATTCAGTGTTTCTCTCTAAATTTTCCATTCAACTAAATTCATCTCTGGGAGAACCAGTCGAACCTGCGCGCAAGCTAAAGGCCTAGATGTTTTGATACAGACGTTTTAAATCACTTTTCGATCGACTACTCATTGGCTGATTCTGCAATGAGTTGATTAAAAGCTTCGTAGGCCTCCACTGATAGACCAAGATACTTCACTTATTTTTCCCAAATCCCAACTTCAATCTCCATTGTAGATCACTAACCTAGGAGACCAACTCAAGCGGGTCTGAGACAAACTAGTCTCGTTGTGTTTTCTGGCCCTTTCTCTGTGTCAAGTTGGATTTGGGGCAGCTAGTTTTTCGTTTGTTCTTTTACAGTAAAGACAAAAAGCTTTTTCATAGCTCAATATAGTGGATTTAAAATAATTTTTCACTATATGTACCTGTTTTTGAATTCTTAGCAATGGTTTTACTGTTACAAACTCTCCTCGCTTACATCTTTGTCGATTTTGCATTGCTTCTACTTTAAAAGAACTTGTCAGGCTTCTACAAGGCACCATCCTTAAAACTTCCTTGGGCATGCCCTCGCCACCTTGTGTTCTTCTTCGACCAGGTTTTGCAACAGCCTATATAATTATATCACTTAGAGATATTGCTTAGAGATTAGAGTATTGGTGCCTCCTGCTTTACCTTAAACCTTATTCAACATTTATCTTGTATCTTTCTTACTACTTTCAAATTCAATGCAAGGTAATATCCAGGTGTGCAGGCCAAAACTAACTAGACCCCCTCCTAAAAGTCAACATGCAATTTATCCTCTTCATCCATAGTTTAAACCCTTACTCAGTGTGAATACCTACGCGAGAGCATTAAAAAAACAAGACGCGTCGATGTCTGCGTCCGGTGATTTAGGGACAGACGCGGGTGCAAAAAGACTGGCAAAATTGTCTTGATTTTTGTTTCGAGGCTCCAAATATGTTGGTAAAGCTCGAAATGTCAATCGAATCAGGGCTTTTCAGCACACTAACCTGTGATTTAACCAAAAAGTATTAGTCAGTGGAAATTCTGTATGCGAAAAATAAATCAAAGAAATATTACGAAGTATATTTCTCCCGACCACAGCCACGCCCATATTCTTCTCAAAACTGGTGTGTCCAAGTTACGCATGCGTATGGAACAAGCTTATAGCGTCCTGCTTCTGTTTTCTCCAATGTCATTTTTCTCGCGCAGTTCGTATAAAATTTTGCCTTCATTTATGAATGGGGCTTTCTTTTTTAATGATATTTTTAGGAAATAATGTTCATTCTTACAGATTTTGAAGTAATTTTAAGTGCATCAGTTGGGAAAATTATTTCGATCGTTAAAGCTCAAACGTCAATAATTATCTCGTTGAGTACTTATTTTTGTTGTGGCATGATCGAGGTAGATGACTCCCAACGCCTTACGCTTGTTGAAGTATTTGTGTTGTATGTAGAATAGCACATGAAGTCTGTTGAGGAATTTTTGCATCGTATGTCCTTATCGAAAGTGTTTTAAATTGAAAGAGAGTTGAGAATTTCAAGTTGTTTTGTTCCAGTTTCATGTTATTCTGTGATCACGTGGTTCTTCGGTTAAACACGTTTCCTGGCCAGTTAGAGAACAGCTTAGGCCCGCAGTAGACCTCAACAGTTGATCGCGTCTGATTGTTCAAAGCGTGTTTGTTCGTTTACTAATGAAATAGTTTCATCAACGTTTAGCAGTTAGTACAATTATAAGGATGACTTCAAGTGGACTAACAATGTCTTCTTCACTAACTGGCTCTCGACAACCGCCTGCAGTTGTAAGTAAAGCTGTTGTTTGATCTTCATCTTAAAATTTACTAAACTCGTCAATTTCCCCGCCCTTGCTGTTTCCCGCTCAAAAAGAAAACTTCATGAAAGGTTTTGACTTCAGAACTGTATTCAAGCTCACTCCTTTAGTTCATAGAATTGCGACACAGCATTTTGGTTTTGGGTTAAGTATTCATTAATTTCTGTCGAGTCTGTGACCACCACACCTTCCGTTGGAATACTAAATTTTCTCATTGTAAAGGAAACGGGCTTTGTTGACGCCTGCAGCATACACCGAGTTAAGACACTGCCGTTTTTTGTAATTCCAGTAACTTTTCATCCTTTTGTCTTTTAGGCACCGAAAAAGGGCCCTGAAAACTATGTCGGATTTGCGAATTTACCGAATCAAGTGTTCAGAAAAAGTGTAAAGCGCGGGTTTCAATTCACCCTTATGATTGTCGGTGAGTGAAATTTTTTTGTAATTTCCAATGTGCCCCGGTCAAACAGTGGCTCTTATACTAGACAAACGTAGTTCCGTTTCCTTATAAGACAGATCTTACTATTTGTTGGAAGTATTACTTTTTCAGTCAGGTATTATGCTTGACATCTCGACTTTTGCTCATTAATAATTATTGATTGACTGGACATTGTTGTTGGTGATAATCACCTGTCACCTACAAATTCGTCATCAAATGTTGGGGGAAGTTGCACTAACCAGACTTGGAGGTGTCTCGTGTGCAGTGAATTGACGGTCAGGGCGAGTTCCTTTCGAAACTGCTTCGTGAGATCCTTTCATTACAGCTGCTGTTAAGGATCTGGAATTTTTAACCACATTGATTTGTTATGACGGTGACAAATTCTTCATCGCAGCTGTTTATCAGAAGAAAGAACAATTTTAGTTTCACTCTTATGTCAGTGGGTAAGGCGAAAGATTGGTCCAAATCGATAGTTTATATTTTTTGCCTATCCTTATCAGTTATATTGACCCTTGAATGATAAATTTATCAGTTGGGGATGTTGGAATTTTTAAGGTATCAAAACATGAATTTTATTGTGCGCTAACTCGCTGTTTGTCCATTTGGAACAAAAGATGTATTCATCGGCACTTCCGCGTTTTAGTATAATTGTGGTGACACTGTTGACAATGGCTGACTTTCATCAAGTCAGCTATGTTGGCCAGTTACGAAAACAAAATTTTGTTGTTGACTGTTTGAGTTTACAGGAGGAAGAACCTCACAGGATAGGAAGTAGAACAACCTTTGAACTTACTTCTTCTCCCAGAAAGTCACCAACATTTTCCTAGCACCTTTAACTTATTTCATTCTAATAAATTCACCATTTACTCATTGAAAAGCTGTAAGTTAGCCTTTTTTATTTTAAAAATAACGTGTCCCCCAAACTGATAAATATCATAGCACTCACATTAATGATTTTCTGTCAACAAGAGTTGTAATAAAACAATATAAATTGGTGTCTTGGAATAATTTTGCAAAAGTTATCAAATCTTTCCAAAATAGTAGATAGATGCTTTCAGCAATATTTTACCCCTGTGCAAATATTGTATTTTGTTGAGGGTTAAAAGGCTTGTAAGAGGCATTCTTTCTTTTTACCACCATTTATTGTTTTTACTAAAATCTTTGTTACTTCAGGGCAATAATTCCCAAAAATGATATTAGGATGACTGTGCAATCCAATCTAAAGTCTCACTAGAAGATTTTAACTTTCATGTCACAAATGTTTAATGTGCAGCTGTACCAGAGCAAGAGATACACCCAAAACTACACTCCAAAGCCACACTCCAAAACTACACTCCAAAACTACACTCCAAAACTACATTCCAAAGCATTTTTACTAGATACTAATGACAAGGCAATTTATAAATGAATGCAAAAGCTTTCCAGTGTTCCAATAAATTTGTTAAAATCATTGGTTACTAACTTCAAACATGAAAGATTATTGACCTACTATGTTAAAAAATCCAAAATGGTGAATTTTCAATTGAATCAATAAGTTATTGATTGTTGCTATGGGGTAGCCATTGTTCTTAAATCCATAAATGAATTCAAGTATGTAGATGTTTTAGGTAACTCTTAATGCAAAATAGATGACCAGAAAGCTGTGAGTGGTGTATCAATGAGACCAGTAGAAATTATATCCAAACAACAAAGTTCATGTACACACAACAGCGATTTAGCCTGTCAATGAATTTGTTTTGAAAACATCACAGCAAGTTTGCTTGTGGCTGATTTTTCTATTTTATGGAAAGTAGACAACTTATCAATCTCTATTCATGGTTGAAAGATAATAAGGACCCTTTATAGTATGCCGTGTGTTGCTAGAGGGATTCCTGCAAAAGTATCTGCAATCAGTTTATCCATAGAATCATTACTTGCATAGAATGATGAAGAGGAATCAATGTGTGCAGTTGAATTATCAAATTTATAGAAGGAAGACAACTGATTCCTCTGCTTTAAGGGGGCTGTGACCTTCCCACTTTTTATCTAAATGAATGGTTTCAAATCAGTCCAAATCATTTGAATTGATAAGCCTGTAGGTTACAGCAAATACACTGAGCCAAAATCCAAATTCGTAAGCAAAATGTTTGCCACAATGCAGGCTAGAGTGTGTAGAAAGAAACTTTCTTTACATTGATGGCCAGTCCAGTTTGGGAGTTCATGTACACACAACAGCAATTTAGAGTGTCAATTGTTCTTTAAACATTACAACAAGGTGGCTTGAGGCTAATTGAGGCAACCACCTCCCTGCCTGGGTGGCTGCCACTGTTTGGCTTGACACAAGTGTAGTGCTTATTTTGAAAAGTGCAGTTTTGTTTTTCCATTCGCTCTTAAGTGTGGTAAGATTCTGGCCATAATTTTCATCTGAAACATTATTTAGGATAAAATTGCAAATGTTGTCAAGATTCTGTTTTGTTAATTTTTTTGCAAAAAGCCTAGTCAATCCAGTTTAAGTTAATGGGATTTTCAGGATGATTTTGAATTGGACTGGTGATCCTGTAGGACATATGACTCTTGTGGTGTAGTGGTTAAGGTGGTGGACTCATTATCCTAAGGTCATAAATTCAAGACTTGCATTTCCCGCTTATGAGGACTGCACACTTGGGCAAGATTTAACAATTTGTGGCTCTCTTCACTTAGGAGTATAATAAATAAAGTCTCCTGGAGTATAATAAGTCTCCTGGTGTCATTAGGTTTCATCAGCTTGCTTGAATGGAAAATTGAGCACAAATAACATTGTGGATCAAGACATTGCTATATGAATAAAGGTTGATCTCAAAAGTCCCCTTGGTAGATCTTCTGTAACAGCTAAGACGGCAAGGGTAGATTTTGGAACAATGTTTTGGTACCTCGTCAGTATTCCTTCATCAACAATTGGCTACATTTGTCTTGTTTAACTTAATAGATGCAAATGGATTTAATATCCAATTTATAAGATTCATGTTTGACATTGATAATCATGTAAGAAATTTACCAGATACAAACAAGGAGACATAACAAAATCTTGATGTATCTTCCAGGTGAAAGTGGCCTTGGAAAATCAACTCTTCTCAACTCATTGTTTCTGAGTGATTTGTATGTCAACACACCCTACCAAGATGCATCATTACGCCTGTCAAGATCTATGGAGGTAATTCAGTTTTGTTGCACCTTTCAAGGGACAGGGGGCAAACTTGTCCTAACAAGTATCAACACATTAGAGAACGGAGAAACAATAGAAAGTACAACATTAGGAAAGAACCTAATTATAAAGTATTATACAGTGAAACAATGTAAGAAGTGGCTGATTAGATTGCTAGCTAGCTGATTTGTAGTGTGTGAAGCAAAAGAACTGTTTAGGTAGATAAAAGCTAATTTCAAAGCAGATATGTAGGACTAGGGCTCTCTTCTTGTTAGTTAACCTACTCTGAGAGTCCTCCTCAAGAATTCTAGTATTCACTTATTTTATATCACAAATTCTACTTTGGTTGTTTTTGCTCCTTTTATTTTGATTTTGTGTCAATTTTGTTTGTAAGATTTGTAAGAGTGCAAATAGATTAGATTAAATCAAATCATTATTGACAATACAGAAAAGTTTCACTTTTAGGCTTAAAACTAAGTGTATATATAAAACATTATACATGCTTTTATTATTTTAGGTACGGGAATCATCGTGTGAGTTAAAGGAAGGTGGTGTTAGACTACAACTGACAATAGTAGATACACCTGGATTTGGAGACAACATAGATAATACTGATTGGTAGGTCTCATACCAACCTTGCTTTTTCAATTGAAAAGGCACAACCTTTGTATTTGATGATTATGTTTTCGTAATTTTCAGGTGGTGCAAAAGTTTACCACTTTATAGAAGATGTGATAGCAAACTTACTTCTTACTTAAATAAGTAACTTCAAAGATTTTAGATAAATATTTTTTACTTGCTTTTTTATAAGAATCAAGAAACTAGGGTAATGTTTTAGGAGACATAAGGGACTTTTCTCCATTTCTGTCTACAAATACATGATAAAACAGTTGTCTGAGGATGGCTTAGTGGTCACACTTATCTTAGTAGCACTAAGGTCATTTTCTGGGCAGTTAAAGCGTTTTTAAAAAGGTATGGAACAACATTGACCTTCGCGATGTACATAAGTTAATTTTTACTGGGTATTTCTTCTTTCTTGAAGTGGATTAAAGGTCATCATAACAGTTTGTTTTCATTTGACGTTACGTCAGACTCTTATAACAGGAACATTTTTTCACTATCAGAGCGATCGCTCAGGCAAGAGAAATCGGGCAAGCTATGGGCCACTCGCATGGGCTATTTCTTACGAAAAGGCCTGAAGTATCTGTGGTTTGAGTGCCTGACATAACCAAACTTTCACTTACAATGAGCAGCTCTCTGCAATTCTAGGCATAGAAATTACACTGAGAGAAAGGACCAGGCTACTGCTTAATAAGCACAGCTTCCTTGTGTCCTTAAAAGCTTCCTTCAGAAGCTAGTAGAAACAAAAACAAAAAGAAATACAAACGTTTTACAATAACCTTTGCCATAAGAACATGATAATTTCATTGTATTTTGTAAACTTTTAATTTAATTTGATAATAATTATGAACAGTCTATTTTCCAAGAGTTTCTATCAGGAATAATATATCTATTTCATGTTGTTTCAGCTGGAATGCAGTTATAAAATATATTGATAACAAGTTTGAAGATTACTTAAACGCAGAGTCAAGAGTCAATAGAACATCATTTCAAGATACACGAGTTCATTGCTGTCTGTATTTCATAGCACCAACTGGCCATGGGTATGTTAAATTTTAGCCATTTTGCATAAATATCCAAAGTTATGTATTTATAGTGCTTGTGCTAGTTTTCAGGATAAAGAGTAGTGCTGCCATTTCTTCTGATGAAAGGGAATTGTCTTTGATGATGAATTAGTTGTTTATTTGGGTACAGTGGAAAGGATTGTTTACCAAAAAATTTTCAAGCAAACTTGAATGTTAATGACAAGGTTTGCTGGAGGTGAAAGTTTTCAATCAACTATAATGAAATGCTGCAAATCTTAACCAGTGTAAAGAGTTGGCAATTAAACTCAGCACAAGGAACGTCTGAGTATATTCTAGCACCACATTTGTGCTGTAATCCTTGGGCTCTTAGTGTGTACGCTTTGATAATCATATGTATGCATTTTAAGTGTTATTATTCATGAATGCTCGAAGCAGAATCCGGCTTTGCCTTTTTTGTCTAACTGAGGCCTTTGTTTTAGAAGATTCAATAGTTACAATACATTTTCCCTAAAGTCTTACGTTTTTAAATATTTTTTTAAATTTATTTAGGATATCGTTATAGGTTTAAACCATAAAGAAAAAACTTTCCACCACTGTTTCAAAGTTATGGCACTTAAATTTGATTGGTACTTTAATCAAAAAATCACTCCCTACACTCCCCTCTGCTTCATAATCTCTCCTAAGCATTTTATTGTTTAGGCCCCAAGCTAAGTATAAGTTTTCCTTTGTTTTTATTCCAATATACTCAAAAGATATTGGATTTAAGACTTAATAAAAATGCTTTCATCTTTTTCTCTTAAATTTCCAGTTTTCTTGTTTTTAACTTCAGAATACCCTGAGACTTAATCCATGGTCATCAAAACAACTGGAGCTCAATTTGATGTAGTTTAACGAATACTTAGAATTAATCCTTTCCTAAAGGTTTTTACAAGAGATTAGATGCTCTGTTGTTTTGATTCATTGTTTTGGAAGGCTTGTATGCATAGCGGAAATCGTTTTTCCATTTTAATTAGATTTTTCTGACCGCGTAGGCTGTGTACAACATTTTAAAGGCACCTCATAGGTGGAAGATCTTTATTTTAAACGACTCTGTACTAACTAAATGTTTCTCAAAGCATGTGAATTTTGAATTTGTGCATAAGAATTGATTTTGTAGCAAAGGGCTTGATCTCTTAGCAAGTTATGCTTTGGTTCAGGGCTTTTTTAACATAGCAACTAGCGGGGAATTGCGCCTCCAGCCCCAGAAATTTTCTATTAATTTAAACAATAGATTATTGTCCTCCTTTTTTGAATTTAGAACTTAATTTCCTTTCTAAGCTTTGGTTCATAAAACAGGACGGGTCTTACTTGCAACTCCGAATTCTACGCTTGTGAAAATCAGGAAACTTTGGTCATTAGGCAATTTTTTAAGAATCTATAATTTTCTTGGATCTAATGAGTTAATGAACCCCTTCAGAGTCACATGCCATCATTTACTCAAAGACTTTCCTTAGCGATTTCAGTTGTGGGTTCCTTCATTCGTGTTGAAATGGTGACAATAGGCTATTACCTTCAAAAGAGAAATGTCATTTGAGCAGGGAAGGGTTGGAGGGGCTGTTGCCCTCCAAGTTAGTGTATGTTAAAAAGTCACCCAACCTACCCAAGTTTATTTCAAGAAATTTTCGATTTTACAGGATATTCTCGTATTTGTATAATCTTTATTTATCATTTTTAGATTGAAGCCTCTCGATATCGAATTTATGAAAAAACTACACGGAAAGGTGCGTCTTTTATTCTTATTTTTAACGTTTTTGCCCATCAATTTCCAGAGGAAAATGATACAATAATAGGCTAGGGTTTTGGAAACATGAAAAGAGCTCTAGTGGGACATTGCCTATCTTGTGTGTGTGTGTGTGTGGTTGAAGAAGTTCCCCCGTTGTGCGTAAAGAATGAATGATTAAGAAAGATTTTATTACAAGATTTGTACAGTCAAAAGACCGAATTCATTAAAAATACGCGTTTATTTTATTTAGTTTTCCTGCCAATAATAACATCTTGGAATGTGTTGTGACTTAGGTCATGTCGTTTTGTGTGCCCATATTATTCTCTATTTTGATGTTTTTACAGTTTTCAAATTTAAGGTGCCGCCATCTTGATAAGGCATTGACCTTTCCTCAAAAAGTACCCGACTATTCTTTTTTCAATATTTTCCGAATTTCAATATTTTCCGAATTGATGTATAAAGCAAAGCTATTTTCACAAAGGTCCTTAGAAAATGTACACTATTCACTATTCTTGCTTTAACAATCTTAAGCGCCAAAAAGCTCCTTTGTCTAGCCTTTCTTTCCAAGACTTTAATTTTTTTTGTTTATCGTTAATTTTGCAGGTCAACATCGTACCCGTTATTGCAAAGGCAGACACGTTAACAGGAGAAGAATGTCAAAAATTTAAGCAAAGAGTAAGTAGAGGATTATCAAATTGATATGTTTATTCTTTGATTGATCACCAATTTGTAAAATTCATGCTAAGGTCGCTGACCTAGCCACGAAAGCCAGTGCAAGATCAAGCTTCTATATATGAATGATGTTATACATGTATGAATTTACGATACCTCTAAAGATGCGATATGATATCTTGATATAATAAAATCCACAGAAAGAGAGGTAGTAATTTAGAGCTGTCCTGTTCTATACACCAAAAGCGTGCACAGCTATGCCTATATGGCATCGAGCACCTTAAGAGAGACCTGTCGAACAATAATTCACATTATGAATCACGGCCCCCAAGAGCATTTCTGGGGCCTGGGACAAAAAGACGACGGGGCCCGTGGTGACGTCATGGAAACATTTGGGGCCCCTCTAAGCCCAGGGCCTGGGACAATCTGCCCCCTTGACCCTATCATCGGGCTTTTTACGAACCATTTTATATGTAGTCCCGAGAAAGCTTTGTAATGCTAACCACAAAACAGGACCCAGTTGCCGAGCTGCTTGTAAATAGAAATTTGTTTATAATGACATGGAAATTAAGTTGAACACTTCGATGTCATCTTCGTTTATCCACTTATCATTGTTTTGAATTGTGCTTTCGTTGGTAAAAGACCGGCATTCTAGTGAAATCTGTTTGGGTTTTAATTTCACTGTTAAACTTTAAAAAAATTGTCATTTTTTATAAATCTTTAAACTCAATTTAATCAAATTTGTTTCACATAGAGATAATCATTTTGTTTGTTTTATATTGTTGACATTTCGTCAAATGCAATGATTCTGACTGCTAATTTCGGTTGGCTTTGCTCGAATGGTCCATTCATTGTCTTGAATGGTTTTTAGGGAACGCTCTTGATCCTAAGAAAGTTTTTTTGGAGGTCAAAGAGGACAAAGTTATGAAATGTAGACAAGAAAAGGCTGTTGCAGAATTTGATTTATCAATTTTTGTGCTGTCATGTGACGATTTTTCGTTTGTTGCAGATATTGAAGGAGATCACGGACCAGAATATCAATATATACAAATTCCCACCACTAGGAGATGACGAGTCGGAAAGTGAATTAATCGAACTCAGGGTAAGAATGCACATGCCTATTGTCGTTTTTTCTCGATGTGAGAGCGAGTTGTCTTTTTGATGAAAGACAGGACCGAAGTAATTATTAAATTTGGGGTCTACTGTATCGCTTACCTGGCAAAAAAGTGCAATGTAATATTTAGTGTAAACGTTTTTGAAAGTAACCAGCAGATCGTTATGTCAGTTTTGAAAATAACCTATCATGTCGGACCTCCACGGGTGCAAGGAAAGGTTCTGACTTAGCGAATGTCCTACTTATCTGGAGAACTACTTTTGACTTGTAAAAGGAAGAATCACTGCCAAGATTACTTGGAACGCCAAACAGTTTGAGTCCGACTCAGTAAAAGTCCGAGTTATCCGGGTTAAAGTATTCAACTGTACTTTGTTTTCATTTGGATCCGGTATCTTTTCAGATATTCATTATTCAAAAATACTTTGCTGCATTGTAAATGACTACATTTTTCTGACGATTTGTTAGTTTATTTCATTTTGTTTGTTTTATTCTCATTTGTTTGTTTGTTTGTTATTTAAAGGAACGAATCCCATTTGCTGTTGTCGGTAGCAACGCTGTCATCGAAGTTGGCGGGAAGAAGATCAGGGGGCGAAAATACCCTTGGGGTATCGTAGAGGGTAAGTTTTTCTATATATGCAATGTTTCATTATGCAATACAATTGAAGAGAAAACTGAACGATGAACTTTTAGCAAAAGTCTTTTCATATATTTATATCCTTCATGTATTAGTATTCATCTCTGATTGATTCTTTTCAGTTGAGAATATCGAGCACTGTGACTTCATTGCATTACGAAATCTTTTAATAAGGTGAGCAATTCCTGTTAAAAAAAGTTTTGTTTTTATTTTACTCAAATTGCAGTCTCTGGCCTAGCTAATAAAAGTGGCTTGATAACCACCAAATTGAAATTTATGAGTTGATTAAAGGCTAGCACATGGCAGTAGTAACTGTATGGCTCACTTCTCGATGCGTACTAAAGGAAATCGACATGTACTAAAGAGGCTCAGCCGCCTGTCAATCAAATATTGTCCAATTAAAAGCCGTTTGAGTGGTATAACACTTATCAGCAAATTTTGATTGACAATTGACTTAAGCCTTCAAGGTTTTCTCAGAGAAGGGATGCCCCTGGGTCCTGCCTTTGCCTGTTTAGTTGTTAGCATTTTTATGACTTCTACAATAAAAAGGTTGACCGTTGTTCTCTTGCTCGATGCATTGAACCCGCTTAGACCAAGTCAAATACGTCTATTTGTGCCTTTGACCCAAGAACATACACTGCCCATTTCACACGTACTTCCACATTCCGCTAATTATACACCGTGCATTGCCCGAAGCCCCTACTCCCGTCTTTATTTTGGTAGCAGATATCAGCATAAACTGGATGAATGGGGATGCATTTTCTCGGGACAGTCTGTCCTGGATTGTATGCAGAGTTAACTTTCAATCGTATTTTAGGACCCACATGCAAGACCTTATTGACGTGACTAACGATGTCCATTATGAGAATTACCGCAGCCAGCGACTGTCAGTACTCACGGGAGGAGGGACAACGATCACCACGAGGTCTGTTTTGCATATTCTTGTGCTTACTGCTTTTGTATGTGGGTCTGATTATGTAGTTTTACCAGAAAGGCATGATAGAGCTTTCAATGAGCTGTTTGTTCGGTAATAGCGACATCAAGTTGAAATTCTTATCGTAAAAAGAGGGTGAAACGTTTATTTACCCGAAATGCTTTTTTATGGTCATATTCCTTAAAAGTTTTCAAACTATATTTTTCATCAAATCGAAAATACAAGCAAAATCAATATAAAAATTAATCCATAGAAAAAAATAGTTGGAGATCCAAATCAAAGCTCAAACTTGTCTTCCACAGAATTTAGGAGAAATTTCCATTACGAAACCGCAATTCACATTAGTGTTAAGTTTCAAGATTCTGGCGTAGCATGTTTTTAATTTGCAATAATCTTTATATTTAGTTAAAAATGAAAAATTTTCCTTAGTGATAGTTTTACTGTTGAAACTAGAAATTTTGTTAATAATCATATTTCTTCATAACTTGCTGTTTGTTCTGCCTATTAACAAAGCACGTCATCTAATGACCGCCAACCCCAGTCAAACCGTGCCAGTTGAACAAAACCCTGTTTCCTGCCCTTTAGAGCGAAAATAAATTGTACCGTCTTCCCTTGACAGTGCTGCCTTGAATATCAACCCGGTTGAACAGCTAGAAAAGGACAAGGAAGAACAAGAAAGAAAACTGAAGAAAATGGAGAAGGAAATGGAACAAGTTTTCGAAATGAAAGTGAAAGAAAAGAAAAAGAAACTGAAGGATTCAGAGGGAGAGGTAAGTAAGAAGCCTTTAGGCCTTGAACAGCAAGATCTAACTAATGCCCGACTTCTTCCCTTTTCCTCTGCCCGTTTATTTAGAACGTTTGTCGCGCCCTTTGCAGCTTCCTAAAGCGGCAAAGTTGCTCTGGCATTTGCATCACATATGGTATTAAATCAAGGCATCGTGTGGTAATTATCTGGACAGCTGTTTGTGCTCTTTCTCTGTTTTAAGAACTTTATGAAGTAGTTTTGTTAATCTCTTGTTTAGAAATAGCATTTTTCGCCTTCTATCAATGTGAGTGGCTCCTCAAGACTCCATTTTTGAAACTGTGCTGCTGGACGTCTAACGTGTTGACTTCTTATATTCAGTTTAATCGAAAGTACGAAATCACAGCACGTGGTCTGGAACAACAGACAAAAGAGATCGAGGAAAAGAAGAAGCTGCTTGAAAGAGAACGAGAGGAGTTCGAAAGCCATTACAACCTGCAAGATGGACTCAACAATTCCAGGTCCTCCAGTAAATCTTCTTTGAAGTAAGTTGTAAAATGCAAGGGCTGGGGCGAGTGACGTAAGCAAACGCCTTCATGTCAAGGTCAGCCTAGGAAATTTAAAAAAGGGATTAGGAAAATCCTACCAATAAATTCAATTTTTATATATTTTTCAACTTTGGAAACATGTTGAAATTTTTCAGTCTATAAATTTTATTTCAATTTTAGAATTAGCCATATTTATTAGCTATCTTTATTGGTTGATCTTGACATGTCGTCTAAGTGTCCCTGTCTGCGAATTTAGTGAATGTCACCTTCCTCAAACCCTTGCATATAACCACTAAATTATAAAGCACTTGGCGTCTACATTAAATTTAAATAGCTCAAATTATTCGCACTTCAAGCACTTAAATTAAATTAGATAAATTAAGCATTCACCATCCACGCATAAATTTCATTAAAATTACACGCTTAACACTAATAATGAATTAAACCTAACTATATTCATATGAATCTAATTTTCAATAAATTTTCATACAGAAAATTGCATGCAATTTGTAAATGTAATTTTTGTTTCGTTTTGTTTTAACACGCAAATTTTAAAGTCAAAACTAGCTTAATTTGCAGATAAATGCACATTAAAGCTTAATTTCTAATGCCAATTAGGTAGGTTGTCATCAATCGATGATTTGCAACATGGGGTAAGGGGCAGGATTGAAACGGTGTAAGGGACGGGATGGGTAGATAATGGAAGGTGGGTAATGGAAGGTGGTGCGTAATGTAGGGTGATTGACGGAAAGGAGATAGGTAACAGAAGGGGTGGGTAATGGAATAGAGTGGTTAACGAAAGGAAGATGTGTAATGTAAAGAAGATTTGTAGAATACCAACTTTCAAATGCTGACGCAAATACATAAACGCATTCACTTTAATATTAAGTCGCCAGATATTTTAATTTCTGCCTTGTCTGTGGAACATTTGCTCCAGACTGATTTGTTGGCCTAGCATTTCAAAATGGTGATTTTTACGCGTATTTACGATTGCATAGCTTGCTTAAACATCTAAAACGTTGCAGCATTGCAATTAACTGCTGCTTAGGAATTTCAGAAGGAATTGCTTTCATAGCATGAAAAACAATATCTACCTAGAATAGTGTAATTCAAGAGTGTTTTGTGGATGGTGTATCAACTGAAGGAAATAATGAAATCGCTGCTCCGTATCTTGTCTTGAGCATCTAGTACTTGAACCTCGTCTTGTAATTTATTTTTTGAGTCTCGACCTCAAAAAGAGGCACAGGAATGCTGGCTACCGCAAACGTAACTATGTCTTGTGGGGAGGAGTGTTTTGCAGACTGGCAACGTTATAACGCTCTGATGATTGATTGTGTTGTTTGATTTAATTGGCAATGTTTCCTTCTTTAGTTCATGTCCAAAGTTCGGCTCGTTGAGGCGCAATAAATCAGGCAGTGATAAAAATAGTAATGGTGTGTCTCGTAGCTCCTCTTTGAAATGGAGCTTTGGAAGAAGAAATAAAAACAGTTAAATTTAAAGATTATAAAAGGTAAAAAATAGAATATGCATTTCTGATCATAAAATGCACTTTCGTTGTTTGAATTTACTTGAAAGATTCTTGCAAATTTCTTAAATTAGAAATTTTTTTCAAACGCTAAACATTCACCCAACAGAACAGATGATTAAAACGCAAAAATTCCTAATTCACTAACCCTGCACGTTGCACTTCAGTCGAGCTATTTTGTTTTTTTTTGAGATTTTACTTAATATGTTTTTTACAGCAACACGTTTATGCCCTCCTTCATCCTCACCATTGTTTCTTTATTATTGGCACGTTGTTTATTTTTTATCGTCTTGATTATAGAATCAGCCTAGATTAGAAATAACTAGATTAGTTAAAGACAAAATAAGTGGATGTTTATCTTTCTTCACTATTAAAGGAAGTCAAGCCTACACAAAACTGCCAAATATTCCCCGTGAGTATCTCGAATTATGAGAAATCAGCCTCTGATTACGTAGACATCTCTTTGCTTTCCTTCCCAAGATCCTTCCTTTCTCGTGGTGGGTGTTATTTTGGCAATATCGTTCGATGTCTTCTCTGTCTTAAAAACTTGCAGAAATGCCTTACTGCTGATTTGATTTAAACAAAACAAGTTCAGCTTCCTTTAGTTTTATTACTAAGAAGAATTATTTCTAGAATCAATTGATCCGAGTCTGAAAAGTGTTAATTCTTCCTCCGGACAATTTTCCGAAGCTTAGGAAACCTTCCTCATAAAACAAAAAAAATAAGGTGGTATTTAGGCGTGGCACTTTACTTTATTTTATCGGCCTTTCTCACAGAACATTTGGCCGCCATGTTTTCCTTTGCCCCCCAACACCTATAATTGCCAAACCGTTGAGTTTTTCTTCCATTAAATCGATTATCTTAGCACGTGTGAGCCTCAATTCAAATGTCAAAGCAAGTTAAATCGGCTTAAATCCCATTGAGCGTTTATATAGAAACCTTTTTTATCGATAAGAGATGCTTTGCAAAATTGCTGACTAGATCAACTGATCAACATTGGTTGTATTTCTGTGAGGCTTAAAAGGTAAATCAAGGAAAGCGTTTTCTCTTTCAGGCAGATAAGACGAAACATGAACACCCACTTTCATAATATCAGTCTATAAACTCACGAAATGTATAATTCTAGTCAATTAACAATCTTTCACTTAAATCTAAGTTCATTTAATACGCAATCTTTGCGTCACTAACCAACTAACACCTTGCAATGATTTAAAATGCAATTGATGTTGTGATTTTTGATTGATCTTATGAATGCCATTCATAATTATCATCATGATTTTTGATCCTTTGAAACATTCGCCTGTCTGGCCTTGATTTTGTGCCAAATTAGTTGTTGCGAATAATTGAAATCAATATTTGTTTGTTTTTTATTTATTATCGATAATTAACTCTAAAAATTGTTACAAATTTTGATAACTTGGCTTTGCGCGGTGAAATTGTTTTTATAAAGTCATTCACATAAATCCATTTTTTCTGGTAGTTGTAATTTTATGGAAGTTTGCACCCGATTCAAGCGATTGTCATGATCTTTAAATGCTTAATTTCTTCAACATCTGTAGGGAGGACATGAAAAAAGACAAAAAGAAAGGAAAGAAGTCGCATTTGTTTTAATGCTTGCATGGAAAATAAAGTCTTCAATACGTTTAGTACCAGGAAACGAGGCTCGTCACAACATACATGAAGCAGTCTACAATAATACCCAAACGTATCATATAAAGATTGGTAAGACGAAGATATGGACGAAATGAAATGAATTCTTCTGTTAAGATTGTTGTATCGTAGTACTATGTTAAAATGTGCCATTTTTGTCCGTCGACAGTTTTCCAGATCTCACCTTATGCTCTATGCTTAAACGTGACAGTCCTTTGATAAACATAGATGTGAATGCTGCCATGTCAATCTTAACTGTTGAGGTTATTCTGTTAATGTGACCCAGCTCCTAAAGAAATTTCCCATTCAAGGCCATCTCTGCTCAAAGCTTTTTTCTAGAGGATAGGTTGAATTGAGATTTGGGTAGCTGGATCCAAGCAAGCTTATAGAACGGCTTAAAATAGCACGAAATTAAATTACCCTCTTCGTGGTAGCTATCAAAGCGCAAAGTACTCACGTGACGTCATATGCATTGTTTTGCTGATGTAAGTTACACAGAAGGCAATAGGCTGCAGCTGTCTGCAAACAGATAGGGATATAACCAATCCACACTAGTTTTAGTTTAATATCCATTCAAGAATATTGTGATAAGTGTCCTTCCAATTGGGCGATTGAATTTTCTGGAGAGCAATCAATCTGTTCCGGGGAAGTAAAGCTTGTGGTAACTTTGTTGAATGATATCATGTTAGCCATAACGTAAATGAAAGTTAACCACAGTCAGCATAATTTACTGGGTAAAACGCTTCTCAAACTATCACGATAGACGAACAAGAGCCTTCGACACCAGAATAGTGAGCAAAGAACCTTCAGAAACCAGCTTAGTCTTTAAGCTTCAATTTTAAGTCTAGTCATTCTCATGGTGACTCATGAAAGAGTGGATTCCAGATATTGAAGTAAGTTGCCAGTCTTAGAATGGAGTTGCTGTATTTGATGATGTAATGCAAGAGTAATTTAATCATAGGTCTATAACCTATAGGTCTATTTGTATCATCTATTTGTATAGCATGAAGGCTTCTCTTTACTGCTTGCGCAAAATGATCAAAAGTGTCATCTGTGTAATCATTATTATTATTATTATTACCTAGAATTCGTTTCAGTTGTTTTTGATTTAAATGAATATATGAATAAACTTGCAAAAGAGAGTGCTCAATTTTTTTCTTTTCATTCCTTACTAACATCGGGATATAAATTTCTTGAGTGATGACGTCATAAAATTCTAGTTGGAATTTTTGAATTTGGATCCCATAACCTGAAAGAGTATCATGAATATGCATCAGTTAAATGTGTTACGAATTGGCTTAGATAAAATTTCACTATGTGCTGCCCGTCTGGCAATTTGCGAGGCATGAAGACGGAAATCTCGTGTTTGGTCGTGTAATTCAATTTCTTGCGCATATATTTACTGCTTAATATGACCGTCGCTCTTGGTTTGTTAACTTTTAATGAAACATGGATTTTTTGTCAGGTAACAAAATTGCTTACACAGATGTGACAATCAGTGAAATATAACTTGACGATCAGTGCAACGAGCAATAATGCAAAACTAGGTCAGCACAAGTTATTATTTTTGGCACGGTAAATAGTAGTTTAGATAGCAGAAATTTAGGTCCTTCGCGTTCATTGCGCATCGAACAAATTTTGTACTTTGGCTGGAAAATTCGTAATTTTTCCAAGTTTTTCTATTGTCTATGACAAAATTCAAGGTCGATGAAATATGGAATCATTAAATTCCTTAGCTTCAAATTTTTGAGTTGCTATAATTTTGGACCAACTAGTCTTTCTTAGAAGTTGTTGATATGGGAGAAATTTTTTTAGGGTTTATCGAAAATTCACGGGGGAGGGGGGGGGTTACCTTAAAATGTTTGAAGGTACGGAGACGTGCCATTATTTAGGGGTACCTCTTTTCTGAAAAGTGTGGAAGTATCGGTATCAGTTTTAGAAACTTGTGTGAAACTATGGGTACCATTTGAAGGAACATGCAGAATTGAGGAAATATTGCAAAATTATTAGAAGGGAGATTTAGCATTAACAAAATGAATGACCAGTTAGAAATAAAACTATGAAATATGTGTAATATTGAGATTTTGGGGCATAGAACACGTAAAATTTGTTTAATGATTTTTTATTTGCTTTAAAAATGTTATTTGCTTTGCGGAATTATGGGCATAGTTTTATCATGTTTGCGGAATTATGGGTCACATTTTTTCAGACATTTGCGGAATTGTGGGTCCAAATTTTTAACCAAAATGGCACGTCCCCCGTCAAAAATTAGGCTTAGTTTACGCCCCGAGATCGAAACTTTACTGAAATCCGTGAGCAAATGTTATGATGGTTCTTTTACTAGGAGTCTTCGTTCTTTCATACGAATCTGTTTAGTTCAAATTTGGACACCCAGTGTTTTAGTATTCAGGGTTTTCAAATGCAAAATGAATTCAGCGGAAGATTCCAAGGTCTTGATTGCCGAAACCCTGTTGTAGTTGGGTTCATCAACTTGTTCTTCCTGCTGTGATCAAAGAGCATTATCTCATTCCAGAAGCAAACTTCAGCAATGGTCAGCTAATTTACAGTCTTTTGTAGTGGTAAATTCAGCGTTAGTGACACCAAAGCCACCCCCTCCTTACGATTTATTGTTGGCAAGCTATCTGCAGTAATCTTTCCTCACAGAAAAATAACAATCAATTTTCCTGTTCTTGTACCCTTGTAACTAATCCAAGCTAGAATATGAGTACAGAATAGTAAGAGAAGCCTGAAAAGAACGAACATTGAGCAAAAGTCATCGCAACGCAGTTTTAAGATATTCAAATTCAATAGTTCGTTTGTTATTTGCCCTCTTAGATAGTTATTAAATACGTAGCCAGTAACTTGGCTAGTGAGCTACTTAGATAGTTCGTGAGTTCGTTAGTTCGTGAGTTTATTTGTTTGTTTGTTTGTTTGTTTGTTTGTGAGTTAGTTAATTAGTTAGTTGATTAGTTAGTTAGTTAATTGGTTCGTTTGTTAGTTAGTTAGTTAGTTAGCTAGCTAGTAAGTTAGGTAGGTAGTTAGGTAGTTAGTTTTTTAGTTAGTTAGTTGATTAACTAGTTTATTTAATTAGTGACTTTGCTAGTTAGTTAGCTAATCAGTTATGAGGTTCGTTTGTTACTTAGTTAGTAAGTTACTTAGTTAGTGGCAAAGGGAGGGCAAGACAGAAACAAAATCTGCAAGAAGCATAACGTAACTTAAGCAAATATGAGTCATATTAATAGGAACATTTTTCTTTAAAAATGGATAAAGATGCCAGTGAAACGAAGTATTCAACGTGTTGTGCATAGAGTTGGCTAGCCTGCATCACAGACCAAAAACTTCCGTGAAGTGTATGGTCTGTGATGCAGGCTAAGAGTTGGCTTCGTAGACGAGAAGCAAACAAAATATTCGCTTACGAAGAGTTTGACCAGGATATGCACACTTAATTATTTGTGAAAGAATGACATTGCTTAAAATAAAGTTTTATTGTAAGCGAGAGTATATTTGGATATCGAATCTCCTACTTCCAAATGTAATTAAATACACTGCATAATTGAATCAAACCTGATGTTTTACGTGGTGTCCTCCTTCACAGCATTCCGTTTTCGTACGAAATTGAGCCAAAACAGTCTTTCAGCCACACCCCAACGCAGTGAACATGACTTTCTATTTTCGCCTTTCTCCACTCTTTCTTAATCGATTTATCATTTTCCTTACAGTGACTGGTTATTCTGCCCCTTACTTTACTAGCCATATTTAAATAAAATTAAACAAGCTTTTGTATTGGAAACTTTGAACATGAAATGCGGAATAGCTTCCTTTGTTGTATGTATGTGTCCGCCTTTTTGTGTTTGTGCAATCTTAAAATAATGGAATGGTTATTATAAGACTTTATACATTTAGAAAAACCCCAAATGCAAAATATTTGCGTTGTCCTGTAACTTCATCAAGGATTTGACTTCTTAAAATCTAACTTTAAATTAAAGGGCGGACACTGCTGACCCCACACAACTTTAGGCCGTTAGATTCTTTAAGACTTTCTGTTCACCTACCCTGGGTACCAGACTCACTATATAAAGTGAGTCTGGTACCCAGGGTACTGTTCACCTAAAACCCTTGTCAAAGGAACCAACTGTATGAAAACAAAACCTTCCGGGTAAAATTCAATCTAAAAACAAAGCTATATGATTTAAAGAACGATATTTTTATTCAAATACTAATAAGCAAAGCAAATTTTCCATGTCTCTAAGTTTTCAACAAATCTTCCACATGCGAATAAAACAATCGTGATTTCAACATCTCCTTGATTTTGTGATCTACTGTCCTAAATTCAATGTGCTATCCCCCAAGTACTGCAGAAAATGATTTTGCATACAAACTAGTCGATAACTTCCCCATGGCCTAAAGACAAGTATAGGAGTTGGGGTTGTGTTTGTAGTAAGTGCCTTTTACTGATAATTGCATTAAACTTAATCTTCGACTCCGTTTGCTGTAAATTTTTATTTTCTTGTGTATTTGAACTACTTTCCATCTTCTTTGCCCTCAATGAAATCATTGAAAATTTTATCTTGTTTGTAACTTATGCATGTTTTTCCTCTCAGTTGCGTCATCGTCAGAAAAATGTCCTTTTTGAATCTCAATTGCGTAATTGAATTTCTACTAGTAGAAGTTTCTAAATTCTACAGCAAGACAGAATGACTATTGGTTTCAGATCTGAGTTTTACGCTTAATGACATCATCAAGCAGCTGTTCCAACAATTTCATAATATTTTATCAAAACTGTAAATAATTGCCGATTCTCATCACCGTCAGTGCCATGAAACTTCCTGAAATTTGCAGACGTTGATAATAGGTGAGCTTTTCGTGGCCTAGGGATTATCTGCGGCTATTTATACACTGTTTCTCAAAATGAAGCAATATTTTCTTTCATTTAAAAGTATCTTCAGAACTCATGCCAATGCAGTAGACTCTAGTTACTGTGTCACACAAAAAATTAGCTTGAAAATTTGCGATGGTTAACAGAGTATGACTGTAATTTTGCGTATTAAGATCAAAATTCTGGTTTATTTTAACTGGTAGAGTGTGACGGGAAGCGGAGTCGACTGCATTTCTCTATCTCTATGCGGTCCTCCTCTGATTCTGGCAAATCTTGATTTCAAGGCGGTCGGAGCAAATGTTTTGTAGAAGGCAGCGGGAAAACTTAGTTCTTTTAATCAGGCCAAATTTCAGCAATCAAGTTTCTGTAATGAAAATCACTTACAAGATGATAATGACAGGGTTATCTTTATTTTTTCTAAAAGCCAAAGTTTTCTTTGTTTTAAGGAGATTTACTTCCTAGTGGAAACACCTTAGTGTTATTGTTAGACCCCCGTATTTGCGCCTTCGTAGAGGTCGTTCTGACAATCAAAACATCCAGACGTGATTTCTGTCCGAAGATGTCGGACGTTGCAGTTCTTGTAGAAGAAGATGAGCTGGAAAGAGAGAAGATGAACGGTATGCTCATCAATGTTGCACCTTTGCATGGCATAGAGAATGTTGGATTTGAGAGTGAAGTATCTGAAAATGCATCGAAAGTTGGAGCAAGCAGGCAAGATACGGCCCGAAATGATGATGAGCAAACAGATTTCATCATGGCATTGTTTGTTGTCGTTTTTGATACACGACATGGTAAATATAATTAGATACGTTTTTCGAAAGAGTTAGACTAATTGTTATTAAATCGCCTTCAGGAAGAAGCTGCTCACTTAATTTCATATCAACTGTTCTTAATTCTTCTTGTTCATGGTCGTAAATGTATCATGTTCATGTTTTTCAGCTCCCGATTTCAGCAAAAATATACGACATTTTATATCATTTGCCTAAAATAACCCTTACATCCTAGCCAACGCAATCAGATCTGGTCTGTTATTATATCAGTAATGTTCCTATCAGAATCTGAAAAATAACATGTTAGAGTTCCCACAATTTTTTTTCGTTTGGTTAATGTTGCAATAAATGATAACGGATAGTCATTAAAGCTCTTTGTATTATTTATGAATGACTTGCCAGTATAGAATGTTTCAAATAAAAGAAGCCGAAGGTTATAGACGCCCAAAACATGTAAAGATAAGCAGATGAGTGAAAGGTTTTTACGTATCAAAACATCTGATAAGAACGTACAGAAGCAAAACTTACACACAGACAGCTAGGGGGTTGGTTAGAATTTGAGACAAAAGCAAAAGAATATTCTGTAACTCTGCTACACTACCAAACTTTAGCCCACTACTGTAGTAAAGAAACCTGAATAGAAAAGATTTTCTAGGGCTAGGGCTGAAATTAAAACCAAGCAAATGTTTTCCTCTTTGCTTTCTATAACTGACAATATTGCAATGGAGCATAAAGAAAGTCAGGTCCTTTCAACTCTCTTAATAACTTTCATTCAATTAACATGGTCAAAAGGCATAAAACCACATGAAAAGCTGCTTGAAAAACATGGATTAAGTATTCCTTTTGACTGTTGCCAACACAAGGCAAGTCACTCCCCTGTGCTTCTTAAACTGACTTTTGCTCACCTACTCTTCCATCTTGGCTTATGTGGATTGATGATAATATTATATCAGCATCTTCCCCTCTTTTCATGCAAAAAAGATATAAAATGTTCTGAAGAGGCATAAAACCCTTCATCTTTCAATATTCTTTGTCCCAATGCATCAATATTCACATGGTTAAATCTATAACAAACTCACCTTTAATCTCAGGTCAAGCCCTCTTCCAAACATTATTTCTGTCCTTTTCTCTTATGATAAATAGACCTGCCTTCAATTGTGAAATTTAGTCCTTTAATCCAAGTTTAAGGCCAATGTTATTATCAACCAACAGTTCACTAAATAAACTTCTGGATATTCTTACCATTTAGCTTTTTCTAAAGCTCTTTCAGCTATAGGGGGTATGCCTTTGCTCATATGAAATGAGGCAATATTAAAAGGAACTGATAATACAGATACAGTTGCCCTTCTGGTATTCAAACATAATTAGCAGTTTGTTTCTCATCATAATTTTACTGATAGAAGGTTGTAAATATTGAGAAAAATCTATGATGTTGGGCTTTTTTGCAGTTTCAAGCATTTATATTTTCCTCATAGTCAGTGATTGCTTTAGAGATGGTTTTATGATATACCTGGTATATTACTGTTTTTTATAATTTTTTCATTCCAGGAAACGAAATTGAATGGCATATACCAGACTGCATTGATCTTGAAGGGGTTGAATTTAAAGCATTGGTCAGTGGTTCACACACTGTCTCTCAAGATTTTGTGTAAGGTTTCTCTAAATATTTTAAAGCCAATTTAGATTTTGGTGCCACAAAATTTGAATCTGAACCAATCAATTGCGTCATTGTTCTTCTCGTGTTACCTTTGATTCACATGTGGATGTAAATTTTCTGCTTACTTTTGGTTATTTTCCAGCGTTTATATTTCCAAAGAGTGTAAAGCCCAAAAGTACTTCAGTATGCAATGTTATTTTGTTTCATTTCAGATTTGTAAACCATTAGTTTTCTTTTTCTTCTTATTGCCAAGTTTTGACATGTAATGTTTGAGATCTCCTCGCCTACTTATTTCCAGTTTATACACATGCTCAATTACCTAAGCAAAAAGAGAATTTCCACGCATTTCCTTAACATAAACAACTTAAAAAATGGAGTTTGTGCACTAGTTAAGAACATTTAACAACTGCCTATTCAATTACCCATCTTTAAGCTAGATTTTATCAGGGTACACTCATTTTTTCACAAGAAACATAGGTCGATGTTGAGTACTCCAGTTTCTTAATGTTCTGGAAATTTCAATACTCATTGTTTCTCAAGAGTTTCTTAATTATGATGTCATGAATGATGTTATGAAATGTTTCTGACCTTTTTTATCATGTCGAGAAATTTGCTTCTGTTCTGATGCTGTATTTAGAGGTCTGAACAGTTTCTTAATTTTTTTTGCTTCGAGTACTGAAGTTTCTTAATTTTTTTTACTGTCCAGTACTCGTTTCTTATAGACAGTTTCTTTTTAAAAAATGAGTGTATATTACTTGGAAGTTAATTCATTTTGGAAACGTTTGCTGTTATTAATTCATAATTTCCAATCCAGGTATTTCAAACATAGAGGATTTTATGGAGTTAGCTGCTTTGGGAAAATGTCTGTTGCTAACGAAGAAGAAAGACATGCAAGAATGAAATCAGTTGGTGTTATTTGTAAAGATTACACATCACTACATGAACACATGTCATTTTTGGAAGAGCAAGTTAGGTATGCTTTTAATGCTCTTTATCGGTTAATTGTTTCTTGCTTTTCAAAATGTGTCTTATATCACATTCTAGAGCCAATATTTCGGTTAAATAACTAGTTTTTAATATTTTAGTTATTAGCCAAAATATTAGATTTTTTACCTCTCCTGCAGTGTAAATTATGCCAAGAAAAGAGTTACAGAAATTACAAAGACTATTTCTCTGCTTTCATACTGTGTGTCAGCTTAAACTTTGAGTCCTCCCTTGAACACCATGTTTTTTGTACCGTTGTGTATTTATTTCCCTTGATTGTTGTTTCATTAAGCATTGTTTTTTAAGGCAACAACTCACAAGACCAGCAAGTTACAAAGAGCTGGTTGATTATTATAATGAATTTCGACAGTGTCCTCATAAAAACAATACTACAGTGTTATTGGAAAGAAACCATTTACATGCTGTAGATGAACTGCCAATTTTAAAGGTAAGGGACAGAGCAATTGTGTTATAAAAATTTATTACGAAAATAACCAAAAAATAGAGATGCCATGTGAAGGTTTTTATACTTGTGTGTTTTTCAAAGCTCTGATTGACTAAAATTTATATGTTACCAACTGGACTTTTGCTCATTTTTGCCAGTCATCAATTGTCTCTTCTGAGTTTTAAGCAAGTGAGCCAAGCAATAGCTTTTGTTGAAATTTGCTTTAGAAAGCAGTTGGGGTAGGAAGCAGTTTTGGGGGGTAATTACCTCTTATTTGGGTCAAACCATAGTGTAAATTTTTGAATGAATACTTGAATTTTTTAAGCACAAATTGTGAACTATATCGTATCATTTTGATTGTAATCAGCACCTCTCTTTTTACAGATAACACATCCAGCTGGATGTTTTAGTCAATTTATAAAATATTTTGGAGAGAAAATTTTTATTCTTTGGAAACTGATTTTGCTGCAAAGTAGGATTCTGTTTTTTGCACCTCCTCCTGCTGGGATATCGTCATATAGAGGTGAATATGTCTTATGTTTATTTTGAAACATGATTTGAATATCCATGCACCCTTAACATTCATCCACAATAAAGATCTTAGGAACTTGTTTTTCAAAGTAATTGCTACAGTCTTTATCACTGTAGCCCTACCATATTGATGATCTTAAAAGTAATTGATGTCATATAGGCAGACTTGTATATTTTTGTAGAACAATACGGTACTATGTTCTCTAATGAAATCATCAGGCTTAATGTACAGTGAATGTAATTTTCACAGAATCGTTGATTGGTGACAAAGAAAACATCTTTTCCTAACATTAAAGGCCTTTTTGATTTAAGAATTGCATGTTGCTTGACATTTGTATGCGTATTGAGCAGGGTTGCCAGGCGCATGCGTAAGTTTTAAGCCAAATCGTTGTCCGAAAAAAGCCAAAATAAGCCAAATTTGTTCTGCTCCGAAAAAGCCAATAAAAAGACAAAAAAGCCAATTAAATATCTAAGAAGGCAAATTCATTTAATTTGGTGGATTGCCTCGAGGGCCGTATCGTGTAAATTCAATTAAAAAAAATTTAGCCAGGGCGCAGACTGCATTATATTGTTTTAAAAATATTATTGTTACAAAGAAAGTTGATTGAACGACGCTTTTTAAATGATGTCTTGTTGCTATTAAAAATATTCCGGTGGAGGGGTGCAGGTTTCCTACCTCTTGAAAGCCGTTTCCCCAAGTTATGGAAATAGGAAAATTGAGAATATTGTTTTTGAGAATATTGAAAATATTGAGAATATTGAAAATATTGAGAATATTGAAAATATTGAGAATATTGAAAATATTGAGAATATTGAAAATATTGAGAATATTGAAAATTGTTTTCTTGGACATAAAAAAAGCCAAAATTAAGCCAAAAAGCCAAACTATTTTTCCAAATCCAAACAGCATTTAAAAAAGCCAAAATTGACATATTTGGCTTAAAAAAAGCCAAGTTGGCAACCCTGGTATTGAGTGGCAGATTAAAGGAGGGGGGCAACTAGGGGCAGTTGACCCTCCCTTGACGAGTTGAAGCAAGTCTTGCACCCCTTTTTTTGGAAATTGTGTGCCCCTTTTGAAGAATGAGAATCAGGTGAAAAAGAGTCTGAGACCAATAGATTAATTTGCTTCAAGGATTACCTCAAAGTTTTGTTGTTTATTCGGAAAATGGATCTGAAATTGTTGTATACAGCGCACTCTGGTCATCAATTCTTGAAAATTTTTCAGTGCCCCCACTACCAACTGCCCCTCGTTCAAATTTGCTCTGGATCCGCCCCTGTGCATCTCCACAACCAAGTGTACCTTCACTATATTGAATATTTCCTTTTATTGTTAACACCTCACTAATTTGCTGTGTTTCAATCATTTTCTAGTTTATTGTACCTGTCTTCTTGGGAGTCACGCAGTCCCATTCGTAGCTGACTGGAATCCAAATCCACTTTTCTCAATTAATGTCACAGACATACCAATGCTGACTTCGAAAGAGCAGTATGTAGCATGTAAGCAACCTATTCTACTTTTCTGAAATAATCTTTGGGTATTGGGAAACATTTCTTGTGGACAACATTCATGCTGGAAGGGTATACTTCGTGTTTCAGTACAATGCTTGGTCTTTTCATGACAGACAAAAATATGGTACATAATGGGAGTAGGAAATTCATTTTTGCTTTTAGGGGGCCTTTGTGGTAATTCTTTTGTGCTGGTAAGAGGGAAATTTGCAACTATAGTTGGATGCTTTAAAGTCAATGGCAAATGGAATCATGACCTCCAAATCCACCTCAAACGATTTTTTTCACGCTGTCACTTCTTTAGTTGCTATGAAATGCAAGATAAGAAAACGAAATAATTTTTCTACCCATCAGGTCAATTATAAACTTTTCTTTCATAATCCAAGTAAAATTGATAACAGCACAGAGACACGTGTAAGCGATAAACAAATGGAAATGAGATTCATTTCACATAAAATTAAATTTATAATCAATGCTAAAGAAGATTAGCGTGTTGCGATAAACTTTACGGTTTTCAAGTCAACATTGAACAGTTGTTGGCAAAACTCGTAGACGATTTCAGTGTAGTTGTGAATTGTGAAGATTTTGGAGTTAAATTTTGCTTTTCCTTGCTTGTTTTGATGTCAATTTTTCTTTTGCACATTTAAATCTATTCATTGCTACAGGACGACGAGAATCTCCTACGGGCGTTAGTTTAGAAAAAATTGCCACCTTCTAGGGGCATCGGGAGTCTAAGAGCTGAACTTTAAGATGGTTTACTGTAATACATACGTGAAAAGGCCAGTCGAGACTCGCTGTTTTGTTGTTCTTTCCCCCTTACTCAACCTCAAACTTATGCATTTGAAATAGCCAATAGGGGAAACCTGGTATGGGGTGGTTTGGGGGCATGGTATGGCCTGGCAAAATACTATGAAAATGTTTAAAGGACGTGGCAGATACATCCTTCATGTCCTGTTGATGTTCTTATATCTGTCATATTATTGGCAAGTCCTAATATATTTCTGTCTTTGTCAAGTTTATCTTTTTTAGGTCTGCCGCAATAGACTTTTCAGGAGCCCTAGATAATTTTGACACTCCTCAGGGTATAAATATCGGTTAATGTCCAATTTAGTTTAACTTATCTAGTTTATTGAAAACGTATGATTATAGTCGTTTTGACGACCTTCATGATCACGTTCACTTATTTTGGTTGCTAGGGAGTGCAACATAGAGAAACGCAGATATTTTTTAACATTAATTAAACTAACGTATCAGAAATAATGGTTTTATTTTTCTTTTTGAAATCTATTGATAATCAAATCAGAACACGTAAAACGTAATATTATTCAAAAGCCTTAGATAACCTTCTTTGCTGAGACAAAACGTGACTGACTACGAGGAACAATTCACTCTTGCAAACAGCGTACAAGATTTTCTCAAAACAAAAGGATTTCCAGGGATTTCCATAGAGAACAATATGATTTCCACAAAAGATTTTCATAGATTTCATAGATTACCTCTCGATCTGGTGAGACGACCAGGGCTCGACTCGTCGTTGCTCTACAACTGAGCTACTTATAGCATAAATTCTTAAACCCGTTTCTTTCATTGATATATTTACTTTGCAAAACAGTAAACTTAAATTTATTACCGAGGCCTTTTTTGTCTTAGGTGATTCAACAATTTCAACAATGAATCATGGCATTCGTTAGCGGTCTTATATAACATATAAAATGACGACGCAGACACTTAACTGTAATATGGTATCAGCGTCTTACGATAATCGTTCTTTTCCTGTTTGTTTAAGGTACAACTGAAAAAATATTTGAGACCAAGACTGACGTTTATGATGCTTATGTTGACAATCAAAATTTAAGGCTGAGTGAACGGCTGGCTTTGATCGGAAAAATAAACAATGGAGACAAGAAACGCTACCAACAGTTGTGTATGTACAGGTGGGTGTCTGAACAAGGAATAATTCAGTCATTTAATTGCGGAACTAGCCAGTGCATTTCATAATATTGCGGGGTCACGATCAAAGAGAGCCAAAATATTTCAACATTTCCTTTTTTCAGTGCTGGTTCATAATTTAGATAATTGTAAGCTGTGAGGGTTCATAGCATAAGAATAAAAACAATTAAAACAATTCAGATTTTATATTTTATTCTTCTTATTATATCTTACTCTATTTTTGAGAGTGACGTGGAGTAAATATGGTTTTGTTCCAAGCTCGTTAAAGACTTTATTTGACCTTTTAAGTTTCATGATAAATAGACTAACAGACAACAGTTTTGCACTTGATTTAAATTTAATTTCGAAAGGAAAATCTGGCGTGTGTCTTTGAAAGTGGATGAACAATGCTTACAAGAGGCCCTACAAATTTTTTCATCTTCCAAAATTAGAGACCTTCGATGGACTTAGTCTCTAAATCACTTGAACTGTTTGGCTGTTTTCTTTTAAACCTAAAATCAAAATACTTGATCACACTTCCCTCGCTTCTCAGCCTCTTCTTTTCCCTTGTAAGGGCTTTGCTTAGGGTCCCCTGGGCCTGCCCCTACCACTACCAGCTAAGAAGGAATTTCTCAAGTTTAAACTACAGAGTTGAATCAATTTATTAACACAAGACTCTCTTGTTCAGCTGGCCTAATATTTGTCGCCTAGCACTCAGTAAAGCACTGTTGAAGTTATAATAATTGAAGGGCTTTCTGATTTGATGACTAGATGCTAAAATCGTTCTTGCTTGCGTCTTATGCCAATTTCTACATTATTTTATCTATTTATCGTATTTTGTTATATCATTAAGATGGCCTACTTTTCAAGCATCCGCTAGAGAATATTTATGAAAAGGATTAATCGTTTTATACAAGCATACACGAGCCCTTCGTCTGACACTCTTTAGAGTATGAAACGCCAAGATAATTATCGACTACTCCAAGCTAGGAAATATAAATACCCTGTTGTGGGTCGAAATAGGCCAATCAGAAATACGAACACATAGATGTTAAGGTTGCCCAGTTAGTGCCGCTTCCATGTTGAAAATTTTACCAATAAATATCCAAAATTCAAGGTTTTTAAAATGTTTCCTGCCTCACTTATCCGCCCAATTTGCTTGAATACTTTCTATTTCTTCAATTTATAAGTCTCAAAAACGTTTGATTGTTTTAGTGATGAAGAATTCGTGAGTGGAAAAGAAGTATATGATGATGAAACTTTATACACAAGGTGAGTCACTGCAATTGTACTTTGTAGGTTTAAATTTTTGATTTTTCAAGCTTTGAAACTTCTTATGTTTGGCATAAGGATGGCCCGATTGACTGTTAATGAATTCCCCTTTTTTGAAATCCTTCAGGAACTTCACCAACTTTTCCACTAGAATCAATTTTGGTCAAAATCTAGTTTTTTGTTAAAAGTTCACTAAGGTAATCACCAGGAGGGCCTGGGTACAACTCGATATTCATAGTATTCAGAAGCCAATCTTTCAATGCCAGGTAGAAACGAATTAAATTTTGAAGGCTTGTATTTGCTACAGAAAACGAAATCGTTATTAAATCTAATCGAATCGACTGTGAAAATTTAGCTTCCTTATCCGAGTTCTATTTTTTATTGTAAATTCTATTTTGTTGTCAACTTCACTAAAATCACCTTTAGGTTAGATTAAATATGAGTTTGTAATAATCGGAGAGAGGAGTCTTGGCCTAGTCAAAAGTTTTAAAAAACTAAGGGAGATAATAAACAAGGGTTCAGTGTCTGAAATATTTGTAGAATAGATGTTGGCTCCCTCCACCTCCACCTTTAAGCAGAGGAAATAGCAATTCAATTGAGCGAATGATCCTGATGCATACAACATAAATTTACATGAAATTATAAATTGAATTATATTAAATTGATACATAAAATACACTGAAACCTCGATACATCCCAAGTCTTTATCGAGTTTTATTTGTTTCTGAAACAGTCTTTAGATACATGATTTCTTTACAGATTCTTTGTAGAAGCAAACAACAGACTGTTCAAGGTATTATACGAAATTGCCAGTCACGAGGATCGAACTTTAACGGCTGAAGCAGTTTATGAAATGGGACTGGATCCATACGGTGATCGATTGTTTATAGCTCTTATTGTCGATCTATACGATATACACGTCATCTTACCAAATGTCTCCTGTTGTTGATAACTAACGGATATTCATAGTTATTCTCAACTATCATTTACTCATACACTCAGTGGCAGGTAGAGACACTCTTTGTCAAAATCAAGAGATGTCAAATAGGGGATTTGTGTGACAAGTATTGGTAAATTTTTCATTTGCAGTCATTTGTCACCACAGTTTCAGTTTTAAAGCATAATACCGTTTTGTTCTCGACCTTTTCATGCCTGTTGTAGACAAACTAACTTTCCAAAATGACTTTTGTCTCTTTGCTGTCCTCTACCACTCCCCTGATCATGCACCTCAAATCCAATACCCTTTTGCATTGATGCAAAGTCTTCAATGTATTTTAGCAAGTTCAGTCACCTCCTAAAATGGTTGCAAGATTCTCTTTGAAGGGGCATTCATTTTCTTCCACCCTGTCTTATCGCAATTCTCGTAGCAATCGAATTTTAAACGCTATAATTGCAATCTTTTGAAATCTATGCTTTCAGAATAACCTGAATATTTGTTTGTTAGCTGCATAAGTCTGATATGATTAATATACAGTCGAACCCCGTTAAGTCGTGCCCTGAATAAGCCAAACTTTTGCTTAGTTGTGTAATTTCCTTATCCACCCCTCCCCCTTTGAAGCCCTGACTTTTTTGTAAAGTTGAAACCTCGCCAACCCTTTTGGTATATTACACTAGTCCGAGGAATACCTTCCTTCTTTCTTAGTGAAATATTTCTATTCGCCTTGTCCTTTCTTAACCCCAGTGTAAAATACTGAACAGCCCTTTAGCACAATAATTCCATAGCCACAATTTATGTTTTGTACAAAGCCCTTGTAGTTATGTTTATGTATTTTAGAATTAAGTAATTTGGGTAGGTAGATGATAATTGCACGTTTTAAACGTAAATCATTGTCTGAAAAATTAATTTGAATAATTTTAGTAAGTTTGTTTTACCGGTGGTTTTAAATTTCAATATTGATAATAGGTTTTGGGTAATAATATTAAGTATTTTTGGCGTAAAGCTCGAAGTTGTGATGATGATTTCCAAACAATTATGTGAGGAGATTTATTGGCCTTTAAACATTTATTTTTAATGTATTCCTTTTTATCATTTGGAGCTGAAAAAATAACACAACGTTTTTCACAGATATAATGTTTGAAATTTTTATGAAGTTTGGAAAAAGATGTAGAGTTTAAACGTATATACTGCTCTCAGCCAAACGTATTCGATAACTTGATCTTCTCGGCCGAAAATATCGCGTTAACTAGACGTAAATAATTTTCAGGAAAATTAAACTTTACCAACACAAATCCTCTCGAGTTTTTATGCACACTTTTATGCAAGCACTTAATCGAATTTTCTGCATCTTAGAGACCACAGCATATTATAAATTTTAGAGCATTCCTTTTGTATCCTTGCAAAAATTTGTGCTTTTGAAATAATTTTCGAAATAACCGTTCACAAAAATCTCTTTTATTTTACCCCGCATAATATCAAATAGAAGCACGAAGTTTTCCCACGAATATTTATCGATCTTAGGGGAAGTAACTGATTTGTTTATGTATTTCTGTCGATTTTGAAGTATATTTATAAGTTAATATCTTTCAGATGTGAGTATTTACTTAATAAAGGGTTATTATCAACGTCTATTTTCAGTTGATTAATGTACTTTTCGCTGAATAAAATAATTTTTGCTATTTTGAAATTAATAAGAGTCAACAGAATTTTAGAATTGTTTTTAGCTGTATGGTAGGCAATAATGCGATGGCTTTATCAAGCAGTCAAGCTTCTTATCTTGAAAAATGTCGTTTTGAGTTGGGGAATGCTGTGGTGAGAAAAGTTTAAAAAGGGAAGGCATTTATGTAAATGAAATGTTCGTTGATGTACTAAACAATCTTGAACTTTGTTGATAAGTAATAAATTGCAGTTAAGTAATGCATTCGTAATCATATTTCCTTTATGGAAGTTCACTGGAACTTATTTTGTATGCTCGCAAACGTACTTTCGGGAAACCCATATGAACCAGTAGCCATAGTTAATGAACCAGTAGTAAATACATGGTTAATATTTGTAATTATCCGATAAGAATTATGAAATATTTGTTAATCGTTTTTAAAAGTCTCTTTTATGAAAAATTATCTAAGAAACCACAATGAAGACAGAAGCAATGCTATGATGAATTCAAGCATCGATGTCGAAGCTACACCATCATAAAAGGCGATTCTGAAACGAGCAATGAAGAATTTTTTGGTATCATATACCTCCTTTGCGGAAATGAATTGTTTATTCATTGTTTTATTCCCATGAGACAAAAAGTAATAAAAGTGGCACTGACGCACTTATGCAGCATGAAAACAAGTTGGAACAAGGATGCATTGTGAAAAATTGGTGCAAAACTCATGGTTGTGATAATGTCCTTATTGTTTTCGAGATACAACAAAGCAGTGCACAGAGAAATGCAAAGAAGTTTTTTGGGTGTGTCCGAAGTCGTGAGATTTGGCCTGTGTCTCTAGGTCTGGTACAGAGATGTGTGTTTAACAGATTGTTTGCTGAAATGGCGAAACCTGTTTCTTTCTTTCATCTGTTTCTTCTAAATTTGGTACGCTTTAGGATGCAATTTCAACGATTCTTTGTTTTCGAAAGGAAGGCGCGAACGTTCATTGCGAAATTCTTTAGTTCAACTGGATGGATAATATTGGAAAACGCAAAGAATTTGTAAGTTATGCACCTTGTAGAATTTTCTTTCCATTTATGGTATTACGTATCACCAAAGGCAGCAACAATTTGGTGTCATATACCTTTGATGCGCATCTAGTGTCATAGAGATCTTCACGCTTTGTCTTTTAAGCATAACAGAAAAGATTATCAGGCAACTCCAGTTGCTCTGCTCTTGCGAAATAGCACAGTTGCCTGAGGATCGAGTTAGATGTTAAAATGTGCGTTGCAGCATAGAAATTTCCTATTCTTACACCACGCCGTTACAGCTTTGCCTATACGGTATCTTAAACCATTTGAAAGATCGTTAGAACATTAATTTTCATTACATTTTTACTATGATGTTATAAATAAGCTTGGAATGTAGTGTTGAAATTTTCGAAGGAATTCAAATTGCGCCCATCTGCTAAGAAGCATACAGCCATCAACTTTGAAGTCTTTTCTCTAACGAGAACAACGAGGTAAAGTAACAAAAAGGAAGAAATGGAAAACAAAGTGTAATAGGACCATAAAAATTTTAGTAAGGATGTAAAACAATTTGTGATCACATGATGAGTCCGGATGATCATATGATTGTTTTAAGATGTTTACGTGGTTTGGCCAAAGTTGTCCTATGATTGCTATAACTTATATATGAATACATAATATTGATCACATAATAAAAAAGTTAGTGATAAAGTTGAGTTGAGAATATTCTTTTGATTTGATAAGATAATGTGTTTGAAATGGCTTGATCAATGTTTGTTATTGGTGAGTTATTCGTTGATTTCTACCAATAAGATTTTTTGGATTTGTTGTTTGCATATTTCAGTTTTTTGGAAATTAAATTTGCATGTGCGAATTGCAATCATTGATCCCCTAAAGGATATCATATTATTTGCTGAGAAATCGTTCATAGTGGAAACCTACCTTTTTATTACCAAAAGCATCTTAAAATGGCTTTTAAAAAAGGAAACATTTTATAACATATTGGCTAAATGCTTTTTCGTCTGACATTCCTCAGAGCATAAAGCGTCAGAATAAGGGTCCGAAAGAATACGATGATAAATATATACCCAGTTGTGGATCGAAATAGGCCAATCAGAAAAACGCAAGCCTAAGACCGGTTTAGCTTACCAATCGTTTATCTTTAGGCACGCGGCACTGATTGGTCAACTATACCATAATAGAGTAGATACTATATTAGAGTTTGGACTCGTTACTCATATTGAAAAACAGTTTAATTAAATAGAGAACATTTTAGAAAGACTGAACCTACTGTTAGCATTAAGATATATGCTTTATAATTTCATATCTTGCACTAAGGCTTAGCCAGTCGATTTTGTATTTCATACTTATGAACAGTGTGAGGAAATGTCATAAACTGTATTGACCTTAGTCTTTTCAATCAAAATAAAACTTTAAGCTACAAGTTAAAGAAAAAAATCCTGCTATAAACCATTTGCCAAAATAATAATCTATTGTAACATCAAGGCCAATGACAAATTAAAAGCAGCAATATACTGAAAATAAGCTGAAATGAGAAAAAGACCTAAGAGAAAAAGATCGAGGACTCATCCTTTTCAATTGAGGGTTACAAAATCTTTAGGCGCGACAGGGACGAAAAGGGGGGTGGGGGAGCAATCTACCTAAAAGAGCAAATCCCCGATCCCCTCCAAATTATAAAATGTGATGCCCTCGAGTTGATCTGCCTTGAAATTAAACCAAGCAAAGAGAAAACCTTTTATCTGATCAGCTGGTATCGACTACCTACCAGTGCGACAGATACCACATCATTCGAAAATCTGCGTGAATTTCTCAAAAAACTTGACAGAGATAAAAAAGAAATTATCTTCGTAGGTGATACAAATTGCGATTTCAGAGGCTCTCAACTAAATGCAAATGCAAAAAAGCTACAATCTGTATATGCTGAATACCAAATAGAGCAATTGATTAAAGCTTATACGAGGGTAGCCATACGAAAGGGGGTGAATGAACAATTCCAAATAAGTCACTCCTTGATTGACCATTTGGCTGCAAACAAATGCAAGTACATTCTGGAATTGAGGGTGCTGGAAACAGCTATGGTAAACCATTACATGATTTATGCAATAAGAAAGGTAAATGCATAGAGACTTGTTTCCAAAAAAACAATAGAATTGTTGATAGCAGAATCACGAGAAACCATGATAAAACAGCCTTCCAACAAGACAGTCTCCTTTTTTGGTGTTTACACTGAAAGCGGAGCGTACTCAATATGCACCGTATTCGAAAGTACCGTTTTCATTAGCGTTTTCAAACGACTCCGTTTTCATAGCAAAGTAGTATGACCGCAAAGCAAAAACGGATTAGTTTCAGTGGCGGATCCAGACTACCGCCATTACCGCTCGAGCGGTAGTCAGATTATTCAAAAAATTATAGAAACAAGGATCATTCTCATGTTTATCCTACTACTTTAATTAAACCATAATTAATTATTGAAAATATTTGATCGCGCTGCAAACCAAGCCTTTCTTCCTAGGAACATGCCTGAAATTTCCACAGAGACAGAAATATGTTTTAATCCATATCGCTATGGAAATTGCGTGCCAATTGCCGAGCCACATGTTTGCAAATAGAAGGCTAGCATGGGGGGATGATGAAATCATGGCTTGCTAGCTAGGGGGGTTGAGTCGGTGTAGAGCGGATTCGAGCTGCACTGAGCGGTAGTCAGCTTGCCTAAACCAATCAAATCGTCAGAAATCACTGCCAACCTGGGGGGATGCATACAAATTTTGTTGACAACCAATGAACAACCGAGTTGACTACCGCTCAGATGGGGGGTTGAAGTAGTACTGCCGCTCAACGCGGCTCAAACGTTATAGAAAGATGGGGGGATGCCTACATATTCTGCAAGTGGGCAAACTGTAACTTCAAAGCCGATGTGACCCATTATTCTGTACAATACACAACTATTCGTAGGAATATATTTTAAAAGAATATTAAATTAAAAGTCAGGCCCGCAATATTCGCCAAAATTATGATTCTTTGTTTAACAAAAGTTGCTCTCAATAATTGCAAATTTTATCTAGCTTTTTAAACTTAGTAATTTTCAACAGGTCTGATTTTCATAAGTAATTGTCCGACTAAATGCGAGTTTTAGGCGACACTTCGAAATTCTGCCAAATGTATCTTTTTTTCTAATTCGATGGTGTTCCTCGTCTAAATGCCGTAAATTTTTTTAGAATATCCATCCTCAGAATATTGAATAAGATTATTTATTTCTTCTCAAGCTTGTTGTAAGGATACATGAAATTTCAGTAAAGCACCGCTTGTCTCTTGAAAATGGTCTACATAAGAAATTATAGAAAGCAATAATCATTTTAGAAAACCGGGTGTGATTTCGGCGGTAGTCAGATTTTTGGCTGGATCCCCCACTGAGTTTGACTCCGTTTTCATGAAAACGGAGTAGTGTAAATAGTGTGAAGGCTGGTGCGCGGTGCCTTGTCCTTGCCCTTCTGCGGAGCGGCAAGAATTTTTGCCTTTGACGACGACAGCGCCGCTGTGGCGGAACATGTACCTAGCAACAGGATGACAACTAGTGCCAGTCCACTTGATCTGTGGATATAAAACTAGGACAAGATCAACTAGCAAAAGTTTGGAGAAAAACGAGCTTTTATCGCCTCTTACAATCTGATAAAAATGACAAGTGCAAGGTTACCGTTTATTCCTAAAAGTCCCGGGTAAGTTCAAATCTTTATTATGCATCTCAATCAGAGGTGATGGCCGTTTAAGTCACATCAACAATGCAAATAATTGACTCTAAATTAACGAAATTGCTTGTTTGCTGCGCAAAAGCAACCTCAAAATGTGAAATTTATCAGCGAGAGAAATTTTCTCATTTTACCAACACCTGGCATGCTCTTTGATATGAGGTATTTCGGCTAGTCTCCATTGTTATGTTCATTAAAACTTTATCTAAATGTAAAGTAGCCATTAGTGCTATAATTTCATAACGGTGTTTTGCAGAGAGAAAGTATGAATTTTTTCTGCAACTCGAGAGCTATATTTTACGAAGATTTTCTTTCGAATCGGATCAGGAGAATTTCCACCTAGAGACTTTAGCGATGGACTTCAAAACTGAAAGCAATTATCCCCAAATGATCGACTTAACTCTTTTTGTGCAATTAATTTAGTCAGGTCTTTCCTAAACAGGTCTCTGAACATTGTATCAAAGTTGTCAGAGAACCAAGACGGGTCAATGGGAAGGAAGGACGACAAGCAAGCAGTCTTCAAACTAACAAGTACTGGATCGACATATCGGCTTCCAAACCCAAAAAATCTCAAAGTATGTATTCTTACTTTTTCAGTTACCTAGTTCAATTATAAATTCGAAAATTCATTAATTTTTTCTTCAGGTTCAGCAAACATTTTGTGACATTTTAAATTGTTTAAACAGAGTTTGTGAAATTTTAAACAGAGTTAGTCATTCTAATTTTCCTAGAGTGACTAATTCTGTTGAGATCTGTAAACAGTTACTTAAGCTCATTGAACTTCATCAATGTCAAGTTGAAGTCAAAACAAATTTTTAAATGGAAACTTCTTGAGAGTGCGATTTACTGAGAATGAATGCAAACTGCATGTCAAGTATAGTGTTGCCATATACAGTGATGTTCAATGTCAAGACTGTTTTGAATGTCAACTCAGAAAATTAAAATTGCAAATTATGTATAAAAGTTTCTTAGCTTTTTTAAATTTGGGTAGGGTTTTTTCTTAACTTTTGAAAATTTGAGTCTAGGGTTTCTTATAACCTGTTTCTTATGAAAAAATGTGTGCTTATTATCATTAAATGTAGAGAGAAATAAGATATTAGGGGAGAAAAATAGTATAAAGCTAAATTGAATGCCAAGTTTTAAGAGTGTTAGCCAAAAATATTTTGGAGGTAAAAGCATTACGGATGAAATCTTGTTGCAAACTGTAGTTGGCCAGTGATCCGGAGGTTAAGAATGGGTGTTCTAAATAGTTCTTCTTAAAAAAAACAAAAACATTTTGTGATGTTGTCTGTTGATGGAAGCCTTTTTAAAAAAGTACAAGAACAAAAGAATGCAAGAATAAGGCATTTGTGTGACATGAAATCTGTGTTTGTTTGAATTTTCTCAGGACTGTGCCTTTTGGAAATGCTCCATCCCCACTCTCTATGTTGGCAGGTGATTATGGTGGCTATGCTGCCACTATCAAGGTCAAGGAGACCACTGCAGATTTCTGTTTTTGAATATCAATTTTCCCTCTAGCCATATGTTGATAGTGAGACTGGAGCAATTGATGCCTGGCCTGCCCATGCTGCCAAACAACCACTTGTTAGGCTAACTACTGGGGATCAGAACAGCAAGGAGCCCTCAAAACCTAAATTCTTAGATCGACTTGAAAAGTTTCTCATGAAAGAGCTGAAGGCTTTGGATTGTGCGGATTCAGATAAGCCAAGTGAGAAAAGGCTACAGGTTGGTGTTCTGATTGAAAATGTATTCTGTTACAAATGATATTCGGGTCATTCCATTTCAAAGTGGGACAAATTTCTTCATTTTGTAACCCAAAGTCTCAGAAATTGCTCATTTTTTGTGAAGAAGTGGATAATGATAAGATAAACACATATACAAAATTTTACTTTAAAATCTTTTGTTGTTCTAAAAATAGAGCATTTTGAAATTTTGCTGATTCTCAGCATTTTTTCCAATGTCCGCCATTTTGAATTTAACCCAGAGGTTAAATATACTAAATAAATGCCTCTACTTAGCATCTTGATGTCAAAATCATGTTTTTGACTGATTTATGTATCAGGATTTCAAAAAAAGTTAGAAAAAATTTGTGAGACACACCCACAGTCTGTAATTAACTAATAAATGAGGAGCAGTTGTTGTCATAGCAACGAATTGTCAAGATGTTATTCAAATTTTTGTCATGTTGCACACCTGTGATAAATTTCAAATTTTCCAAGCACGAAGCTACAGTCATAAGTAACTCTTTTACAAAGAATTAGCAGGGTTATATTTGTCTTTACAAAAATACAGCCCTAGAAATGCTAGCTACTGTAAATGCCTCTTTCGTCTTCTTCACCTTGTTAAAAATTAGCAAATTGCTAGCTGAAAAAATTTTAAAAAATATGTAAAAGCAGGAACTGATCTTTTGACGATCTTTGTGTGTTACAATTTATCAGCATACTGCTAGAATAATGCATATAAATCAGTTTGGGACATGGGTGTGGACATGGGTGTTGGCTAAGGGTGTGGAATGTATGCTGAAAGGTTGTAAGGGGCTTGAGGGCTGTAAAACTTATATTGGTAGGGAGCTGAGGCCTGTTCTCTGTAACAATTTATATGGTAATCATATAAAAAAGTCATGATACACCTTAAATATAATTAGCAACTTTAGCAACATCTCTGTCACAGAGGTAATATTGTCTGCCGGACAATGTTGATGTTCTTGGTGCTTCAACCATCATGACAACATTCTCTATAGGTACCCAGCATATGTCTTCTCTTCTGGGCCATGCAAATGAACAGCTTGGTAAGTGTGGGTGCAAGAAATTGACTTTTGCATCTTTGCTTTCAGTGTCTAATTCACCAAAAAGCCCAAGCCAAAGAAAGTCATCATACGAACAGACCAAAAAACATCCAACACGGAGCTTTTCTTTGATTTTTTCATCTTTGGTTGGCTCTCCAGTAAGACTGAACTCTGCTTCAAAGTTGGTATCAACTGATGTTTGTTTCACACCAACTTTTCATTGTGATAAAGGGATAAATTGATGGAAGCTTCTTGTTCCTGGGACCGTCCTAGCTTTTGCAAAGCGGGTTTCCATGCGTTTTCTCGTCTGTGATATCTCAATTTGTGAGATGAAGAAAAATTGAATGCCAGAGATAAAATTTGAGCAAAATTCCATCATATGGGTTGCAGACAAAATTTGATTACCTGGGGGGCGTTGTAAACTGGCTTTTGCCGTGAGGCGCTTGACTGTCCCACCTATTCCATCACATGGGGGTTTCCTGTGGCTGGTTGCAAAAAATTCCACTGGCAATCAATTCCAAAATCCTCTCTATGGTAGCACAAGTTTAGACAATTTTTGCAGTTTTTATATTTGCCTGCACAGCCATCTGAGAAGTAATGGATCTTTGATATGCCAGTGGATATTTTTTTCCTTGACGAAGGTAGCAGTACCTTCCATGACATCATTAACAAAACTCACATCATGCTCCAAGTCATCAGAAATAAAGCATAATGACTCTTCTGTTATTGCTAAGGTTTCATTGCAACGATGATATATAACCACGGGATGCAATGAGCATTGCTGCTGATTCCAATATGTGGGACAGTCAAGCGCCTCACGGCAAAAGCCAGTTTACAATGCCCCCCAGGTAATCAAATTTTGTCTGCAACCCATATGATGGAATTTTGCTCAAATTTTATCTCTGGCATTCAATTTTTCTTCATCTCACAAATTGAGATATCACAGACGAGAAAACGCATGGAACCCCGCTTTGCAAAAGCTAGGACGGTCCCAGGAACAAGAAGCTTCCATCAATTTATCCCTTTATCACAATGAAAAGTTGGTGTGAAACAAACATCAGTTGATACCAACTTTGAAGCAGAGTTCAGTCTTACTGGAGAGCCAACCAAAGATGAAAAAATCAAAGAAAAGCTCCGTGTTGGATGTTTTTTGGTCTGTTCGTATGATGACTTTCTTTGGCTTGGGCTTTTTGGTGAATTAGACACTGAAAGCAAAGATGCAAAAGTCAATTTCCTGCACCCACACTTACCAAGCTGTTCATTTGCATGGCCCAGAAGAGAAGACATATGCTGGGTACCTATAGAGAATGTTGTCATGATGGTTGAAGCACCAAGAACATCAACATTGTCCGGCAGACAATATTACCTCTGTGACAGAGATGTTGCTAAAGTTGCTAATTATATTTAAGGTGTATCATGACTTTTTTATATGATTACCATATAAATTGTTACAGAGAACAGGCCTCAGCTCCCTACCAATATAAGTTTTACAGCCCTCAAGCCCCTTACAACCTTTCAGCATACATTCCACACCCTTAGCCAACACCCATGTCCACACCCATGTCCCAAACTGATTTATATGCATTATTCTAGCAGTATGCTGATAAATTGTAACACACAAAGATCGTCAAAAGATCAGTTCCTGCTTTTACATATTTTTTAAAATTTTTTCAGCTAGCAATTTGCTAATTTTTAACAAGGTGAAGAAGACGAAAGAGGCATTTACAGTAGCTAGCATTTCTAGGGCTGTATTTTTGTAAAGACAAATATAACCCTGCTAATTCTTTGTAAAAGAGTTACTTATGACTGTAGCTTCGTGCTTGGAAAATTTGAAATTTATCACAGGTGTGCAACATGACAAAAATTTGAATAACATCTTGACAATTCGTTGCTATGACAACAACTGCTCCTCATTTATTAGTTAATTACAGACTGTGGGTGTGTCTCACAAATTTTTTCTAACTTTTTTTGAAATCCTGATACATAAATCAGTCAAAAACATGATTTTGACATCAAGATGCTAAGTAGAGGCATTTATTTAGTATATTTAACCTCTGGGTTAAATTCAAAATGGCGGACATTGGAAAAAATGCTGAGAATCAGCAAAATTTCAAAATGCTCTATTTTTAGAACAACAAAAGATTTTAAAGTAAAATTTTGTATATGTGTTTATCTTATCATTATCCACTTCTTCACAAAAAATGAGCAATTTCTGAGACTTTGGGTTACATGCCTGTCCTCCTTTGATATGGAATGACCCATTCCTTTCCTCTTGTTGTGGAAGCCATGCTCAGGGGTGATGTAACTAGTCACATGGCTTCTATTGCCTTCCATTTGGTTTTGCTGTTTGCATCTGAGCTAAAGAGTGAGTTTTGTCAACCATAGCTTTGCATTTGAAAAAAGAAAAATTTTACAGCATACATAGAGATTTTTAAGTCTATCACTCCTCGGAGTATAGAAAGTCAGAATATGGTTCTGAAAGAGATGAAGAATATATACCCAGTTGTGGATCGAAAACATGAGCACATGACTGGTATAGTTTTCCAATCAGTACTGCATGCCTGTTATATCATATTATCATAACTATATCAACTAAATATAGCTACTGTCACTTTTTATTGTCACCTCCATAGCAGAATCTAATAACAGGTCCAACAACAGCACAGGAATTATGTTTTTGGTTTAATTCCTGTAGAAATATTATTGCTCTAGTCTAATTTGTTGTCTAATTTATAAATCTTGTTGTGGTAGTTCTAATAAATGAGAAGACAATGCTTTAATGATATACTTTGCATTTCAGGCTTTTAGGGAAGTATTTGAGTATCTGATAAATGACTTCAAGACATACCGACCGCTTCTTTCATTGATAAAAAATGAGTATGAAAAGCTGATTGAGCATCAAAGAGAAAAGATAAGAGAGCTAGAACCATTGCAGGTAAGGCATGCCACTTTTAAATGATCAATTTTATCGGAACTATCTGAAACCATCAAGGTAAAAAAGGCAATGATAGTTAAGAGCTGCTACATAGCATCTGGGAGGCTGCAGTGTTTAGTTCCCTGTCAGTATTTCAATTCTTTAAGATGTGATATTGCCAGTTCATCCACCAAATAATAGATCATCCTCCATCCACCAATTTACTGCCCCCCTGCCCCCTGCCCCCTCCTTCCTGTCATCAGCAAATCAGAACATGCTATGCTGCTGAAGAACCAGAATCATCTCTCAAAAACTGTTAGTGTCAACATTAGGTTGCTAGAAATAAATGAATATAAGAAATGTTGCTATAGTAATTGAAGCCTTTTTATGTTGTTTGCTTTTCAATGTTAATAGTCTAATGTCCTTTAGATTTTGTTTCCACAAATTATGCTATAAAATTGAGAAACAAATTTGCTGTAATAGAAATTGAGCAACAAAGGCAAAATGAAAGACAAAAGTTCTTTTGCAACATTTTACCTTTTTGACAATTTTTAGAAGTTTGGACTACTTCTGATATTTTTACATAGACGATAAAAAGTTTGAAGCTTCCAAATATCAACAAATATTCCATCAACATTTTTAGAGCTTAATAGTAACAATATCAGAGCGATGTGACAAAAAGTTGATGTCCATTAAGCAAGATGAATTAGGAGGTAAGATTCTAGCACTTATGCTTATTTAGTTTCACTGAATTATTTGTTTTTCTTTGCCTTTTTCTGTCCCTGAATTTAAATATAGTTTAGAGTTGATGCCTTGATTTCATATATTTTTCTTAGCAAGTATTTTCAAATAGAATGCAAATAAACAGTTCAGACAGCATCATTTATGTTGTCATTTCAAGAACGAGAATTGATTTATTACTTACATTGGTTATCTTTCAACAGAAATTGCAAGTTTGAAAGTAGAAAATGATGATTTGAAGAAGACTATTGTGAAAATGAGGTGACTTTTTCTTTTTTTTATGTGGCTAAAATGTTTAATGATCAGAAGTACATATTCAAATGTGTATCAATGCCTCCTGTTTTCATGTTTCTGAAAATCCCAAACAATTGGTCAACATTCACAACTTTCTGTTTTTAACTTTAATGCCAAAATATATCCATAGTTGGTGTCACTACCTCTATCCTAGAAATCTTGCACCACAAATGCCTCTAAGTTTCATTAGAAGGTTGATGCATATATTCATTTAAACTTGGAAGAAGTGTATCTTAAAAGAAAGTAATTTATAGAAAATGTCTTATGATGCCAGAAAGTGCTTTTTGTTTTGGTAAGTAAATTTATACTCGTAGAATTTTCACTATCTCACTGGGATATTCTTGTGTTTTCCAGGGGGGATGAAGTAGATTTGAATGAACAAGTGAAGAAGGTAAATTATTTTATTCCATTTTCGCATAATCAAACATAGCTTTATCATTTTTATTGCGATAAAAATTACACAAATCTTATCCATAATTCATTAATAACAAAACAAAACGAATAACTTTATTGCCAGTTTGTTTGGCAGGGCCTGTGCTACAGGGTGGTTGAAGGTATGATCCCCACCCCCGTTTTTTTGCCAAAAGATTAAGATAGCCCCAGATTTTTCATAGAGATATGCCTGTAGATTACCTCAAAAATATTAAACAAAAACCCAGAAGTAAAACAGCGCCAGCAAAAAGGTTATGGGTGTTAACGACATGGAGCTTTTATGCAAGAAGTTATTCTCGAACAAATACTTGGTGACACCTGAACGAGGTGTTAACACACATTTTGGAATCCTGCCATGTGCAATTTTCTTCAGAAAGAAAAACTACTATTTGAATGGCTAATACTCCATATTCTGTCTATGAGGTTCTGTCCATGAAATCTTCACACAGATTAGTTCTATGTCCGTATTGCGAGTGACAACTCCGGATTATAAGTGCACTCTGTTGCATTTTCTTTACTTTGCTACCCCCAACAGGTCAGATTCTTTAACCCCAGATCCTGTGCTGCGCTGATCAATCTTTCATTTCCTTTTTTTTAGTTGCAAGATGAAATAGCAATTGAATACAGAAAATACAGAGATGAGTGTGATGCAAGGTAAACCGCCATAAAATATTTATTGCTGGTTTCTTAAAGTTGCCGCTAACTTATCTTTTGTGGAGAGCTCCATGATTCTAAGATATGACTATGCAGACTTGAATGGGTAAGGCAGGACAAATTATTGTCAGAGCACATAGACAAACGAACAAGCAATTTATGCAAAGGTCTAATACCAGTTTGTAGAGTGCCTGCCAAAAGTACTTGGTAAATCCAGCAATTTACGCTGCATTTGATATCTTTCATTCCTTTTATGAAAAAAATTGCTACTTCCGCCCCCTTCCTCCTAAAACAATGTTGATGATTTAGAGAAATATCATAAAAGAAGCGCAAAAGAAAGTGCTTCCTAAGATCCTAACCCGTTTGATAGTAAACCAGCATTGTTCTGTAAATGAGAGGGGGATGATTGATTTTGACCTTGGAAATTGATGTCAGTGTTCCAAGACTTTTGGCAGGCATTGTACGTGAAAACGTATAGCAGCTGAATGGAAGTTGAGCCCATGTTGACTTCTTCCTAGTTTCGCATCAACACATCTAGTGCAATGGTAGCAAAATCTATGTTGAAAATGCTTTTTATTTTGCAGAAAATTGTTAATTCAAGACTTGAACGATCTTAAATACCAACAAGATGAAGCTAAGAAGGCTCTTCTGGGAAAGCAGGATGAAACTGGCGGTGATGATGTCACTATGCTCAAGATTGCTCTGAAGTATGACGTAATTCATATATTGCTATCATGAAATTTCAATTCTTTCGCGTTAGTTGTATTTCAGTGTTAATATAATCACAAATTATGTTATATATCAGCTTATAATTTTGATTTCCTTGATTCCGTTTTCTAGGCAACTTTTTATAGATAATAATAATTTTTTAACCGTGTGGCTATAATATTTCTTTGGAAACCCGTTCGTTTTTAAAGTGATGGTTCTAACGTTATTTCAACTCAATCCTTCTTTGTGGATCTTTCCAACCAAAAAGAGCTATGTTGTATGGTGCTAGCCACAATACATCTTTAGATTTAAAATTTGAGCATCTTGCCATTTCTTTAACTCTGCTATTAGTTAACGCAAATAATGGACTCTTGGATTTTTTTATTGATACTGTTGACGTTCAAATATACTAAAGTCCCCGTGTTTATTTAAGGAAAGCAAGAGAAGATCTCGAAGCAAAGACGCAAAAACTCGCTGAAGTTTTAGCAGATTTTGGTGATGTCGTGCCAAGAAGGGACTTTGAGAGGCTAGACGCACAGTTCAAGGTATTGTGAATTATAGTCTGATTCTATTTGTTGAGGATGTTCCAATATGAGAGGTTTGCGCAATGGGGGTAAGGGGGAAGGGGGAGTTTTGTTACTAGAAAAATCATTACCACGAATTTCTGATTGACTTACATGTATACCAAAAAATTTCAAATTTCATCGCAAATGCTTTAATTTTACAGCAAAAACGTTCCTGTGTTAGCATTGGAAATTTTGCATCCCTCTCTCTCATTGCAAAGCCGCAAAATCGATAGCAATTCGTAACATTACTGGACCGGCAGAGAGACATTACGCCTCGTTCATGTTCTCATATATACTTTTTGTATGACTCTTTCTCGAATAATCTTCTTATTTGCTAGTGCGTGATTCAATAGAAAAAAATTATCTAGGAAAAGGCCAATTTTGTTGCAAAGAGGATTGCATGAAGTTTTCAAGGGCCTGGCCCCAAATTATCTCCTGTGCCAGTTTCAAATATTTCTTCACATCTTTTTACATTTAAGTTAAGGTATTAGCTGAAAGTGTAATTCTTTCTACCCATACTCCTTTTTTTAAATTTAAAATCCTCTGATTTCCAGACTCAAACGGAGGAAAAGGAAGATGTTGACAAAAATTACCGGCTACTGATGGACGAACACAGGTCAGTCTCAAGTTCTTATCATTTTATACATTTCTATGCTCAAGTCATATATTTTTGTCATTTTAAACAGTAAAGCGTCTACGATTAAAGCGATTTGTTGGAAAAGCATTGCCACCTTTTTTACTTTCAACCAAAGCAATTTCATGTATTACTGTCCACTATTTCCATACGCTTTTTGCCATTCGCAAACTTTTTGTATATATCAGTCTATTGGGTATTGTGTCAACAATTAAACATCCTTTTGGGAATCGGACGTTGAACTCCCTTGGGATCCTAAAAGAGCACATCTTCTAGTCATGCATACCATTACTCATCTCTTTGGGGACCTAGAGTTATATCCCTTCGAGATGCCAATAGAAAACCTCTTCGATATCTCTATGCTGCTGCCAATTTTTAATGAACTAAGTTGAGGCATAAAAGAATAAAATTTTTTTGATACAGTGCTTTGATAAGTGTACATAAGAAGATTGTGGAACAGAGAGATCATTTGGCACAAGAATGTGAGGAGATGAGACGAAGTGCCACTCCAAGGTATGTGATGTGCACTCTAGAATTCTTTTTCTACTAACTTGATCGACTTGATTCCCTGTTTTGATGGGAAGTTTTTATTACCATTAAAGAGCTAACACAAAGCAACTTTAAACAACAGTATCTTTCACCCATCCCGTTGTCCATAATGCATGTGTCGTGTCTGTTTGCATTAGACAAAAGCTCTAGTTAGGAATAGGCTGGTAAAGGTAGCTTTTGCTCAGCTCAATGTCCTTTCCAAATGCCTTTGTCACATTGGCATGATATGCTTTATGTAATATGTTGATGGTGTACGACCAGAAAAAGTCCATGGAATTTTCTTTTTTGAATATGGTCTAATATTCTGTCTATAGTCTGGTTGAAATGTTCCTCTTGAAATAATTGCGAGGATAGTGCTATCTGTATTTAGAACAAGAACTTGAACGCGCTTATTGTTTACAGTCAGTTATTTAGATATGTTGCTATGTTCATCCTCTTTTTATCGTAGGCCCGATTGGAATAAATGCGAGAAATACGTCGAAGGCGGGGCAGAGAGATGGAAAGAGCTAGCAAAGGACAAAAGCAGTAACGAATTAGTCGATACTCTTTTAGCAGAGATGACAGGCCAAGATATCGCTATCATCCAGGCTGGAGTCGGGGCAGCCAATGAGTTCTTTTCAGGACTGGTAAGCTGTTAGCAGATTCGAATTTCTTTGAAGCTGACTCTCCTACATGCTGAAAATTTCATCCATGCTTGATTCTTTGGTTATTTTTGCAACAATTTCACTCTTTCTTTGAATTTTTAAAAGGCCAACTATTATGACAACGAATATATCTTCATGTCGTCTATTTGTTTTGCTTTACATCCAAAAAAACTGAAGCTTTTTTCAAAATCTGACGTCATTTTAATTACAGGGCACTGGACCAGATGTTCCAAGGTACCTACGATGTGGAGGAGAAGTTGTCAACAGACGAATTGGTAAACGAGATTGTGCCATGCTTATAAAAGATATATGGAAGGAAAGAGTTGAGCATCTTAAAGAGGTATTGTTTGCATATTTCAATAAAAAGCTTGATTTTTCAAATGGAAAATTTCAGAGACAATGTATTATGGCATCTTTTGTGAGGAAGGCTGTCTATATTTTTATCATGTGGAAGTTGTAAAATTGTAGCAAATGTTTTTCCAAATTTTTAACGCCTTTCAGAAGAAATAAAGGACTAGGAATTACATGCAATAATATATTTCTAATATAGTATAATATAATATAATTACATTTATTAATAGTTAAATGTATTTCTTGGATCTCAATTTTGCTGCCAATTTTTCCTAAACTGGTTTTTGTTTCTTTAAAGGCGGTATTGCTCCACGATTAGCATTCATAATTAGTTTTTCGTAAGCCAGTCATTCTTTCTTGCCAAAGTTCTTCTGTTTGAAGATAAAGTGTAGACCGAATATAAGCTTTTGGCATATCAATGTGCGGACAACAAGAATTCAGATTCAAAATTCTTACTCCATAATCTACACAATTCATTTTCTTCTCAAAATTATGGCCTATTTGAAGCAAAATTTCATCTAAATAGTTTGACGGTTGAGTCGTTGATACATTCCATATCTAGCTTGGTACAAATACACTATTTAGGCTGGCAAAACCCACCCTCGACTCGACTGTAAACAAACAACTTAATTATATTAACGTCACTACAAACAACTTCTAAAGAAATACGCTTTATGAGAATGTGCTCGCACAGAAGTGAAAGTTAAACATGTAAGAAATTATCCTGCAGAAAATGTTTGCCTTCGTTTACAGAAAGTTCGTTGATTTCTACTAAAAATACCTTTGCAAATCCTTTCATGTTTATAAATCCTTTAAGCTTTTTCAATATGCTTTCTGATCCATTCGGTTGACCGCGAAACGATGTCTTCTGATGTCAGGTGTAATTATCACTTCAAGTGGTCACATAAATGCAGCTTTAATTGCACAATCTGTCCTTATATATGACGTTGAAAAACCCCAAATTTGAAACCATGCATGTATCAAGCATTTTTGCATGATGTTAAGAGTTTGATAAATTGAATGATTTTAGAGGATTTCGGGTCTCTAAATCATTTTATATAAATACTATTCATATTTTTTTTTGTTAAAAGGGTGATGTATTATTTTATAGAATACATCCGAAAAAGATTTAAGGATGAATTTTATCTTATTATTTCTAACTTAAAATGTCCGAATAAGGGTCCGAAAGAACACGATGAAAAATATATACCCAGTTGTCGATCGAAATAGGCCAATCAGAAAAACGCAAGCACAAGACGTTTTATGCTCCAAGGAGTGTCAGACGAAAAAGCTTTTAGCCAATATGTTATGAAATGTTTTGCTTTTTCCAAAGCCATTTTCAAATTATAAATGCAATAATCATTGTGGTCTTCATCAAAGTCATATTTATTATAAATGTTGCACTTTGTAAGCGGATTGTTAGCAATTATGTTTTGTATCTAGCAAAAGCTTGATACCCCAAAGAATTGTCTGTTCCTCTATCTACAACTCTTCAATTACCAGTTGACCATATTTTCAAACACTCCTGATAACTGTTACAAACAATATGAGTGGTTAAAACACCTTTATATTTTCTGCAAAGTGAAGCAATTAACAAAAGAACCATTCAAATTCGTCTTTCTTCCTCTCACACCCGATCTTTCTTCCTTTCGACCCACAACTAGATATAAATCTTCACCTTACATTAAGAAATTATCGGACGTTTATGCTGTGAGGAGTGTTAGACAAAAAGCATGTCAGCAGGCATCTTTCATGCTATTTTATGCCATCTTTGAATTTTGGGGTACCAAAAACGTATTTGATTAGTGAAACAACGATGAATAGTATTTCCTGGTTTAGTTCTCTTGTCAAATATAATGTTTTCCATCACTATAGCCTGCTCTACTTTTGAACTACGTATCAATTTTATATTTTTATTTATCTTTGAATAACTCCAATCCCAAAGCTGTATGAGAACAATAGTCACCAAACGATTTTATTGTTGAATTTTAGAGGCCAGAAAAAGAAGTAGAAGATTTCGACGAGTTTGTGTTCAGCGTTTTGAAGCTGAGATTCGGCACAGAAGCTCTAGCATACGAATGGGGTTACAATCTTCACGATGCCTGCTCAAGATACAACCATGAGCCGAGAATTGGGCTGTTTTTCAGCATCCTTGGGGGCGAGGTACTTAAAGACAGCATTTACCTTTTGTATATACAAGACCGTTTTAGCTTAATCTTTGTACATGTCTATATATCTTGCTTGTCTTGTTATGTCATTCAACCAGCGTCAATAAAGTATTTACACGACCAAAAAACAACCTTTCTGATTGCCCTCAAAGAAAGCACCATTTTATTGCCTTTGTATAAATTTGACATATCAGCCTAACGCTGTGGCCTATTATAGTCGCTTGAAGTTTCATGCTCTAGTGTATATTGGTTGGTAAGGATGTCAAAAGCATTAATGCAGTTCCTCTGCTTTACCAAACATTAAGAAATACTATTTCTTGCTAATAGAATTAAAAACAGACGTTTCTTTCTGATTGGATGAAGTACTTAGTAATTAGACAAGGAATTGTACTTCAAGGCCATAAGCCAATAATAATTACTAGAAAAGTAACTTGATTAAATAGAGTTTTAACCAAAGTCACCACTTTTATCACAACCTTGCTATTTAGGCCGATGAAAAGCTATACCATGACCAGCTTTCAACATTTGAAAAACTGGCCAAAGAAATTTCGTCGAAATCAGAGGGCTCGGTAAGTTAAAATTTAGTTCAATTTGTTTGGCTGTTACGTAACGCTTTGTTAAAGCAACTAAGATGGGTTTTTAGCATTAAAATTTGCGTAGGATCAATCGAATGATGGATTTTGATTTTATGATGACTTGACTTTTTGCATGAATATCCAAGTAGCATGTTGCTTTTTTATGCAAAAGTTTAACATAGTGCAAACGTCGTTTTCTTGTCCTTTTTTATAACGCAATTATCTTTTTCGTTTATATGAATATCGGTCAAACTCTACATTAACGCGACATAGTTGAAACAAAATATTTTGGAAACTGTTTTCAATTTACGTCATAAGATATATTTATACACTTTCAACTTTTAACTTGATTGCATCGAATCTCCGGTCTTTTTTTAGTTAAATGCCCCGTTTTTATAAATATATTTTTGTATGACAAACCCTAAGAGTCATCTAAAAGGGGATTGTCCCCTAAACAATTTTATTGTCACGAGAAACACCTATTGCCAGAAAGTACAAGTAAAATGTATCATAAAAATTCATCTTTTAGATAGAAAGCCAATGTAAGAACTTTTACCCCTGTAATTTCCATATTTGCCATTAAAATAACACCAAAGGACAATCTGATACTTCAAAAAAAGGTGCCTGGTTAAGGGAATTCACTCTACTGTTAATCTTCTTGAATCCTAGTGTGATTTGACTCGAAATAAGCTTCTCTAAAGAGCCGGTTTTCTTGAGGTTTGACGTGAATTGCTTGAGCTTAATGGCCGTTACCAGATTAGTCAGCAATTTACTTCGATACAGGCATGTGCACATATGCTTATATATATATGGTGATAAATAAAACCAGAGCAACAGAAAACGCTTTGAGATATCTACTTTCTGCTCAGGTCATTCAATTTAATTGTTACGCGTGGTAAGGTCTTCATAGGCGTGGGCAGGTTCAACTCTGATAAACTCCAACGCTCTCAAAACAGCTCAGAAACACCTCTTGATTTCTTAAGCCGATCAATGACTTCACTTTTCAAGGCTTGATCTCTATGTTTTAAACCTTTGGTAAACTATGTTTCAAATCTTTTCCCCTGATACTTAGCGTAGACCTTAAATATCATGGGTTAAGCCTCTTATAATTTAGCAAATAAGACCTCTTTTCTTAGGAACTGTCTGGACAGTGCTTCTAAATTCTTGGGTACATACACAGACAATACGTACCCAGAATGGCTCGATAATAGATAGTTTTTGGACTACAATCTAGGGACACCTGTTGGGGGAAATACCTCAACCCATGAAGGGTTGACACTGGGGTGCAAAAACATAACTATGTCTATAGTAGGCAGTAGCTTGATGTCCTTTTTAGATATTATACGTTTATAAATTCAGCACTTTAATTTTAATAATATGAATTTCATTTGCATCTTTTCAGGATACGATTTCTTTAGAGGATTTAAAGACGACTCTGAAAGGGTACTTTCCGTCAAAGGATGATGAATCCATTGAAACTTTGATAAATGAATCTATTAAAGACAATGAAAATAACACATCAAATTTTCAAATCAAGAACCTATTTGCTGAGGTAATGTGTAAAACTTGTTGCTTTTATACAGCTTTTAATTTACAGAATCTAACCTAAGCCCAGAGAATGGCTAAATGAGGGTGGTTAATTGATGTTTCCCGAATGCTTCTGTTAAGTGGCACATCAAAATTAGGTTTTTCTTGATAACATGGGTAGAACTTTGTTAATGATTATTCATGAAAATTTTATTGGTTGTTTGTTGGTGGTCTGTGATTTGTATGACATTTTTCTATTTTAAATGTGTTCATTTTCTTTCTCTTTTAAAATTTTTAAGGGTGTATTGAGAAATTTATAAAATGGCATGAGCCCTGCTCGTTATTAATATCCAACATTTATTTCAAAGGACGATGAAGGAAATTATGGAGCATTTTTGAATAAAATCGAGGAACAGGATAAAGCCGAAAGATTTCTTTATATTAAAGAACTAGAAGAAAAGCTTGGTGATGAGCCGTAAGTGTACCTATTCGTTGCTTAAATGTGTCCTTTATCATATACAACAATCGCAAACTTTACTGCAGTTACAGCCAAGAGTGCTGTTTTTCTTTATAATGCCTCTAAATTTAGTATTACCCTGTCATCATCAAAATAATTCCGTTATTGAAATTTCTGTAGCTAACAGGAATGACATTTTAACATTTTTTGAACTACTTTGCTGTCAAGATAGCAAGAGATAATAACCAACCAACATTTTGGCGAATTTTCATCAGAACACCTTTTTAATCCTGCGATACATGCTTTTTTACGAACACTTGGGTCTAGTTTCAGACTTTATTATCTAGGTTTCTTAATTTTTCGCATAATATGAACCTCACCTATTTTCTAATGGAGTTAACTGTGCATAGTAGTGTCTGAACACAACCTGTGCTTGAGAAAGTAAATTATGCTATTTTGCTTATCACTTTCTGTTGTCCTGTTGCTATTCTTTATTTTTCAATGTTAGTGGTATTTCTTTCTTGAGATTTGTTGAATCTCAGCCTGCCTTGTTTGTTAGCTATCACTGATGTATGTGTCTTTGTTGTTGTTCATTCTCGTTGCGTTGCGGTATTACTTATTCACTACTGTTTTATCAATTTTTCACCGCAAGTATTCCTTCGAAGTCTGTCGAGCAGCCTGCTATCGTGGCCTCTCCTTTATTCACACACTTGTTTCTTATGTTGTTCTTATTTTTTGGGGAAATCTCAGCCTGATTTTTCTTATAAAAAATCGCGCAGTTGATACAACCTTATACAAAGTATATTTGTTTACGAGCTCTAGTTAATTGTCTGATTAGCTTTTTTAAAAAATTATGTCATTAGCAATGACTTAAGTTAGATTGACAAGGAATATCTCATCATAGCCGAGCAAACTGCATGGCCAAATTTTTGGTTTTAGAAGACTTTGAGAAAAGTTTATGCCTGAAATTTATTCCAAAATAAAAACATGCCCCAGTCGTTTTCTTAGCTATAACAACCGCTTTTTTAAGCAACACGCTTTATAAGAATATCGTGGCTCGACTTGCCAAAGAATAAGAACCTTGCCAAATTGACACGGAGAGGAAACGAGGCTAATGAATTTTCCAGTTTGAGGTGCTTTGAGCACTGTGCTTCGATATTTCGTCAGCTTTTGCGCGCCTTCTTCGCCCACAAGATGGGGAATACAAAACTAGACGGAGGAAGTCTTTCATCACGAGTTTATTGATAAATTTAGTGAACAGGCTACAACCTATAATATATTTACTCCAGCGTGATATTAAACGTCTGCGAAATCCCAAACGAGATCGATCCCAAACTGGATCGGTCCAATTTTGCCCGTATAAACAGGGTCTATTAAACACGCCAAGTGTCTGGCTTCTGTTGTGCTTATATAAAGCATTTCTTTTTACGTCAAAACTGAAGTAAAATAGTGCGGAATAACTTTATTTGCACAAATATTAGGTACGTTTACGAATGAAATCTGCATTTCAATGCCATCATTAAACTTGAGTTGCTTTCCTGGATTTTTTATTATTCTAAGAATTAACATGACCTATTTTCAAAAAAGCTTCTGTAAGTTTATTTTTATCTGTTGTCTGTCAGACTAAATTTGCCAGCTATCTTCAGTTTGCTGTGCTTTCGAATTGTTTACTAGCGGCTCTTTTGACTGATTTCGAAGATACAGCTTATTTACTTGTAATTCCCATTTACAAAAAACTCAATAAAATAACACGCATAGCAGGTTTGTCTGGTTCAGACAGACCTGTTTCCTAATGCACTTTTGGCCTTTGCCAGGTAAAGTTTTAAATATTTTTAACGTGTCTAGCAGGTAGCCTTCATAAACATTAAAACTTTCCCGCGAAGTTGAGAAAGATACCGTTCTGGCATTCACATCTAAGCTTTTCTAGGCCAGGCTGTTTAAAAAACGTTTTAGAAAATTATCAGCAACTTCACTTAAAAGACTTACCTTCTCCCAAGGCAACTTCAAAGTTCTTTAATAGGTTAAAATAGTACCATTTTTACTGGGTTAGCAGTTTTAAAATTGTTTTATGATGCTCTTTCAGGCTATTAGATCCAAATTAAAAAAATTTCAAAATATATATCTCATAAGTTAAGAACTCTACGTTGTTTTATTATCCCATAAGTCTGCTGCCTGTTTTTCTCAACAAAGGGTTTTGTTAGTGTGTTTAGATTGGTTTGGGACTTGGCTAGGAGTTTTTGAGCCCACTTTAAACACTTTTCGAATAAGGTCTGTTTTCTAAAAGCAAGTTGGCCCGGTGTTTTTTTATGAGACTACAGTACGATAAAATCCGCAAGCTATTGGCATATTATTCCAATCATCTTTCAAGTTCGTTGAGCTGTCTTTTCAAGCCCTTGCTTATTCTCTATGTTCATTCGTTTTCAGAACACCAAGTTTCGACGAGGTTCGGCAAGCATTTTTAGCGATTAACCCTGGTATCAGCGAAGCGACATGTCAGTTGTACCTGCAGCGTGGCTTTGGACTATCAGCTGATAAACTGAAGGCAAACTTGAAAGTCGAGAAAAATGCATTATTAAAGAACCTGCGTAGCGGCAGTATCCGCCGAGTTTAACGAAAGACTTGTAACTTGTGCTTTTAGCAAATGAAAAAGGGTTGAATTAACTGGTGTAAATATTTGTGAATATGAAGGAATAATTTTTATATTACATCTTTGATTTATGGCTACGTTTTCTGCTCTTCTCGCCATTTTGCAATTCAATCAGTAATCAACATTCCTTTTTGTTTTTTCTCTCAATTATCTATTGCATTTACAGCCTTGTCTATATCTTCTTAAAACCAAAACAGTATATTTTCATACTTTTTAATGGCGGGTTACCTAAAAATTTGGATAGTCTTTGCATAGAATTAAAGAAGAAGTCTGCTTGAACAGGAAACACTGAAAATTGGCCAACCCTAAGGGGTGACGTACAAAGAATCTTGTTAAAGTGTTAGAACTACTGTTATGTTATTTGTAAAGTTCACTGGGTAGACATTCCATCGTCACTGTAACTTTGTTTTTTTCTAAAAATTTTTTTAAGACTGTGCATAAAAATACACTGAAATCTTACTTCTCTTGTCCTACCTAAGGGACAAGTTTTTGGTCTTATCGTTGAAAAGCGATTTAATTACCGCTAAATGAATAGAGTTTTTATCGTAATTTTCTTTAATCGAGATACTCTCGAACCTTTTTGAAAAAAAGACAGTTTTCTTCCGCAAACAATGTTACTATAACAAAAAACTCGGATGATCACTAGACAGAATTTCTTAGTGCCCTTCCGACCTGTACCAATCATCTCTAGGGTGCCAAATGTGGTTGTTGTTGCTGCTGTCACTGTTGCTGTTGTTGTTGTAAATTTCAATGCAAAACATAAGATGATGAAATGGAGGGAGGCGGTAACCACCCAGCCAGTTTATAATCTGATTTCAGAATGTAGTTTTGTCAGCGGATCGGGCATGTTTGTCACCGAGACGTTTCAGGAGAATTGCTTTTCCAAAGAGCTTCATTTAAGTGAAACTAGACTTGGGAATAATGCTGCTGCAGACACGAGCACTGAGAAAAGGCCTGAAATTCTTGCCTGTTCCAATCAAAACATTTCGGAAAGGTGGTTATCCAGCCCTGCTCCATGTTCACCAGCGACTTTCAGATTCAACAAACGTTGAATTAAAATCAAAGAACGATGCTTCAGCTGACGAAGAGCGCATTCGCCAGCGCTTTATCCCCATGACAAGAAGAACCCTTTGCAGAAAACTCCTGGAACATAACAGTCTGTTTGCTTCAAATGAGCACCGGAAATTCGAAGATTTGGCCACTGGACTAGATTCTGCAATCGCTAGGGGCTTTCATGGCACCCTTGGGGAAATGAAGGTCGGAGTTTTTAAACTGTTGAAAACGATATTGTCTAATTTTGAGGTCTAATCTAATAGAGATTGGTTGTTTATGTATAATCTGCCACTCAGAGTCTTGGAGCATCAATAGGGTACAATCTTTTGATAGGAAATAAGCTAAGGGGTGATGTTTGTTCTTGTTAATTGAAATTAGTTCATTGTAGAAAACAAAGTTATGCCACTGAGCCTGGGCCCTGTAAGTAATAAAAACAGGTTGAAGCTTTTCCAACTGCTCCAAGGAGAACAGCATTCAAATGATTGAAATTAAGAAAGTATAATTTTAAATGCCAATGGGCTTCGTTTGGTAGTAGTAGGACACACTTAATCATAATTTAAAACTCTAGACAAGTGGGTTCAAACTTGCAACATTCCAATGTGCCTGGCCTATCTCAGCAATGAATGTAGACTTCTTGTCTTCATAAAGAGGTCAAAGGCTACTGTATACATCAGAGGAAGAGAGATTCACAAGTGATTTTTACCTTGCCTGAAATATGTTTGAAATATTTTTGTTGATGATAATTGTGAAGTTTAATATTTTAGTCACTATATGATCCACTGAACCCAGACAAGGAAACAATGGTCCATGGAAATATCAGTAAAAATGAAAGATTGGACAATGAGTTCTGGCTGCTCCAAAAATTATCAAGGCTTTTAGAGAAGGCACATTTTTCTGAATTATCCAGAGAGCACATAGAGGCAGCCCTTCAAGAACATGCTGTTTTTGAAGGTGTTTTAGTGAGTGTTGATACTGCAAAATATGATGTTCTGAGATTTTGGGCTCTTGGTGAAGATCAGTGGAGTGTTGTGCTTGGTTCTGCAGCTGAAAAGTTTAAGTATTACTCAAAAGTCATTATCAGAAAAGCACCAAGAGTTATTCCCAGATACAAGAGAGTGGTTGTTGCTGTAAGGACAAAGTATCAAAATAAATTAATGTTGAAAGCGTTTAAAGATATCCCAACAAATAGTTTGGAATACTTGTTACCAGAGGGAAAGATAAGAATGACAAAGACTGATAAAGGCTTCATTGCTACTACAATATTTATTGCCATGACTAGTGTTGCAATCAAGTTAGTTTCAGCATTGTCAGAATATCACATCGGATATGTGCAGATTGCAGGGCTAGCAACCTTTGTTGTTGCACTCCAGGCATGGAATGCATATAAAAACAAAAGGAATTCTTATCTAATGAGTCTGTCAAGGCTCTTGTACTTCAAGACAGTTGCAAATAACAGGGCCTTATTGGCACTGATTGTGGACAGAGCAGAAGATGAGACATTCAAGGCTTCACTCCTCACATACTCATTCTTAAGGGGACTCTTGGAAGGATCACTTCAATGTAATAATTTTGATAATTTGTTCTTTTGTTTAATTGTCTTTTGAAAACTGTTTCATGTGAAATAATCACATTTTGTATTTAGTCATTTCTATTTCATAAAGCTATCTTAACACAAATTGAATAAAATAGTGTTCTAAAACTAGAATGTAAATGGCTACTTTCTTGAAATTGAACATTTAAAGTTTGTTTTGCGTCACCAGAATCTGCCTAGTTAGGTCCCTCTACTTAAAGTCACACTGCTGGTTAGAGTCACATCAAATTTAGGCCCAATTTTTTAAAAATTCAATTTAGGCCCAATTTCAATTTAGATGTTGCTCCAATCATATTCCGATTACAGTCACAGCTTTTCAAGCAATATCTGGTGTGACTATATCCAGAGTTTAGTGTATTCTTTTTCTGCTTTTTGTCTTATAGGTTTCTTGGTTTTTCTGTTTTTTTTTCTTTAATTTTTCTCTTGATCTAGCGCTGTAAATTGATCAAATTAATTATTATTTTGATCTGCTTGCATCTTTTAAAACGCCAGCCAGTGCATAATTTAAAAAAAAAAAGCCAAAGTTCTGTCAATAGCTTTTACCATCTTTTGGCAAAGCAATGAAACAGTTTCATATTTCTATGGTAAATACAGTGATGTGATTCTGTTTTTATTAATCAAACATTTTAGTAAAAAATTCTACTGGTGCTACAACAGAAGCAGGTGTAAGAGCTGATGACTTGAAAAATGCAGTTGAAGATTGGCTTAGAACAAGTTTCAGCTTTGAAGTTGATTTCAGTCCAGAGGAGCCAGTGAAACAGCTTGAAGATCTTGGATTGCTTAAAAGAATAGTGGAAGGTACCTAGATTTGTTTACTAGAGTTACTTGTTGTCATTTTCAAAACATGGTTTCGGTAACTTCTTAAATTGTTCACAAAACATGTCATTTTCAAAACATGGTTTCAGAAACTTCTTAAATTGTTAACAAAACATGTCATTTTCAAAACATGGTTTCAGCAACTTCTTAAATTGTTCACAAAACATGCCATTTTCAAAACATGGTTTCAGAAACTTCTCAAATTGTTCACAAAACATGTCATTTTCAAAACATGGTTTCAGTATCTTCTTAAATTGTTCACAAAACATGTCATTTTCAAAACACGGTTTTAGTATCTTCTTAAATTGTTCACAAAACATGTCATTTTCAAAACATGGTTTCAGTATCTTCTTAAATTGTTCACAAAACATGTCATTTTCAAAACATGGTTTCAGTATCTTCTTAAATTGTTCACAAAACATGTCATTTTCAAAACATGGTTTCAGTAACTTCTTAAATTGTTCACAAAACACTTTTTGTAGATGGAGTCGAATTGCTAAATGTTGTTCCGCTAGAAGATGCTCTCAAGAAAGTACCTGTGCCTCCAATGGAAATCGTGATGGAGCGAAAGGAAGATCTAGAGATCGAGGAACTATCACCCGATTTAACATCTGCGTTAGAAGACGTGAGAAAACAAGGGAGCGTCAGTTCAAACAAAGGCAGTGAAAAGGGCTGGAAAAGAATTGCGTGCTCAATAAGAAAACTTATAAAAGGACAGCGGCTTAGCAGTTGAATAATTACAGCAATCGTGTGGTGTATGATGAAAAATGCTCTTTGTCACAGTGTGCAAGGTCTCTGTATTTGTCAAAAGTTGCTAGTTTCTCAGTGAAAATTTAAAGGCTTTCGCGCAACCAGCATGCGTTGCGTTTGCTGTTTTTTTAAGCGAGGAAAAATGGGGCTGTATTTTCGTGCTCTTCGATATTAGGCCGGTTTTTAAAATATCTTTGCAAGGCATGCTGGTTGCGCAAGAGCCTTTTAGGTCAAATAAAGTATTCTGGTGGATTTTTGAGGAATAAAGCATATTTTGCTTTAAACATACACTTTGTCATTTATCATAGGAAACCTCGCATTTCTCGACTCGATGGAGAAAATTTAATGGAGAAAATTTTTTGTTAGTTAGATGTTACTATTTGTGTATATAATGATTTTCTATTGAATTGAAACCAAAAATATTACCTCTCTGAATTGTTTTTTCCAAAGCTTACTTTGAGGAAAATTCCAGCTCCCCGAGTCATCATAATATTTTTATCGTTTTCCACACACTCAATGTTTTTTGGTTGTAGATTAACTAATTGCAAAACCAACTAGAGTTCAGGTAATGTCTTGTCATATTCTATAACAATACAGCTTCCTGCGTGTGTACAGTCGAACTGTTTCCTTCGAACGAAATGTGATAAGAAAAATAATTAGAAGACAAACATTTCTTTATTGCTTTGTTTGAATCTTCCAGCTCCACAGAATTTGATACCAAGCTCCATACTTTGACCCCCGGCCCCAAGAAAAGGGCCCAGATCAAGCTTAGAATTACCCTGGGTACCAGACTCACTATATAAAATAATTATTTTATTTCATATATAGTGAGTCTGGTACCCAGGGTAGCTTAGAATAAGCTCTGGTTTGACCATTTCTGAGTATTTTGATGTCCAGATTGGAAACATTGCAGTAAATTGAGTCAAAGACCGATACAGCTTCTTGTGGGGGGGGGGGGGGGGGGCAGCCCTGATAAATAAGGTAACAACAGCCATATTTTACAAAATAAAAGTATTTTACCCATGTTACCTAAGATTCATGGGGCCAAGGCCCCCTCCGGCCCCCTGGTATCTCGGTATTTGTGTTGAGTTAGGATTTTGTGATACTTCTTGTGATGGTGGAAGATATAGGTTAGAGTTTAGGACCACCGCGAGGAAACGAAAGTCCTGTTCAAGGTTTTCTTAAAGTAAACTGACATAAAGATGTTATTTTATAAAATTTCAAGAACTTAAGCATTGTGAATTTGATTCTGGTCAGATGTGTCAGATTGTTAAGAAACTTAACTCTACAACCAACACTGTGTGATATTTTTCTTTCTACCTTTTTTTTTAAAACATGAGCAATTGGGCGTTCCAAGAGATAGAGGCACTGTCTTGTGTATGTCTTAATTATCAAGCGCAATAAAAGCACGTGTGTCCATTTACATATTTGCTTCCATTTTATCTGCCGGAGCTCTGACTTTCAAGAACTGAGAATTTTAACTACCGAAGTGCACGAGTTTTACAATCTGCGCTCTTTTTGGTACCACGGTTCATAAGATTCTATGATTAAGAAATCAGCATTGGCCAGTTAGAGAAAATAAAGAAACTTCAGTACTCGTAAAGGTATAAAGAAGCACTTAAATTCTGAAACATCCAAAGCTCCAGGTTTCGCGATTTTCCAACGTAAGCAAAGGACTAATTCGAAAATGCCACAAACTCTTCTCAAACATTATCAAAACCATCCTCTATATTGTCTACTTAAAAGGCTCAAATTGTTTCTAACATGGAAGAAAAATTTTCCAAGCATAAAAAATTATATAAAAAGTTAATAACGTTAGGATTAATTAATTTAAAAAGCAATAAATACTGAAATTTGCCGTTGCATTAAGAAATTGGAGTAGGATACAAAAGTCAATTTTCGACAAAAAAGTCACTTTGGCTGTAAGGGCAGTTGTTCCCCATATGAGAATGTTGAAAAGCCCTGAGTGTGGAAGAAGCTTTGGGGGGAGGAGTGTACAAAAACCCACAAACCTTTAGCCAGGACCCCAGATAAAAATGTGAAATATCTAAGTTTCAAGCTTAAAATCATGCTTATTTTCAGAAAAAATAACCCGAGACCCGCTGACTAAAATAGGCCTGATCCCCAACCATTGAGATCCTAAAGCCCCCCTCATGAATTGTTCCCCAGAAAAGTTTATGCCGACGAAAACTTTGCTGAAAAATTGTAGTTCATCATCCACAGAGATTCGAGCTTTTTGCGTTAATTTGTAGTTTTAAAGGGGACTCCGACTTTAATTTTGTGGTGTGTGTTTTTTTAGTAAGACTAAACAAGTTTTTTCTTTTTCAAGTCCATTCTGGTTTTGCCGCCAACAATCGAAGGCGCCCCTTTTTAAGTCGGACCCAGTCCCCGACGCCCCATACGAATACTTTGAAAAATTCTTTTTGAGGCCCGGAGTCTGAAAATCGTTAGACATTGATCAGGAAATGTTCGGGTAACCACGTTGGAAATCAAGTGTCCTGATAAAATTTTTCTGAAGTTAATAATGGCAGGAAGCTATTGCGGTTTGCTACAAGATACCAAGCTATGTTTTTGAGGGCGCAATTTCAATTCGGTGTTGGCCTAAGTGAGAAGCAGATACACAGAGCTGATCTTGTTTTGATACACAATCTTTGACTTCAAATTCGTCGATTACTCAATCAAGATGGATAGTCTGAAAGCATCATGTTTTCTAAAAGGAGCTTTTTGATTTTGCACGACGACGCACGGCGACCTTGGGATGTTGATGATCCGAGAGTCGAAATCCGACTGTTCGTTATGTTTTGATCGACCTGTTTATATTTGGCAGCTAACCCCAGAAGCATTCGAATTGCACGTTTTTGCTTGCTATGCTTGGTTGTTTGGTGGTAGGAAATACTGGTTGTAGCTTCAGATATTACGTAAACATACATATTTGTATATTTATGTTAATACTGGCAGTCTCAAGTTGATTTGGTGTGTCAACATTATGTCTGACACACGTTTAGTGAATACGGCTTTACAAGAGTACTTCTTGTCACTGTCGGGGCAAATTGCTGCAGCAAATCGACTGAAGGATGCAGTCACTGAATTGTTAGAAGAAAGGGATGAAGCAGCCAAATCAGGGAAGGGGAATTTGGACGAGTGGGATGTTTTGGATCAGAGTTACATCTGCATCAAGTTGCGGAACGCTTTTGCAGAAATTGATACGAAGCTTGAGGCATTCAAAAAGAATGTGTCAACGGCTTGCAAGCAAAAAGACAAGCATGAAAATTATGTTAAAAATCCCCAAAGCACATCCGAAGAGGTATGTCTTTGTTCACTTGTTTGCTGTTGGTTTAAGGTAATATTGATAGTAATACCAAGTTGCTTATTGTTGTTGCCTCTGCATCAGTTTGGAAATAGAATAGGTTTATCTTCTATTTCGAAATTTTAATTTTATTGTTTTAGCCTTTCCCCGGTTTTCTATTGCTGTGCGAAAATAAAACCCAAAGCGTTTATGATTATTGTGCGAAAATAAACCCCAATCGATCGAGTTGTTCCTTTTGTAATTGTGTGAAATCAAATCTAGACTGGAGGTTAACTTTTAACAACTGCTATTAAACAAAGCAACAACTATGAGATCCAGGTCTTGGTCTCAAGGAGAACTAATTTCAAAGGACCACTCAACTTTGCACCAAAATATAAATCCAAATCACATAGAGCATTATTTCTTGTGAAATTTTTAAACAGCTAAACTAGCTTTTTATTTGCAAAAGGATTAGTCATTTGCTATTAAAACTTTTCATTAAATCGTAATATTGTGAAAGGCTGGATGAATCTTGATACGATAAAGTCTCAAAATGTTCTGACAATATGGGGGCATGTTGGTTAAGATCATAATAAAAAAAAATTCATTTTTCTGTAAAAGAAAGCGGGTCTATTCAGTTGAAATTTTTCAGCTTGCAGCTTGACTAAGCTGGCTCAAAATAAACTGACATCATGCAGGGCTGCCACAGAGTGTGACCTTTGCATGTAACAAAAGAATTTGTGATAATGGCTCAATGAGTCATACTTTGTATAAATACTTTTGACAAACCTTTAAAAATCCATGGAACCACAGGATTTTGCCCCTGGTTCGTTCTGTTTTATCTCCACACAACAAATTTTCTTTTCTTCAAAATACTAAGTCTAATTTGCTCTAGTGATAATATGAGATAAGAGATTTTATCACTTCAACCTCCTTTTTCTACATGGGAAATAAAACTTGGCTCTGATCCATCCAATTTGTGAAAAAACCCATGCACTGTTCATGTTGCAGAGTAAGAAATTATTTTGGTTTTTTTGATAACCAGGATGATTTTTGAGAATGTATGTCCCAAATGTTTTGCCATATTCAATCTTGATACATGGGATATGACCATCAAAGTATTGGGTGGTATGTGTGTGTCAGGTTATGAGGCATTTAGCTTTTGGTCGCATGGGATGCTTGTTATGTTTGGGATGAATTCAATAATCTTGAAGCCCTGCTGCAGCTCAGTTTGTTTTCAAGCTTTTGAAGAAACTGTTTCATTTTCGAAGCATAAAGGATAAAAAGGGACTGGTAATGTGGTTTTATTTCTTTTCCCTCTTCTTTTATCCATGCATTATATTCTGTAGACACTGTCTGAATAAATAATATTGGATTCTCATATTTGCCATTGAAAGTAAGAAACCATAGTGAAACCATAATGGACTTAATGATAAGATAGAGAAACCTATCCACAAATCTATATAGTATTTTGAAAATATGTAACTCTTGTAGTCAAAACAATTTCATGCATTCCTATTAGGCAGGTGTCTGTTTGAAATTTTACGAAACGCTGTCTGTTTTAGCTTATATACAATTAAGGCAAATCTTTTTAGGAAATGAAAGAATGTTTTAGAAGAAGAATATTACAAACACCTGCAATCTTTTCGTGTGAACATTCCCTAAACCTGTTAAGCTTTCAAACAATGACTATATTTGAAAATAACAGTTGTCTCTGTTTATAACAAACATTCTGTGCATGAGGACCTTTCCTATCTGAAAATTTCTTGCTTTTTTGTCTGGCAATATTAATCAATATCTTTTTTTTCTGTTTAAATTTATATATTTATAATGCCAATGCATTAAAAAGTGATGGTGTATCCCAATTTTCTCTGCATATTTCCTCCAGAAAGTTCTTTATTATGCTTTTTATTTGAATTTTAGCATGGAAGTAGTATTCTACATCTTAGTTAATTGTTGATGCTAAGTTAGTGCTAAAGATTTCCGTTAGGTATCTTGAATGCCATGTGCTAAAAGGCTATATGTTTTATGACTTCCAGCCACAGAATGGCGTAACATATGATCACATGAAAAAGAACACCCAATCAATTGAACATGAAGTAGGTGCCTAATCATCAAATAAATTATTCAAACCCCATCAGTAAAAGAAACATTTCTTAGCAGTTTCTCAAGGTTTAGGCCAGGGTTAGGCACATAAAAATCTCTTCCTGGGCCGGATTCTGGCTCACAAGCTGTAGGTTGCCCACCCTTGGTTTAGGGTGATCTGCAATGTCGCTTCTTGTTTTTTGGTATCTTAGGGGTCAGTTTAGGTAGTTTCTTGTATAACGTGGGTGTACTATATTGAATACAGAAATTGAAATCATGTTGAATTTCATTACCAAATCGTGTTATCTAATTTTTTTGCCATGTTTGATAACATTCTTCCTTCAAAACTGACTGCTAACAGATTATTGTTGAATCTGCTTCGATCCGATTATAATCTGCTGGGTAAGCCTCTCAACTTTCGTATGGTATCTAGGCAACTCAGATTTCCAGCAAACCTGTCTTTGATTTTATTTGGCTATGGTTCTGACCACGCAATCAACTGGGGAGATTTCCTTCTGTCTACTTTTGCAACTTCGTTTGACGTTATTGTATGCCTTTCTGAGCTTTAGGCCCGTTATGCCATCCCGAGAAAAGCCTTCTTCGTCTTTGCAGGGAAAATTTGTCTAAAAGATTTCCAATATCCTAAGAACTTTTGTTGACAAGGATTCAGTCGAAGATAAAAGCACTTTAGGGAACTATGTAGGTAACTGAAACCACAAGGGAAACCCCAGTTACACGGTATCTGCTTCTTGATGTATTGCCCCCCAAGACCTGAAGAAGATCGGTCCCAGATATACGCAAAATCGGTTTCGTTATCAATTTTATCAGAGGTAATATCCGCTGCCTCTGCTATTGTCTTTTTTTATTAATCTGAATACGGTTTTGTTTGTTTCTACAAATTCCGTCAGTTACCATTCTTTTTTGTAAGAAGCCATTTATAAGAAACAGACCCTTAAGATTACCAGAAGATTAAAGAACCACAGTACTGGTCACCCTCAACCTTAAGAAACTACTCCAAAATCCACCCTTCAAGGTTGGCATGGAAACGTTTTTTCTGCCAACAAGGCGCCTTTTCCTTTTTTGTTTCTAAAAACTAGCTTTTTAGCCTTTATTATTCAGGAAACCTTTAAGAAACTTTGTGTAATGAAGTCAACAAATAATATGCTATATCAGTGCTTAGTTTCTTATCAAAATGCATACATAGATACTTTCAACCTTGGCATTATTCCAAGTTCACAAGTTAAACCCGTCGTTTGATGTATCCAGTTTTGCTTACCGTAAATCCTCCCTGGGGGCTGATTTATTTTTTATATTTTTGGACGGGGGCTTATTCGAGGGGGGAGGGCTTATTGGCAGTTTGTAGTTTTAGAGTGGGGGCTTATTCGAGCATCTAAACAGGCATCTAAAGCGGTATCTAAACAGGCAGGCTGCCCAATGTTGTTGCATTATCTGTTTCTTTTTGTCCTCGTAACACGCGTTGCCAAGGTTCTAATCAGCATATGGAAAGCTGTGTCTTGAATGTGATCATAACTTTGCCCATCTTGTTGAAAGCATACAAGCCAACAAATTACGTCTTTAATGTCTCCAAAACTTCCACCCAACAGTGGCAATGTTCTGCCCGCTTGCCTGTTTATTTTCACGTTTTTTCATTTCTAGAATGCTTTGGCCCCTTTCAAGCCCCCGTCAAATACAAAGATGTTTCTGTCTTCCTATATTTTACGCTCCTTTTCTAAACCTCTAGCGCTCATAAATAAGCTATTACATTAAAGTTACTGGGATATTTTTCTCCATTTGTTGGGGGAGTTTTAGTCTAAACTTGAGGACTATAGCGTACTTTTCTTTTTGAAAAATTTAGAGCTTTGGAATAGTTCCTTACAAGCTCTTGCGCAATCAGCATGCTTTGCGACCTTGTTTTCAAAACTGGCCTAATATCATACTCCATGGAATGTCCTGACAAAGTCCACTTCTCCCTCCCCCACCCCCCGCAAAAACGGCTACCGCAAAGCATGCCGGTTGCGCTATAGCCTTAAGATGACGACCAACCTCTTTAATTTCTGGTGTAGGAACAACGAGGCGTGGCCACGTTAATGGAAGGGACCAAGGCTAATTCAAACGCTTTGTTTGGTTAATCTTCACAGTCTGGCTTTGAATTTAAAATGTGTCTGCTTAAACGTCAATGGGTTCAGAAAGTTACTCCTCTGAGCTGTTAACTCAGATCTCTGTCCATACAAGACATTCTGCAGCTTGTCTCCACGCTTTGCTGCAGGCGTTTTGAGCAAAGTCCTTAAGCGATGACGTCACAGAATTATGTTTTTAAATTTTTGAATTGGGATATTGAAACCTGTAAATTTTGATCTCACAAGAGTGTCATTAAATAGCCTATAGATATTCAAAATCAGTTAAAAGTTGGCTGAGGTATGGCCCACACGAGCAAAGGATCTTTTCCCCATCAAACTTCTGGGATTTGGCTTCTGTTCATAACTTTTTGAAAAGAGCCAAAATAACAGAGGTCCGTTTGCAAATTTTCATTTGCCGTATCTCACCTGATATATGAGATATCAATCTGGTTTCGCATATTTAGAAGTATTTCACGGTGTTAATTTGGTTTATTTAGTCAAACTTAAGAAATTTTAAGAAAATATTGCGTATGTTGTCACACGTTAATACCTCTTTATCCATGGCAACAAAATTGCATGGTAGGCCTAGGCCCATGCTCTCAGCCTGGATTTATGCAGCGAGAGACGGCCTTGTTGTTAGGCTCAGTTATAACCTATCAGCATTGATAGATCAGAATTTGCAGTGGTAAAAACAAAACTGTCCGGCTATAGATAAGCTGTAGAGTTTATAGTATAAAAAAGCTGATGAACTCGCGTAAAAAAGCTGATGAACACCTCGTATCTCGAAGCGCAAAGCAATTCAGGTTGTCATGGGTACTGCTGGAAGCTGGGCAATCACGGATAAATCTACTTGGGAATTATTTTGAATATGTCCTGAACATGTTGGGTATCTTTTACGTTTGCTTTTATGGCTGCAAAGCATACAAATCAGAAGTTACATGTGTATTGTCGTCCAAGGCAACAAATGTTAAAAATGCTATGTCTCATACCATACATCTTCCCTTTGTGGATACAGCTTTGTTTAAAGCACTTGTTAAATTTTCTTAGCCACGGGTCAATTAGCAACTAGGGTTAACATACTACTAAACATAAGGCCTTTATGGAAAACTTGTTGGCATGTTACGTTCTGCTTTTGTTAATTTGTGACCTTATGACCTATAATTATCATTTTTAAGCTATATTGTACCTTTTTTTACATGTGAGCCCTCCATTGCACAATAAGCTCTTCTTGCCAATGATATAGACCATTGCCTCTGGCAGCATTTTGGAGCCTCTTAATTGCGTCACGATACCCAGCTGTTAGGCCCGTTTAGCAATTCTACTGACGTGATTTTTGCCGTTTCCGTTAGCTGTTCACTAAAGCGATTTACTGAAAATTCATATAATCGGACACGATATGTTCGTTGGCATTTTCTACAAAAGATTGATAGATTCCATTTACAAGTATTTTCATCCTCATCATCATTATAATATTACCTAAACGTAATCCATTTTTCGACAATCAGATGTAAATTTTGTGTACAATCGTGCGATGCTTCGGGCAGGATTACTGGTGACCTCATTTGAATGCGGGTATTTAGAAGAGAATCTGGTGTTGATTATCTCGATAGAAGAGAAAGAGGGACAAATTTTGAAGAAATTTGTGGTATATGTATGATCGGCATAAAAGTTGCATTTGTTGAATTTTCCAAATATTTGGAGGGATTTTGAATTGAGGCTTAAGAACCCACGGGTATCATAACCTAGAAGAAACCTCGAGGCAAAACGGAGTAATTTCTATACGCAATTCTTGGAAGACTGTATCACAGTGTAAACACGTGAACTTAGAATGAAAGTCGGTGACCAAAAGAATGCCGTACTCTTTCGAAGGGGAATTAACTGTAGAAGAGGGGGCAAGCCGTTGATTATATAAATGATAGGGCAATGGTCTATTGTTTAAATCAATGGAAAACCACTAGGGTTGGAGGGGTAGTTCACTTCCTTGTTAGTATGTTAAAAGTGCTCTGAAGAATGAAAACTGAAAGAAGTGTCTACTTTTGTTGAACAGTAAAACGGAAAGTTCTGATTCCATCTTTGCAATATTACACAGGAAAAAAGTATCTTCACGATATACATAGCAAAATGCGTTTCGCAAAAAGTTTGTTAAACGCTTATGATTCTATCCGAAAACCATTTTTTGTCAGAAACCAGCTTTTGAAATGTTACAGCATTTGAATCGAGAATTTTCACTCATTGAAGCTTAAGTTGGACAAAACAATTTTCTATGCTGCAAAGAGAGAATTTTCCCATGGATGTTGTCCTTTTTGTGAATTTCAATGGCCTTGTTTTTCAATAATATTTGGCCTTTAACAGTTTCTTCTTGAACTCTTCTCGAATAATTGAATGGCTGGGATTAAATGACAGTTGTTTCCGCCGAGAATTATAAATGCTTTTAAGGAAGTTTTTTAAATTGAAATTTTTTCCAGATCGTGGTGTTGTTTCTATAAACCGTATCATTGTTATTTTGAGAGGTACTTTGACTCTAAGTGAGGAAATGTCCTTCTAGAAATTGTGATTTGAAAACCAGTTTTTAATCGATACCAGCAGGATATGTTTGTTCTAAAGAAATATCCCTATTTTTGCCATTTTCTGGATATTTTATGCTCTATGTTGGGGGAAAGGGGGCTGGGTTAGAAAGAATAGTTTAGAAATATTTTTCTGGAATGTTTCTACTTTTCTTTGCCATAAATTTGTTCAGGGACAGATACATTATAGTTTGGAGAGCAATCTTAGATTTGGTGCTAACAATTTATGAAATGCCAGGTTTCTGGGATTAAAGAGTGGAGCAGGTTCCATCTTTTTAACCTGTTATTCCCTGTATTCTGATCTAACCAGACCCTCTGTGAATCTGTTTCAGGCTTGCAAATTCTAGTGAGTTTGTGAGAGATCCAAACGAGGGATGTCTTTAAGAGAGTAACACAACACCCTCTTCTTTGGATCAAGGAGCCTGTGCATTGAATTCACTCATTTTAATGTAGACGACTTTCGCTTTTTGCCCCTCACCCCAACCAAATAGTGCTTAGGTATTCTATAAACATGCTTCCTATCATTTGTGATAACCTTTGTATGGTCATTGCCCATGTATGTCCCTTGATGAACATCACCAGTTTTGGAAGCTTAATGCTTAATGTGTGTCCCATCAGCCTGCATCCTCAACAGGGAAGTTGTGGTCCATATGCTCGAAAGATGGCCCGGAATATTGTGGTCACGTGGTTTCAGGCATAGGAACTAGATTTTTCCTTTCTCTGGGTCATTCGTTATTTAGAGCTAAGAAAATAATGGTTGTACAACAATGGCCGGAAGACACTAGGACTAGGGGATGCACATCCCACTTCTTGACATCTTGTATTTCGTCTAAATTCGACGAGAAAAATTTTGGGGGAGAGGGATTGTTCTAAATATTTGCTGCTTACGCCACTGGATCAAGGTATTTAGAAGACGTACTTGTGGTCTCATGACAAGCTGTAACATGTGGAGCTCAATACCAATGCAGTAAAGCCCTAGATAATATATTGTATCTTTAAATCTTGCAGTATTGATAAATGGGGGCTAAAAAGAGAAGGGGACTTATTTTTTCCTTCCCAAACACCGAGAAGCTTTCTGAGAACTGGTCTTACAAAAAAGGGGTGGGGCCTGATACATAATTTACTGCAGTGTTCACTGAATTGATGGGTGTGGTTACCTTAATATTCATACCAAGTTTTTCATTTTACATTTGCTTGTGTTTCTGTGTCGATGTCACTTATGAGTCAGACATTCACACAAAACTGAAAGTCCAAAAAGGAAATGCTCTTCGTTTAATTATTTGCCAAAGAGGATTGTTGATAAATAAGTTCCTAATTTACTTCTTAAAATGACAACACCCATAAGATTATTAAATCGTTTGATCCCGCCGACAAAGAGAAAGCAGTCTAGTAGACATTAAAACATCATGTGATATTTTTGAAGAACTAGACAAAACCCTTTATGCAAAATTCTGTTGTTGAAAAAGTTGAATAAAACTCAATACGTGGATTTTAAAAAACCTGTTTTTTATTTTTGCAAGTGCTGTTGTAAGGTCCATCCTTGTCAATGAATTTGAAACAAACATGTTTATGTCTTTTGATATTATACCGTATTATACCGTATCATCGTTTCTGAAAATAAGTAATGTTATATTTTAGCTGCAAAGCTAGTGTGCATAAAATCCATAATATATGGAGTTGATTCCCACTTTTTTAAGTTTATGTCGTAGAAATGTCTGTTTGATATTGCATCTCAAGTATTTCTACTAATGGTTCTTAGCTATTTTAAAAATAATAAGAAAAGTTGTAAGTTATTTTAACAGTATTACAGTTCACCAAGCTGAGATATTGGTCTGTGCTTCAACCTATTTGTTTATAGTTCTACCCGGCTCACAACAGTCCCAGGCCCATAACAAGCCTTGCCTTTCCTACTCCCTCTATTATCTCTCTCGCAGTTTAGATTCCTAATTCCTAATTTCGCCCTCTCAGTAGTACGAATGCCATACGGATTTTGGGAAAACCAAAATAGACTTTGGAAAGTCTATAACCGGCCATGTTTAAGCTCAAGGGGCAATTAACTTTGTAATTTGGATATTTATAAAATCATTCATTTTGTGGTGTCTTGTGTTTTTAGCTTGCAGCGTGAATCATTCAAAATTTGAGATCGAAAATCATCGTAGCCTAATCGAAGATGTGGGATCTGTTAGTATCGTCTTGTAAAGGGGCCTAACTGATGAGTGATGTTTTTTGCAATGAGATCTGTGTTCATGTCTAGAATACTTTTTGCAGGTCCTGGCCCTGATTCTGTCAATTATCAGCGAGTTGCACCAGTACCACAAAACCGTTGCGGAATGCATTGCGCCTATTGTGGAATACTCGGCGTACAGAGAGCGGTATCCTACTCAGTACGAGATCAAAGAATGCTCAAGTGTACCGGTCACATGGAAGGCTGTAAACGAGGTTTGTATTCACTTCATTCTTCCAGTGTGGTAAAACCCGGCAAGCGTGAAACGCTCAAGAAAGGTTTCTATCTAGAAAAAAACTCGTTTTAGGGACAATAGCTACATTACTTGTTCATCCTCGTCCTAGAGCCTCATTAATCTAGTAAACCCCCGATAACTTGAATATTTGCTTGTCAAACTGATATTCCATTCATCTTGCCAAATGCTTTCATATGACCCCCCCTCGGAAACTCGAACATTCTCTATCTCCAACCATTGGTCCCTTTGAGGCTGGAGCTATCTGGAGTTTACTGTATACGTCTATTCTTCTCAACAGCTTAAGAAAGTTATTGTGAAATGTAATGTGGAAAAATACAACCAGCACTGACAGAGACGTAACAAACTGTGCTCAATAACTTTTTCTATATTATCTCTGCAATCTTCCTTGGATCTAAACTCTGTGATCCAGTCCAAAACTGTATTTATCCTTGGTAAACGTCAACACTTTCAATGGCCACCGCTCAGCCTAATAGCAGCTGATTTAGCTTATGTGATTTATGACGTCACCGCTCTTTTTAATTGAACTGAGCAAACCATCTTTATCGGCCCACGTGCTTTTGGAAATATTCTTCTGCTCTTTGCAGATCTATGTGATCTCCTAGCGAGAGTAGATCGGATCTCAATTGGACCTGATTTAATTTAATTACCAATATGCATAGAGTATACAAGAAATCTTGTGGATCCGATCCACTTTTTGTCCTCCATCTTATCTACTTTTGGTCCACTTTCGGGAAGGTTCAAGTGTAGGGCCAATCCACTGTGGCCCAACGTAAACGTGTGGACCAAATCAAAAAACTGCATCTGTCCCAGCTGTTGCTATTCACACCAGCAATTATATTTTTTATTAGACCTAAAAGTGAACCGGGTCTACGAGATGAACTGTCCAAACTGTATCTTCCTGATCCATGCCTTGTGTAAATGGGCAGATCAGATCGAAAACTGGATCTTTTCAAGTTGTTGCTTTACGAACCGGCAATAATGTTTTTATAAGACCTATTAAAAGGACCGTGTCTACGAGACCGCTTTTAGGCGGAAGACCTCTTCTTTCCAAACTGGATCTTCTGGATCCAATCAGCTTTTGATCCGATCTACTTTGTCTCGTGCAAACGTAGTCGTGTGTAAATGCTCCTCATGGTCATGATTTATAGCAATGAATTTATTGTAAATATTGAGTCAGGTCACAGAGTTCTAGAGTCAGCCCCCTTTTTTTAGAACAGGTCCGCCCGGTTTAGCGAAAATCTTACTGCTTGCAGTGTAAGAAAATATTACGGTGCGAGGATGGCGAGGTTCATTATCGTGGACTACGGATCCAAGGGTTCTGCGGTTTGCGTCATAGACATGTGTTCCAGGCATAGGACTCACGAGGTGTGGTCGATAAGCATAGCTTTTCAGTTTCGTAAGAACTTTAGAAGACTTAGTAGTAACGAGTTCAATACAGAATCGAAAACAATGTTAACTCTTATTACAATAAATCATATGAGGGGAGAAAGGTTTTCCCGAAAAACATAAAACAGTTTGATTGATAAACATCTGTTTAAAGCAACAGTTATACTGTTTGAATCGTAAAAAAGGCTTCCGTAATATTTCAGCCATTTAATTTCGGTTTGATTTAGACACCAAGTGTCTTTAAATCCGATTTAATTTGTTGAGTAAATTTTTCCTTTATTACCTTGACAATGTGCAAGATTAGTTTTCCTTGACTGGTTAAGTTTCATCTTGCTCCAAAAGAAATTTAATATGATAGGAAAATTCATTTATTGAAGGTTATAAACATCGATAATTTATTGGTTTCTCGTGAGATTCAGCTAAGCCTGTCACATTAAAGACTGTTTCGCTTGCACCAGACAACGCCACATTGTTGTCTGAAATTAAGAAGAGAAGTCTTTAGGTATCGCAAAAGAATGCTTCTTTCTCTTGTAAAGTTAGATCCCACGGATTTTGATTTTTTGTTGTCATTCATTTTATTTACATTTTACAACAGCTCTTATATGTCAAAATTATATGGAGTAAAGAGCCTTAAGCTGGTATTACATTCATTTCGTTAACATACCCTGGCTGGGAGTATGTTTAATATATACATGATGATGATAAAAAGAGTAGGTCATACTCAATGCTCAGCCATTCAGCAATCATCATCCTTGATTAATCACCATCATCAATATCAATCACCATCAATCAATGTCAATCACCATCAATCAATGTCAATCACCATCAATCAATGTCAATCACCATCAATCACTATTAATCACCATCAATCACTATCAATCACCATCAATCAATTACTACCAATCACCATCAATCAATTACTACCAATCACCATCAATCACTATCCATCACCATCGATTGCCATCAATCACCATTTGTCACTATTAATCACTGTCAATCACCATCAAGCACTGCCAAACACCATCAATCACCATCAATCACTATCAATCACCACCAATCATCATCAATCAATTACTACCAATCACCATCAATCAATTACTACCAATCACCATCAATCACTATCCATCACCATCAATTGCCATCAATCACCATTTGTCACTATTAATCACTGTCAATCACCATCAAGCACTGCCAAACACCATCAATCACCATCAATCACTATCAATCACCACCAATCACCATCAATCAATTACTACCAATCACCATCAATCATTATCCATCACCATCGATCGTCATTTGCTATCAGTCGTCAATCATCAGTCATCATCGATAAACTCAAAACAAAACTTGATTCTGTTTCGTTTTATCAAATGCTTTCTTTCGTTTCAAAGAAGGCCTTCTTGGAAAATGATCCAATTTCCTTTTCTAGAACTTCATAGCACATAGGACAGTAATGTCAACAATTGATTTCAACTTTCCTTTTTTCAACTAATGTAAACTATTTGGCCACAAGATACTGAAGCACAAACAATTTTATTGCAGTAGAAACCTAAGTATAGGAAGTTATTTTTTTCTGTTGTCTCTTGAGTGGGTTTCTGTTGAATGAGTATCTTTTAATAAATTATGGTTCGTATTAAATTGTCCGGTTATAAATTTGTTAAGGATGTTTGGATGTTTTGTTCATAGATCTTCAATCCTTGTTTTCTTGTGCTGCACTACTGATATCTATATACATGAAAATTCAATTTGAAATTATTCTTAGTCATTCAAACGAGAACCTTTCTTGTCAGATCCTTGTAAAAGTGGGTTGATATATACAGAAATGTATGCCCTAAAGATCGACTAAGTACGACCAACTAAACATCGTTTAACCTATAACTGATAAAGTCTTGGCAGGTTTTTTGTGTTCCGTTTGATGCCAAGATTGAGGTTTTGTTTGGTGGCCAAAAGCCCACTCCCACGTAAAACCTGTATCATTAACTTTCAATGTTAGGTTTGTGAAGACCAACAACAGTTGTAACAATGCATTTTTCATTATCTAGGTAAATCGTACATTGAGATATGGATATGGTCTGTCTAAGGAAGATCTTGCTGCAATCTTATCGTGGATGCATGGCGAAGATCTCTCGGAAAGCGCAAGGAAGCATCTAAACTTGAAAGTTGATGGTTTAATTTTGGTAATAAGCTTTTAGATCTATTCTCAAAAATCTCAAAAACTTAGTATTTCAAAAATCTCACTTTAGCCACCATCTTTATCCTGTGCTGTTGCAGTATTTTCGTCTAAAAGAGGCATCAGGTTTTATATTTTGGAAACGATGTTAACTTACGCCTCCATGTTCAGAAAGGAATATATTTTCTCATCTTTTAGACGAGTAGTAAAGAATTTCTTGTTTTTGGCACATGCCTGCGTCCTTGCCGTCAAAATGAGCATCTGCAGTGGTTCATTGGGCATAGTGACCAGTTGTGAAGACGGGGGTTGCTCATTTGTCAGTGATTTTTTCCCTAAGGACGAGATCTGCAAACCAAGGTCTCACATTTTCAGGCTTTGATTATGAGAAGCCGCAAAACGTTCTACCTTTGATGAATTCTAATTTCTGTATTATTAATTTCTTGCAGACATATCGAGAACGGCTGAGCAATTTAGATTCCTGCGAGTTTGATGTACCCGTTGCTTTCCAGTTGTATCCGTTAGTTCTACAGGATGTTATTAAAGTACGATTTCTTATGTTCTTTCTTAATATATTCGCTGAATTCAAGTACATCCCTTGTGTATTTTCTTTTTTTGAGTAGTTTTCTAAGGGGAATTGGCTTAGGCTGATCGAAAACGAAAGTATTTGCTTCTAACAGGCTTACTGATTGTTTAACTAGTTCATTTTCTCATTGAATCGATCAACCAAGTTAAATTAAACCGCGTGAGAATACTTTCTTTCGCATTCTGGAAGGGTGTGTCTAGCAATTAGACATTAATCACCAAACCTCAGATAGGTTTCATTTTCCTTGGGGATAAAAGGTGCAATGGTTAAGTCTCGTGGGTATGATCGTCCATTATTCAAGGGATATATTTCAGTATGCATATGTTAACTAACTCATTAGCAGAATTACTTTAACAAATAGCTTACTTTAACAAAAATTGCACCAATGAAAGGTTTTACTTTCGGTTTGTAGTTCATGACCTAGAATTAGAAAGGCGTTATTCGGTTTCAAATGAAAGCTTTCAAATTTTAAATGTAACGATTTAATGGTATCCAGTCTTGAAATCTCATTAGTTGAGGATGCTTTGATAAACCAGATTTTGTAGGCGTAGCGTTGCTAAAGTTAGACTTCTGTAAGATTATTGCCATTTCAGTTTACCAAATTATTTTATGAAAGCAGCTGATATATTACTATTTTGAAACTTTTAATGATCATATTCTGTGACTGTCCTAGGCCAAAAAAGTGAATTAAAACTTATCTGTGTTGAATCTTCAAGGTTCTGCCGAGACTTATCCTCGCTATATGCCCTAACTTTATTCTTATTCAGTGTTTATGTTTTCATGTAACGACATTGTTTCCGAGCAAAGCAAATTTTTCGATAACAGTAACTCTATTTGCCACAGGATTGTTGCAGCCCCGTTGAAAGCGTAGCTGCGACAGGCCAAGCGTTACCTGTAAACAAGGAAGATTTAGAAACACTTATTCGACGCGAGATCCCGCGGGTACAAGTGCAGGTCGGTGACGCATTGTACGATGTGGCGAGTCCGGGAAAGGCGTTCGAGAACACAAAACAAAAAATGGTTTGTATTAAAAAACTATTTCCGTCCAAGTAACAATTCTTTGGGTAGGGTTGGTGTCTAAGGTAACCATCTATTACCAACTCGGTAAATCGGGTTGCTGAGTTCAAATTTCCATTATGGTTTACTTTGTGTCAGTCCAATTTTGGATTGCTATATTCAAATCTAGGTTATGATATCCTGAATTAAAGTCCGGAATAAGGTTGGTCTTTTCTTCCCATGTAGTATATTTACTACATGGCCGTGATGACTTCAATTCCTAGTCCCTGTACAATACACTTCTGTTCACTTTTCAAATGTTCAAGCTACCGGAAAGAGTGCTCTCAACCGTTCATTTGTTCGCTTTCTTTGTATTTCGTAGTTCTTATTCAGATTTCGTCTACTTTGTTTTGCAGGTTGCTGTCCGGCTTCTTGTAGCTAGGTCTGCAAAACTTACCAAAATCGGAATTACCAAGGAACAGCTGGATCTGTTTTCGCTCAAAGTGCTGGCCACTGCTTGCATTTCCGTCAGTAATGCTTCGGCTAGGACAGCCGTGCTTATTGCTTTTGGGAAATCCAATTTGGTAATTATGATTATGATGATTTGTGTTTAATGCAGCAACCTTTTAGAAAACTGCTTTTATAAAAAACGCCGTTCACACAAGCCGGGCTAGTTTCGACTCCGAGTCAGGTCAACACGCTGCAGCAAAAAAATTTACGCTTACAAGAGTCTGGGTGAGCTGGTTCCTTTAGAGGGTTGACCTCGCCCAGCTTAACTTGTTAGCTTAATTGTAAAAATGACATCAAGTTTCTGCTTGGAAGCGTTTACAGGACCCCAGGTTTGGCGATCTTACTTCACATTTAAAAACTTTATAAAAAGCCATCCCTTCTTAACGGGTCAACCCCTACCCTGGACAAGGGTTACCTCGCAAGACGGGTTGACCCGTGTTGACCCAGGTTGACCCGGGTTGGCTGCTGCTATCATGTAAACGTTTATAAAGGTTTGACCAAGATATGCTAACTCTCTAAGGCGCGTAGCGGTAAACCCGGGCTCGTGTAAGTGGGACTTAATGTGACCAAAAACTTGAGAAATCATTGTACTGATCACGTTCAACCTTTTGAATTTGCTTGAAAATCCTTCTTTTTGGACAGTAGTGGAAATGTTTCTTTTCGGAGATTTGAAGATGTTTCCTTAGATGATTAGAAAGAAAAGCTCCTTGGGACTTATAGGGTGCTCCAATCTCATGTTACATTTTTTGTTTACAAACAGGGCCAATTTGGCGTTGGGTATTTAAGGAAATATTTTAACTTGGGAGGTTAGCAATTTAGTGTACATAAGAAGTTCAGTTTGCTGTGAAATATCACAAAGCCATTGTTCGTCCAGAATATTTTCCATCATTTTCCTCCGTCCAAAAATAATTATCTATTCTTCATAGCACTGAGTTTTTCGTGCTAGAGCTGTCTTTTACCATTAGCTGTCTATATTATATGAATATTCACATTTTTTATAGATAATATTAAACAGATTTAAATCATGTAGTCTGGTAATTGCATTCGGCGTTATGTTTGGTGTTATAAGTTTTGCCCGTCTTGTTCTTCATATTGAGTTAAAAAAAACTTTAAAATGGCTTTGAAAAAAGCAAGCATTTAATTTGTGTACATAAAATTTGATTTGTGTTCAAATGTCTGCTTTTTTCAAAACCATTTTTAGTTTTGTACCACCAAAAAATTCTTTAAAAAACTTAGTTAATAGTTCACTAAACTAATTTTTAGTTGTTGTAATCTTTAATCATTGTGGGCCAACCTTGCTTTGTAATTAAGTATGTATATAGCTAAATTGATTACGGCTTTTAAAATTATTACTTATTGATATAGCAGTAATTTTGGTACCAAACTAAGACAAAAATTGGAACTTAATATTGACAGATAATTATGGATTCTAATCTGTGAATTTTTCTTTTAGTTTTAAAGTAATAAGATAAGTTTGCCGCGAAACTAGTAAGACAGGAGTGTATTCATTCAAGCCTTTTTTCTAGATTCAAGTGAAGCCATCAAACTCAAAACCCAGCGAACCAGCTCAAATTTCGATCAATAACGGAAGTATCCAAATCGAAGTGCCCTCGCAATGGTAAGATTCCTAGAAATTTGAATTCTGATACTCAGTTCCTGGAAAATCTGTACTTTTCATACTCAGTTCTTGGAAAACTTGTTCTCAAGAAAGTCATTGCTTAAGAGCCTTAATGTTTTTAGAATTTTTAATGTTTACTTGTTGCAGTTGTGATTAATTTTTTTAATGGCTTGAATTACTTGCCAAAGAATTCGTTGAAAATGTCCTGTCACGATCGTCGAAGTTAATGCTAAGATTTTACACTTTACTCCGACCAGCATGGAAGCTACAAAACAAAGCACCCCGACAACCCCCCCCCTCCTCCCAGAGGACGTTCATCTACCACCTATTTATCCAGGGTATGCATTGACCACTATCTTTTTAAATGTTACCTTAACTTTTCTGTCTTTTCAAGGGCTTTAACAGAGGATGCTACCCTTTTCCAATCACTATCGCGAGACTCAACATGGAATTCACCTGTTGCTACAGTTGATGCGGTATACAAAAGTGTCCTGAATTTTAAAGCGGAGGTTCAACGGCAGTATGTCATTCTTCATCATTCCATTTCATGTTAACGCGTGGAAATCAAATCGGCATTTGATTACTAATTTGACAACTTGTTTTGTTGCTATAATCCACACTGTAACATTTTACACTTGGATTGTTTCAGGGCTCGAGTTTTCTTTTTAGAAGTGAATCATAAGAAATTGTGTTTGTTTGTCATTGTTTCCCTGATTTTTAACCAGGAAGGACATTTGTCTAGTATTTTTCTTTAAACGATTCGCAGTTTTTTCGAATTTTCGAATCTTGAAACTTCGAATCAAAAACTTTATCTAGCAACATATGCGATTTTTTTATTACATATTTTTGTTGTTGATTTTTATTGTACATTTTTGTTAGCAGTTTTAAGTTGTCATCATTTTATATGTGTCAAATCCACTTTAGATTTATGACTTCTGTGTAATCATATTTTTGTGGTTGTGCCTATTGACCATTTAAGTTCTAAAATGAAGAAGTTTATGTCATGGTACTCAAGTATGTATAGATAGCCTTAATGCTGAAGAGATCTAACTTATCACCGTCGTACCTTAGGGCCCAGTCCCTCCCAGTTGTTCGGATTATACGCTGTTCTGGCATCGCTACTCAAAAGGGCCTAGACAAGAAGGACCCAACAACAAAAGGCCTACGAAAAAGGCTAAGCAGAGCAACATCGAAATTATTCAATCGAAAATCTATGATTCAGAAGGATGGCAGTCGTCAAAGCGAAGGACTGCTCGATAGCCCGAGAACTAAGGTCGAAGGAATAGACAACCCCGGGATCAGTATTTCTGACTCTTTGAAAGGTAGGTACCGTTTTCTTTGGTATTGATGTGGTCCCGATGAATTGTGGGAGATGGGATCTATTAGTGGTTCGAAATGCTACCATCGATCGAAGCCATTGGGAGATTTTCCTGCGAGGCTTCGGCAAGGGGTCAAGCCTTTGTTCTTGTAAAGAGCAAGGTCACCAGAGGTGAAGTGAAATCCCCCTCCCGTAGTTTATATGTCATAAAAGGCCCTCTGAGTAACTGGCATTTTCCTGTTCAAAAAACATTGAATCAATTATAACTGAATCAGCAGTGGTTTGTGATATATATGCTCTATAATTTAATTTCTCTTGCTGTTTGTTATTGACTCTGCGGGGTATGTTTAATTCAAGGTCAACGGAAAAAATAATCATCACAATTTCCATTTTCTTTGTTTAGGAAATGTTGAGAGCCTGGCTACAGATGACGACCCACCTGTTCCGCCCCCAAGACCCCGCCGAAAGGCCAGGACGAAACGCAAATCCGAAGCCACTCGGAAGCAACTTAAATTGTTGGAAGAAGCAAAGCACGATCCACAGTGGTTTACATCTTGTAAGAAACTTGATGAACCAGCGTTGCCAGATGTCGAAGGTACGATGCTACTACACGTGGTTGGGATACTTGTTCGTCTTAAATCACCTCTTCCCTTGTATAGTGCTAACTTCTAAAGAGTTACTTTGGAACTGCAGCTATATTACTCGATCATACACAGGGGTACTGTACTATAAAAGATTAAGGCGGCTCACAAAAATTACTCAAGAAGTAGAAATTTGTTATTTTTTAAGTAACCATTAAGACTTGGTCCTTTCGCCTAACTTTCTGGCCCTATCTTCTTCACTATATAATTTAGATGCAAAGCAAGTTTTCGTAAGTGTCAGTAATCATTCAAAGATGGTATCTGTAATATTTCAAATTATGCTGAATCAAGAACATTCCCCGCTGAACAGGATTTAACCTAAATTTTGATGAAATAAGAGAACTTGCATTGTTCTGCGAATTTGAAATTTTATTTGTGGATTTGTTTCTCAATCAGTTTGTATTTGTGTCTTTTTATAGGGGGGAGCACTTCGCTTTCCATTGCCTCATTTGAAGAACTCAAGGATGTTATCGATCTTCTATCGGGATCCAGTACCAGTAGCCTCGGTCTCAATCAGCCATTAGACATAGATAGGAACGTTCCTCCTAAGGCTGGCCCTAGAAAAGAGGAAGTGGTAAGGGCTGAGATCGAAAGCAAAGGTAAAGTATCTCCATCTGACAGTGGCCTCGGTAGTAGCATGAGCGTGCAAAGCCACCCGTCTGTAACCTCGATATCACAGTTACACGGTAATGAGGCCTCTGTGCTTAAGACCCACGAAATTTACGATGCTGACGTTTCAGAGGAAACCATTTCAATGTTGGTTGCTAATGACCTGAATGAAGCTGTGGAGAGTTTGGAAAATCAGCCCTTAACAGCCAATACCTTCATTGGCGTGATCGATGATACTGGGCAGGAGGACGCTGAGGTTGAAATGTACAACGATGACTTAAGAGATAGCAGCGAATCGCTGGACGGGGAAGAAGAGCGAGAGAATGACGAAACGCCATCAAATGGCAAGACTATAGATTTTGTTGATATTGAAACAGAGTTATCTAATGAGATGAAAGGAGATATTATTGTGGAATCAGTAAGCGGTGACCAGGAGAAAAGCGATCAGTGCTGTGATGAAGATCAAGCAGAAGTGCCAGAAATTAGTGATATTGCCACTGTAGCTGATGGCAGTATTGCAGGGTAAGCAGTTGTCCTTGCTATTTGTTTTTTTAACAAGTTAGAAAATTTATTCCTAGAAATTATGGATAATTTTCTCCCAGTAGCGAATACCTTGTATAAAAAGCTTTGACACGTGGGAGTAATTCTACAGGGTTTGGTCGCAAAAAGAAGTTTAGAGCGAAATTTTTCTTATTTGTGTGTTGCCGACAAAAGGAGTTACCTGCTATAAAGTGCTATCTGCTAAAACGAGCTGTCCGCTATCTGTCAACTGACGTGTGTCCGCAACAAATAGGTGTCCGTAAATGATTGCGGTTGGAGTAAATTTAAAGTGAGTAATTGCTTTCAGTTGAAGATAAAGCGGATGTCTAGAGTTTGTTTTTCTCGGAACAGGGGTTGATTTATTAAAAAGGTATTATTTTTGCTTAGTTCTTTGAAGCATACGCTATGCTGACAGAAAACTTTGCAATCTATTCTTGCGTTATTCATTTGAGAGAATTTTTAACGTCATATGTCTCAAGAACCAATCTCACTGTTTAACGTAGACTTCGAAAGACTTAACATTTTCAGTCATGGCAAAATAAAACTGAATGTAAGGTGCTATTTCAGTAGAATAATTGAAGATCTCTCTGTCAATTCTTCTCAGATTGAGAAAATTTCTGGTCATTTTTCTCGCGTTCTTTTTGATCCACATCTATTATCTTTGTTCATTATCCAATGTTGAAATTTTTCGGTACCGGATGCTTCTTCGTGAATTTCCTTTCAAGATACAAATAACTTTGTTTACAGAACTTTATATTATTGTTGATATGCCAAATTAAAACCCACACGTGAATATATTTTACCAATGATGTGACTAGAGGATCTCAATTAAGGCGGAATTTCGTTCTCGCACAATACGATGCTCTGATCAGAGCTCGTCGATTTAGCTTGGTTGGTTAACACCTTTCTCGGTGGAAAGAAAGTGGAGAGAAAGCTTTCCTGGAGTATTGGGCTGCCACGAAAATAGAATTAAGACAAAATCAAGCAAATTTACAATGTTCATAAAATTGAATAAAAAATAACCGCTGCTTTTGAGCGATAATAGTCCAGAAATCACAGGCCAATCTTCTTTTATCTGGGGGCCTAGGCCCATTTTGTCAGGTTGGCCAAAACCTTAACATAAAATTTGTCAATGGTGCTCTCTTTTTTCAGGATTTCTTTTCTCGTGCCTCAACTGCCCCTCTTGGTCCGTCAAAAAATACAACTCTGATATGCAGAGATTTGTTAATGTTAGCGAAAACGTTTTTGCAATAACGATTCTTTCCTAATGCAGGCAGGTGCTGAATGCTGAAATATTGGTGGAGCAGGACCAGCATTGTTATGATGCGGACGGTTCAGATCAGTCAGAAGAAAACGTACCGGTAGAGAGAGAAGAAGCATCGTCCAAAAGCATTATGCACGGATCAAATGAGAGTCTGTATTACAGCGCCTGGGCACTAAATGACGTCACGGTACCAAAAAACGAGCCGTCGAAGCTTGAGGGGCCTGTGACGGGGGATATGATTCCGACCGATTCTTATTTCGCATCCGGACTTGATTCAAGTTTTTCAGAGAAGGCCGATACGTCGGAAGATTTCGAAGATTGCAAAGAACCGGACGAAATGCTCTACCAACATTTCAACCCAAGGTTCTCGTGGCCTGTAGGGCTTGGGGACCGGCTTGCTGCTATTTGGGATAAAAAGGAAATGCAATCACCACAGGTATGTAAAATTTGCATTTAGTTGTCTTTGTAATTTAAAAATTCATTTCAATGGCTCAGAGGCCATTTTTTCGGTGTAATTTCGTAGTCTCTCAAGAATTCAATGCTTCTCTCATACAGTACCTATATAGTATTTATCAGACTTCTAGAAGTGTAGTAGTGAGATACATTTTTTTGTCCGGGATGCAGCCTAAACAAATAGCCTAAACAAAGTATTTTTTTGTAGGCTGTCAAAATTGTTATCTTTCGATTTGGAAAACCTGAGAATAAGGGCTTTTTCTAATTCAAAACACAAAATCACACTAGTCTTTTCAAACATTTTCTTTCTTCTTTCATCTTTGCTTCAGAAATAAATAATCACCTGTCTTATTTTCAAATCGTCACGTCAATTTTTAACTCTTGTAACAGAACCTCCTCAAATTGCTCCTATACTTTCGCGTCTTAAAGGTACTTAATTCCATTTTGGAGGGTCTTAATCTGTAGTTTCTTTTACACTCCTTTTTTCTTTAAGATCACGCTCAATGAGCACTCCGAGGGTCGATTTGCCAAATAGTAAGAACAGCCTAATAAAAAAAGTTTATAAGAAAAAGGCAATTTTACTTTTGAAAATATTTTCTCGTGTTAACAAACAGAGCAGTTATTATAGGCCAATCAACTTTGCTACTGAGAATGTCATGCAAAACTGTTATTGAAATGTCTTTGAAGCAAAATCAATGTTGAAATAAACACAACACTCATTACGAACGCCGAAACCTCAAATTATCAAAAAAATAAGAGAATCGAGCCTCAGCAGAAATTATCTGGTTCCTGAAAAAGAATACTCAAGGCCCTTAATAGAAGGGGGTCTTGATAGTTAAGGGGGGTCAGAAATTTCTCCAAGAATAAATAAGCGGGGCGGGGGTTCTTAGTAAGTGGGGGATTGGAAATGTGAAAAATCTGAAAAATCGCGTGATAATTCTTTTTTGGGTTCAGAGTAAGTTTCCAACTAAATTTCTACATATAATGGCGCTCATTTTCAATAAAAAGTTCACTCATCCACTAATAATGCAATGCGATGTTTTCTTTCTATGTTAAAACGTTTGTACAATGCAACCTCTTCATTCAAGAGAAACTTTACACAAATTTCACAGCTGCAAGAACAAAGGACAAATAAAATAAGGGATATGAATGACTGCATATAAAATTAATAAACGGGAGGGGGGTCCAAATAAGCTCCAGGAGGGGTGTCGGAAAAAATCGAAAAATAAAAGATTGAGAGAAGGACCTTAGAGAAGATTGTTTGTGGGCTGTTACTGTATTTTTCTGGGCATTGTCAACGTTATCAAAGAACTTTGACGCAGATTTCACACTGCGTTATCCAAGTTGAATATCTTGAAATCGCGTCGTCGAAGCTGTTTTATGCTTAAAATGCTCAGTTTCTAGAAATAATCATGCCCACGGCCTCATTATTTATTTATTTGAAGATAGCCAAAGAGAATTTATATTATCTTTCCAATGACATGCACATATTTTAAGGCACTTTTCAAAAGATCTAGATGTATTATGACTTGCACATGGCCGATGACTCTCCTCCTTGGTGGTTATTGTCTGTGACGCAGGTTAACAGGGCCCATGCCACGAAGTTTATAACATGAGGGGGGGGGGGGGGGGGGGGGGCCAAGGCTAACGAGAGTGAGGGGTAGAAATTAGACATACATTGTTTTTTCTAAAAATATATTCGTCTCCAACGGGCACCGCGAAGCGTTTAGAAAACTGGGTGTCTCCTAATATTTTTAATATAATATTTAAAGTTTTGCTGGTGGGTCGTTTCTTAATATTTTGCATTTTTGGCAAAAGGTAGGCCCCAGCTCCACTGCTCTGCACTGCATGGCCTAAAAAGAATTCTCGTAATGTGAATGTGCTAAGGCAAACTTTGGAAACTTCATACTACCTGGGTACTGTCTAAGATTATTTGAATCTCTGCTCTAGATGTATTCATTACCGTGACACACATTTGTTCATCAGACACTCGACTTCAACCAGGGAGAGTCAGGCATAGACGTTAGGGGCACCGTAATCTCCCATGGTTTCTGCAAAAGCCCTTCTAGAAGAAGCAAGTGCCCCTTTTAGGTTGAATTTATTGTCACAATGCCCTTTTCACCAGCAGCTCTTGGTTACAGGTGACCACACGCCCTCCCCCACCAATTTGTAAACGCTTCTATGGGCTCCGATATTTTTTGCAAAAATAGTGGGGGCATGCTCCTGGCCCCCATTCATCGGAGGCTCTGGCTCTCAACGTCCCTGGTACCCTCTACGTCCGTGTTACCCATGCTGGTGCCTTGGTAAGATTTCAGGCTTCTGGATATCTTTGGGAGACCTTTTCGACCTCCAAACATTATCGTTATCCCCTATAGGCGTTTTAAATTGGATAGGAACTTCCTCTATTTCCGAAACTCGAAAACTCGTTATTTGAAAAGGTAGGATTATATTGCCTCTAAAACAAATTTATGTTTTTACAAGTGACTTTTAGTGTTCTAACCCCCCCCGTCTTCAACTAATCAGTAGAAAAGGTCAAACCTCCCGTGAAAGAATGAATACATCAGGAAAATCTTTTGAAAAACATAAGCCTTATACCACATTCACAATAGAACAATTATTATACATTAATTTGAATAATAAACAGTTTCTTTTATCTATGATAACAATTCGCAAAAACACGAGTCGTCCATGCTTAAAATATTTTTGGTAGCAAGAATCCACTTTGTTCTTTGTACTTGGCAAATCCTGGGTATCTAGAGAGTGAAGCCTCTTTTCTTCTCATTCCGGGATAGTAAATCAAAACTGAAAAGAGTGTCACGATGACTATTGATATCCAATGCTCGGCAAGAAGTCCAAACGACAGGTAAATGAAAATCTCTCCAAGATAGTTACAGTTTCGACTGCGGGCGAATAGGCCGTCTGTGATTAAACCGCGATGGAACTTAAGTGTGTAATACTTCTGACAATCGGAGCAAAAATGAAGGAAAATTCCCAAACAAAGTGTGGATATTGAGATTGCTATTGTCAAATTCCTGGGTTGGTGGTGCGAACTCACAAGAATATAAGGTGGAATCCAGTATCCAAAAGGGCCAAGAAACAAGAACACGGCTAGTGACTTTACCAAGCTTGCATCTTTTCCCCAAGTTGAATCTGGGAATGAAAATTCTTTGCAAAACCAGATTATTATATAAGTTCCATGTAACGATAAATACACGCACGGGCCGATCGTGAAATTGTCAAAGTAATACATTAGTCCGAGCAGGTACACTATCGTTGTAGCTTTGTGTAAGTTTATCGAATATCGCATCGGCATGCCCATCTTGAGCAATGAAATCAAAAGTGCTCAGACTTGTCGTGTGTAATAAACGTGTTACCTCAACTGCTCTTTGTTTTTAATCAGGACTTGAATTAAGCACCCGTCGGCGAGAATCACGAGCAAACATCCAAAGACGAGTTGAACATGTCTGGGTCACCGGTCGCCGCTGGACTGGACTTTGTACAGGTCATGTTCAAGCTTCCAGTAGCTAGGACGTTGGCTGGGACGGGGGATATGTGTCAAACCTCATCTGTTACCCCCCAAATGAAAATTTTGACAACAGCTTGCCCCCTTTGGCTACAGTTTTTCCATATGATATTTTGAAAATTTGGCATATTTATAATTCCATGACCTTGATTTTGTCCAAATATATCTGTTTGTTATATATCTGTTTTCTTGTTTTAAAGCCTGCCGCCCTCAGGTATGGTTCTTGCTCGAGTTTGCCCCCCCCCCCCCTAGCCGACACCTACAGCTACGTGGTTGTAGTGGAGCACTTTCGAATTTTCCGATTTCCACAGATGTGCACGGGTATGAAATAAACGTAACCCCCCGCTAAATAATTTTTTAATAAAATTCACTAAAAATCTATTATATTCGCGCCTCGAATATTAAGAAACTTGAGAAAACATATTTAAGGATTTTTAGAGACAAAGCGATTCGTGAATTATCCACCCCGCTTATTGGAATTTGGGAATTTTTCACCCAACCCGATTAAACACGTTTTTTATTATAAGAAACTGGTTTATGAGAAAATAATACTAGAATGGCCTAAAATTTAAGAAACTTTAGTACTAGGCTCAAGAAAAATTAAGAAAAATCGTTGTATCAAAATCGTTTTAGCTATTTTTTTGCCCGTATTTTAATTTTGTCGATTCTTCTTTGAAAGAGATAGCATACTATGGATTTTGATCTGAGTGGGTTTTTGTCACGATCTGCTTTTTTTTCTTCCAAAAATGCTAAACTTCAAAACAATAAGGCCATTTTAGGTCTTTGAAATAGGAAACGAACTAAGAAACTTTTAGTAATTAAACGCCAAAATTTAGATGCCATATTGAAAAACTTTTATTACTTATTGCTGATTAAGGTTTTTTATAAAATAACGTCAATTCTAATATTTTGTACTTTAGAGTGGACAGAAATCTTTATTTCGTGCTGCTTATCTATTCAGTCTCTTTGCTCATCTTGGTTCTAAACTGCAAGTTCGTTTGCCCCGGGGTGGGCTTTTGTCCCCTTCCTCCTTTGTCCAAGGCTGGGCATTTGTCCCCTCACTCGTTTGTCCCGGTCTGGGCTTTTGTCCCCTCTTTCACTACCAGTAACTGCCAATGCTTGACAGTCTGTTTTAACTGAACTTTCATCTTGCCCAATTTCGATTCTCAAGTTATAGTATATGTTCTTTGTAGCCAATGTCTCCTCATTCATCTAGCCCCTTTCAGATCAGTTAAACCCTTCCCTGTCCCATTGTCATTGCCTGTCAAATCGGCAATGCCCTCCTTTTGAGCCTCAAAGAAACGCACACATTTGAACTTGACCTCCGTTTTCATATTTTACAATAAAGTGATTTATTTTTTCTAACACATTGCACACAAATATAAAGTTCACTGCCATTGGACTGTGTTTTAATCTGCGGTTAACCATAAACCCTCACTAAACGGTGTATCACGATGCAATGGTCTTTATCGACGCAAAGGCACTGAGCCTAGCTATGAAGGTCATCGTGTTTACTTTTGTCACTGGAAATCAGAGGCGTAGCTTGATCTTAAAAATTGGGGTGGGGGCATCAGTAGTAAAATAACCGACAAAGGCAAAGATGAAGAAAAATTCAGATGTTTTTTACCCCCCGACAGACAATTTCACCTACCTTTTAAGATAATGTTGACCAACTGCAGATTTACCGATGATCTCATGAAGGTTTTGGGGGTCACACACCCTACACTACCGCTAGCTACGCCCTTGCTGGAAACCAAGTACTGCTATTATAAGAAGTTAATGATAATTAACGGACTAAAATCCTTTGCTCAGAAACCATCAACAGGGGAAATTCACAATTCGTATTGTATTGTTTAGTAACCGAGGAGCATACTGTTTCTTCAATTAGATATTTCCTAGCAAAGTGAATGATAATTTTTTGCATATCGAATGTTTTAATGCAGTTTGTATCCTATTTTCGAAGGGTGAGCTTCCCAACAATGTGAGAGAACTGGTTCAGCCCCTTTGTATTGTACCCCCCTCAGGGAACTGTCATTTTTTATGACAGGGAAGGGCTGGAGGTATTTCTTAGATTTATGTAAGAAATTTTGACCACTCCACTTATGCTATACTTTCCTAGGTCCTCTGTGATAATTTTCAAATATCTTTTGATAGGCGGCTTTTTATCAGGGCCCCCACTGATATGATGTCTGAATTAGAATTTTTAAGAAATTTTACATAGTTTTCCATGACTTCCAATGAGCAACAAGATTTTGTATTTTCACAGTAACTCCTTGTCTTCCTGTTCTTGTACTTGCTCAAATCTCTTTCATTTGGGGTCACCACTGCAGATACATCATTGTAGGGTTAAACCCAGAATTTACCCAACAAGGGGGCTAGACTCCCAGACAAGGTCCTGTCTAAAAACAAGTATAAACTTCCTCTTAGATTTTCCCCGACAGGGGGCCTTTAGCCCCTTGTTTCTCTCTCTAGTAACACATTTCTACCATCACCCTATCCTAGTTATCTTCACATCTTCCTTTTGGCCTTCCATTCCCTTGTCTCAACTCTTGTCTACTTAACCACCCATATTCGTGCAAAAATTTCTTGCCGCAATTGATTCATTTATTAACTTTCCTGCAGACATCAAATACGACGACTTCGAATGAGATTTGGAGCCAAGAAGACACTTTCAAGAGAGACAGACGAGGTGATACACAAAGCAAACCAAATGAAGGGTTCAAAATTGCAAGGGGGCAACAAGTCGCATCCTCAGGAAATGGGATTTCTTCACCAGGCTGGATAACTACTATGTAAGTTTTCCATTCCATTCAATGGCTGCGCCAGCCACTAAGCTCTGGGGGAGGGGGGGGGGGACAAACCAAAAAAAATTAAGCCACGCCCTTTTAACAACCAGAAAATGCCCTTTTACCATCCGAAAACGCCAATTTTATCCGAAGGGAACGCCTATGACTAACTTTTGTTTGAAAATTGGCAGTTTGAAAATCATAGGATTACATCACAAAAAGTACCGTGTCAAAATATTACCCCTCCCCCAACATTTTCTAATCGAATTTAGACGAACTAAAAAGTCGATTCTCCTGAGAACTGGGGGGGCGTGTCCCTCCCCAGTCCCCCCCCGTGGCGCCGCTACTGATTCCATTCTCTAACCATATTTGTCTAGAAACATAGTTCAGTTCTCCACAACAAAGGAACTGCCTCAGGGACCATATTTATCTGAATAGACACATTTTTTATAAAAAGCTGTCTTAAAGAAACCGCGCCCTAAAGTTAACCAAAAACTTTAGAAGCCATTAAACGACTAGACGCCCAGGCCTATTTTCTTTTAAATAGACACAGAAAATATTGAAAGAAGAAATTTTTGCGACAAATTCAGTGTTATTTTCATGTTTCTCGTGTTACGTTTTATGTTATTGTTTATCTAAAAAATACCTCGTAAATTTCTCTTTAAGGAACCTTAAGAAAACGTTAAGTGCTAAAATCAATAACAGTATTTAGAATATGAGTCCTAACCCCGAGCTTAGTTTTGGCTTGGGGAAATGCATTTAGTTTTTGCCTTCAAATTAAAGTTCCAAAATGCATTTAAGTTGGGACATAGTTTCCATGCTAAAAAGATTTGTTGGGAGTTATTATTATTATTATTATTATTATTATCAATAAAGCACGCATAAAGCAACGCTCTGTGGTTGTCACTCTTTTGGATTTAAAGAACGCATTTGGAGAGGTCCATCATAACTTAATCATTAAAGCTATGGACTATCATCACATCCCTGCTCACTTTCAAGATCTTGTGTCTAATCTTTATACTGATTTCCACACTTCAATTATAACAGATAATTTCAGGTCTCCGGCCATTCCAGTCAAAAGAGGAGTACTGCAAGGGGACTGCCTCAGCCCTCTCATTTTCAATTTATGTTTCAACACCTTTATTCAGCTGGTAAAACAAGACAAATATAAACAACTTGGATTTTCTCCTCATGACGGCAATGATCGCTTGTTTAACCCGGTTCACTGGTTTCAATTCGCTGATGATGCTGCAGTTGTCACAAGTGATGAACGCGAAAATCAATTATTGCTAAACTGTTTTACAAGATGGTGCCAATGGGCAAATATGATCATCCGCGTAGACAAGTGCATCACCTTTGGAATTAAAAAGTTTGCAACTAAATCTGCACAGTTTCAGCCTAAACTCTTCATTAACAACGATCCTGTCCCTTTTGTGAAACATGGCGAATCTTTCAAATACCTGGGTCGTTTCTTCAATTATGATATGAAGAACCAGGAACACAAGGATCACTTGACCTCTTCTCTCCGTGAGATGCTCAAAGTTATCGATTCCTTGAAAATTCACCCGCGGAACAAAATTCTACTGTTTAATCAATACATCCTTTCAAAGCTCTCTTGGGATCTCACAGTTGCTAATCTCTCCAAAACGTGGGTTTGCGAAAACTTAGATCAGCTTGTCACAAAATTCGTTCGACAGTGGCTCGAGCTTCCAATATCTTCGACATTGAGTGGCATAGTTCTTTCTCGTAAACACTTTGGTCTTGAGCTTCTGCTTCCTTCCGTAAAGTTTCAACAGTGCCAGACTGTTCTTCGAAACTCACTCAAATCTTCGCCCAACGAAAACATCAAATCCCTATGGATGAACACCAATTATGGACCTAATATACAGTTCGACGCATACAAGAACACTAAGGCGGTACTGAAATGTGTAAGGGATGAACACACTGAAAAGCTCAAAACTCAGTTAACATCTCAAGGCTTCATCATTTCATTCCTGCTTGAGCATTCATATACAAAGTTAACCTCACTCTGGTCTGCAGCTCAAAGTAAACTTCCAAAAAACATCTTCAACTTTACGATAAGGTATCTCAACAACACACTAGCCACAAGGAACAACCTCTGCTTATGGAAAATTAGCTCTTCTCCAGATTGCTCATTCTGCCTTCAGCCTGAATCACTTCTTCATGTCGTAGCTGGATGTAACAAATACCTTGAGCAAGGGCGTTTTACTTGGAGGCACGACTCTGCCCTGCACTTCATTGCATCATCATTTCAATGTATCCGAGATGTATTCATATATGCTGACATTCCCGCTTATTTATCACCATGTATCATAACTGGCGATTCGTTCCGTCCCGACATGCTAATCAAAACTGCTTCTAACTGTCTGTATGTCATCGAATTAACTGTTGGGTTCGAGACTAACCTGGACAATAACGCTTCGCGTAAAGCTGAGAAGTACCGTTCCCTTCTAAAGGAACTACGCCCTAAGTTCAAAAAAGTAAACTTTGTTAATCTATCTATCAGCTGTCTCGGTATCTTTGGTAACTCCTGTGATTCTTTCATCGATATGTGTGATGAACTAAAACTTGACTACCAACACCGTAATTTTATAATTAAAAAACTGTCAGCAATAATTATACGCACATCCTATTATATATTCTGTATGCGCAATAAGACTTGGACAAACCCTGAACTGCTCTCCTTCTAAAGATTCTTTGCACTCATATGATTTATTTAAATGTTATAACTTTTGTAAAATTAGTAAACTTGTCACCAGGCTAGCCGATGGTAACTACCTGTAAAGTGAGGTTACTGTTGTAAGTAGAAGAATATAAAATAAAAAATGTTTTCATATTATTATCTTTGCATCACACGCTAGCATAATTTTGCTCGTTCGTCTAGCTTAGAATAATTGACATTGCGGCTTCGATCGGATATGAATTTTTTATCACGTTTTTAAATGCATGCTATTTGATAAAAAAGTTTCGACATAAAATAGTTTTGATTCCTGTCTCTTGATAAAAAGAAGATGGTCGATGAATCAAGCATGAAAGTGCAGATTTTTGAAGTTGTTTCTTTGCATCTATACCTCATTGATTACTTGTAATTCTTTGTATATGAGTGATTCCTTCTTACATTTAGGCCCAATCTGGAAGACACATACATGAGTGCTCCTGTCACCCAGAGCGAGAATTGGGATAGATATGGTCAAATGACGTCACGACAAAAAGAGGTACATTCTCTATCCACTGTTTTATTCCCATACTTTGTTATGATCTGTTTTTAGGACAGCTACGAGTCTTGCCAAAACACTTGAAAAACTTTCCTAAACATTTTTCAAGAGGTTTTGGCTATGATTCTAAGGGACATTTATGACCTTGAAAGAAATTCGATTTGTCGTAAGAATCTTTTCAACTCCAGAAACCTGTTATATGTCTAAGAAATACCCTTGCATTCTTTTAATTTTACCCTGAAAAGCCTTGATTTACATTTTGAAGCTCTTGCTTTATTTACTTGTTTTCCATTGAAAATTCCACGTTTTGAGGCAGATAAAGACGGTTTATCTTCAACGGGTCTGGACTTGTGTGCTTTTGGTAAACCATTGTTTCTCCTAATTAGATCATCGAAGAACCATGTAAAACCCTTTTATTGAAAATAGAATTTCTCGTTTACTTATATGCATGGAAATCTCTCAAGAATTAGGTGCTTTCTCTGAATAACTTCTATCTCTTTTGGCTGGAAACGTCAAATTACCAACTTCGAAAATGTTTCTTTATAACCGATTTTCTTTTTCATGTAGGATATGCACCATCCGGAATGGCACGCCAACGCCAGCCAAACAGTTTCACGAGAGAGATCTCAGAACTTCCACACTAGTTTACAACATCTGAGAATTAGCGAGAATTCACAACCTCAGTCAACATTGGTCTCTCCAGGGCAAGGATGGTCCTCAGCGTCCCATGTTTGGAATCGAGGTTTTCAGCCGTATAGAGGACAAAATTATGGCCGCCCTTCTTCCGTTCCTGAAACAATCAGCCGACCGTCTCGTTCTCATTCACCTATAATTCGGCAACCTATGGACACGATAGAGAGGCATGGACAGTCTCCTGCTTTCAATATGACTCCCGTGACAGGAACTGCAGTCCCTTCACACATTATAGGACAACATCGTCAGACTTGGGGAAGAGATGTCAACAGCGAACCGCTATTGACAGCCTCGACCAAAAGAACAATATCTGAATGCGAGGCTTTGCTTCGGCAGCAGCAGCGTCAGCGAGGTCGTGTAGCTATTCCTCCGCAGTACCGGGGTCAAAAATGGTAAAAAATTGTGGCTCGAAGAATCACAAAGTACTTATTTCTCAGCTCGTAGTTTAATTGTTTGTTTTTTGCTTAGAAATATCAATGCTGGTAAGAATCCAATGTAACCCTTAAGGCTTTTTTGTTTTGCTGCATTGCCCTCAATCAACATTGCTATTTGCACGACTCTCTTCTAAAAAAACCCCTTATTCAGTTCATCAGAAAGCAACTCTCATTTTCAAGTGTTCTTAAAGCCCGTCACACAACCATGTTTTCTTGTGCATTTGCTGTCACGCATGATTGCAGTATGGCTCCTTTTTTGTTGCTGGCCAACATTCAGGGATAGCCGTTTAAATTTGAAATCTTCGAAACAAACAGTTCTGCAAAGCATACACAAATATTTATGATTTCAATCCAATCCCTCTCTTCTTTAATGTTTCTAAATGATTGGAAACGTTGTTTCACAATCGCCCTAGAATTGTTAGCTACTTTGAATGTGCGAGCGTCTCATCATTACACTGTTGTCACGATTCTTATTTGAACGAGGCATGGTCCTAGTAACCAACCAATGTTGCAAACATTGTTTGATTTTGTAAGCAAGCAAAATACGATGGCTTAATTTCTTTGGTAGTGAGGAATATTTGAAGGCAGTTTGTTGAAGTATTTGCAGGGACACTATCATCAGGATTCATAGTTTTAAAAATCAGATTTTCATAAATGCATACCTTTGTTTGTTTTAGTAGAAGGTTGTCATACGAGAGAATTCTGAGTGATGTGGGGGATGCTATTAATGCGACCGTTTTGTTACATCCAATGGTTTAAACATCAAAATGAAAGTCGCTGTAGAATTATGTTTAATAATCAATTCAGGTAACAGGGAAACTTAAGAAGACTGCAATTGTTAAGTGGTCTTCATGGGGCATTATCAATCGTCTATTATGAAGAGAAGGAGAATATATACGTGGTTTTGTAATCTAAACCAGGCTAAATTCCAGAAACCGTGAACTTCTATGATTCAAGATTAGTCTCCTGTGATGACGTAGGTTTGTCCCCAGACTCCTCAAACTTTGACACTCCTGTATTTAGACAGAATTAACAGGCGTTGTTAATAGTCTGTAAAATTAACCAGTATTTAATCTGCATGCTTAATTCTGAAGCTTGCTCTGTCCGCGACTTTGTATTTGGTTGATTTGCTTCGAGTTGTTTATATTTTGTTATTAGCGGAAATATTGAAGTACTTGTTTTGGTAAAAACACAACGCCTAGATTAATTAGGATATCCATAGGCGTAATATGTTCTTAAGGAATTATAGCAGAAACGTGAATCTTGTAATTTTAGTCTTCTAGTAGATTGTAATGCAGAGAAAGTAGTTTTTCATGGTTCAAGCATGTTTTGTTACATAAATGTTTGCAAAAATAATTCTCGTGCATTTATCGTAAAATTTGACGTAAGACAGAATGCTGCTAAATGCAACCATGACCTTCTTTGAATGATAAGACTTTTGCGAGGAAATACGAGAAGATAATGTTGTCTTTCGATATTAAACATGCATAGGAAAGTCGCCATCAACCGTCTAGGGTAGAGAAAAACTCAGTGAAGCTTGTATTTAACACAAATGTAGGGGTGTCCAAAGGGCTGGTACCCGGAGCGAGGGCCTGCACTTCTACATAGCAAAAAAAATTTCAAGCTATACTCGTTTTTCTTGGTAACACTCCTTCCATTACAATGTTCTATGACAACAAAACTCCTCACCTGTCAATTTCCCCTTAAAAATTCAGTGTCAATACCCCATCAGCTTTAAATCGTTGCGATGTCAAAGCACTAACCCGTTGTAAGTCAAGATTCTTTAATAGATAAGATGTTCTTTATTAATTGATCACAAGCAACTTTGCCAGAACGAACAGATATCATTCTTAATTCATGAGGTGACCTTCGTCTTTCTCTCAGCTTTATTAACAGGATTTTCTCCTCTTTAAATAGAACTACGACATTTCTATGTAGCTTACTTGCTTTGGTAACCCTTTTATTCCACTAAGTTTTACAAAAGTTAAGACTGAATGGATCCTTTGCCCATCATGACGAAAATGCCAGAATAATTTACATTTAGAAGTGGTGCTGTTTATGATTATTTTGTCTCACGGTAGCCGTGCAAGGTATTCCCCATTTAGAACCAATTCTTTTGTGGCAATCTCCAAGAAGTTCTTGTTTATGTGATGGACACAAAAGCTTACAATTGTATATTGTTCCTACAGTTGAGAATAAAAGCTTTGATTGCTTCATTTCCTCCCCCATACTTCATTGAACTGCTCAAGTCATTGATGCATCCTTGTTTGTTTTCAAAATTATTCGTGTGATAAAACAGAAAATGCCCATCGTTTTGATGGAATCGTAGTTAAAATTTGTATTGTATCTAATATTTCAATGAGTGTTTTATATCTGTCCATGATCTTCTTAAGTATATGGAAGGTACACAGAAACTCGTATCTCAAAATATAATAGTTTTATGTTATCAAAGCAGACCGACGTGCTGGCCAGAAGAACTGTTTGAGAGATTTGTTAAAGGTAGTGTGTCCAGCTAAAGCAAGCGAATCTGCGGGGTTTTTTTAGAAACATGTGATTTTTCATGCCATCGCCCCAGTCATTACGGTCGTTTTGTTAATATATCCTCCTGCGAGGTCAGCTTTTCATGTAAGCAGTTTTGCATCGCAACAATACTGACCAATCGCAAGCCGTTATTTTGATGGGTGGCTTGACAAGTTGGGTATACGCAGTCCTTTTATATGGACACATTACCTTTAACGTTAAGACATGAATCACAAACCCGCAGGACATATCCTTTCATGTACGCCAAATTCTCGTTGGCAAAAATACTTTTCGCTTGAGAGCAAAGTCCACCAAAATCCCAAAAAATCTATTGTTCTAGAAAAACCTCGCACGCTGCATTTAACTCCCTAAAAATTTCATTGTTCTAAAAAACCCTCGTACGCTGTTATGGAAAAGTGATACACCCTGCTATGAAATCTAAATAAAAATAATGGCAAAATCAGTTAAATGTTGTCAAGTTTCGCTGAATTGTCGTCTTCGCTATCTTATGTTAAGTTTTTGTGTATGTCAAAGATAGCTTGTTGAAATGCTTGGCAATCAAGCGACTTTTAAAAATCCTTTAAAAATTTTAAGAAACTGAGCACTAATCCCGGTTCGAGTTTCGTTAAAAGATTGCATACAATATTCCCTCTAAAAAACGCCGCGGCATTTATTACAAACTCCAGATTTTGGATGCGGCGTTCAATAGAGGGCGGCGATCAATACAGAATGAAAAGTTTGTCAAATGGAAAATGACAAGAAAAATGCAATGTGAAATAAGATAAAAGAATGTCAAGTCAAGGAATGTCAATATCCCTGTCTCCGTCAGAGTCCTCGTCTCTATGAGATAAAAACTTTTATGGCTTTGGATTAGTAAGCGTTTAAACGATTCCTTATTTCTTGTTTGGTGTGTGTTCCAATGAACGCCGTTTTTCAAGATGCGGCGTTCAATAGGGCGGCGTTTTTTCCAAATGGTTGCCTGAAGGTGCGGCGTTCAATAGAGGGCGGCGTTTATCAGGGGGCGGCGTTCATTAGAGGAAATATGGTAACTTTAAATTTACACTGCATCAGTCGGATTATATCCGTCGGATATTTGTGTAAGTCAGCCAATTTTTCTAGTTTTTATGAATATGTATCACGTAATTTGGACTTTTGCCACAAAACCAACGTATAGGTACCGAATTTGATAGGGAAAGATCGTGAAATCTATTATTTATGTTTTTGTAACGCGATCTCTTCATAACGCTCGACAAAATGATACTGCTTTACTTGTTATACATAGGAATGACACAAATTAAAAGCATGTCTATTAAAAGCACGCCCTTCCCCCGCTTATTGAATTTTGAGAAATTTTCCAACCCCCTCCCGCTTATTAGTACCCCCGCTTATTAGTACCCAAAACTCAAAACTCAAAACATTTCATTCACAGCAATAATTAACTACTACATTTCTATTTAATACTTGAACCACAAATAACAATTATTTTTTACAAAAAAGAAAAACTACAAACAGTAGATAGTTCAAAGTTTGGTATTCAAAGTTTACCCCCGCTTATTCGGAACATAAGAGTATATAAAACCACATAACACCACATGTATCCAAGTGGGATCCAATGCCATTGATTCATGTGCACGAAAACATTGCTACCACTTTTGTTGAGTTTTTTGTGAAATCATGCGGGACCCAGAATGCAGTGCGTATAATTCGCGGGAAAATCAATGCTGTATTTAAACACATTCAGCAAATGGAAGGCAAGTCCAGCAAAATGCCGAGGAGTGAAGAGGAATTTAGCGAGCATGTTTTAAGCTTTTGACATTGTTCACATGTTTCTGGGTCTTGGAGACATTTGATTTTACTTCAATTCGTCGCTACTTCAATTAATGTATGAGCATGGAACTATCTAACGAGAATGGTACAACTTTGGTGGAGACACTGTTCATAGGCCAATGTAAGTTGATTCATAATTTGTTGTTCGTCTATTTTAGAATTGAGGAATGATATCGCTGGTGGTTTCATCAACAATTATATGTTTAACGTAAAAATGTTCAAATAATTTGGCCTTTGGCAACGCAAATTCTTATATTAGCACGGAAAAGCGGGAATATAAGAAAATGAAGGAATCTTCGTAGCCTAACTTTCACTTTTAAAATTAACAGAACTCGCAAATCGTTAACACTTTATAAACAAATCTAAGCTAAAAACGCTCGGTGATCAGAGAAACACAACACAATCCAATTCTCGTCATTGTCAAAGTTATTGCTTATTTTAAAAGAAGCTTATTTTACAAAGAACCATTTTAGAATAAACAGTTAAATTAAAAGAGCAGTTAGTACTAGAAACAAAATCCCTTAGAAACTTTTCATTTTTAATATTTTTATCATTGCAAACATTCAAGAACTAGGACAAATCATTTGGAAAAATCACATAAGTTGGGTGTTACGAAGGTAGCTCGAAGGGTTTCATTGTGTATTTTTTGATTGTTTTATTTTTCTTCTTGATTTTAATTTCCGTTGTGTGCAATTTACATGGCATCAACTTTCATGGCATGTGCAGTTAAAATATAAGGAACTATTAAGGAACTTTTACTACTAAAATCCGATCAAGAGGTCCAAAAATCCAATAAATAGGCCACGAGCTCGGTTCTTTGTAAAAAAACGTGTGTTAGATAATTATTTCTCAGTTAAATTTTCAATTACTCTCAAAACAACGCTGCTATCAACCTGAAGGTTAACACAGTAATGTTGAATTTATCACATCATGAGGCTTCATTGATAACATGATTAGAAAAGTTGATCGCATGATAAGCTGTTGATGATCACATGATAAAGTCACATTGATCACATGGTTGGCCTTGATTGAGCACATGATTGAGCACATGATTGACCATGATTGTTCCCACGGCCGTTGATGTCACTTTTGTGATCACGCTGATTAGCGCACTGGTTATTCATCAAATGGTTCCCTCGTTAACTTGTCATCAAAAATTGTTATCAAACACACGAGCAAAGAAAAATACAGACACAAAAATAAATCTTATTTAATAAATGAAAAACTGTTTACTTTCTTTAGAGCCATTGTTGGAAAAGGAAAAACTCAATAAGAAAAGACTGAAGCGAAATGTGCAACATTCAAAACATCGCTTGAAAAACCAAAACCAACGAAGGCCAAAATGGACGTCTATTTGAAATCGTGGGGAATGACTATTTGATGAAGAATCTTGCTGACAAGAAATGAACACAAGTTAGCTTTCGAGGTATGTTTCTTCTTACTACCAATTTTAAAATCCATTATATTATTGTAAAGTTAAAGCGTCCAAAAATGTTGCTGCTTCAATCACTTGTTTGAGTGTGTTTTGCCTATAAGAGGGAAAATTGCCTGATGATTTCATAGGTCGTGAAACTCGCAGCCGCAAGTTTAAACCGTACACGTCTAGCGGTTGTAGCGCTACCTGGACAGCATCGAGCACTATATAACAGACTAGTAAAACAGTAATTCCATTAAGAATCTTCTTGTATAGTTACCGAATACTTTACTTCGTTACGAAAGATATTGTCTTGACAGTAGCAATTGCGTGAAGGCAATAGGCGGCAAATCACGCTTGCTTTAGCGCAACTAAGACTTCAATGTCAGCGAAATTACATTTATGCTTGGCAGCATTTTGATCAGAAGATAGTTTTGCTAAGAAGATTCAATCATTGCATCAACTTGCGGGCTTCAGCACGCGGTTCGCGGCATCTGTGGACTGCGGTTTACGTGGTTTGCAGCTTTGTTTTTACGTGGTTTGCGACTTTCTTCAAACGTGGTTTGCGGCTTAATTTTTACGTGGTTTGCAGCTTCGTTTTTACGTGGATTGCGACTTTTTAAACGTTTTTACGTGGTTTGCAGCTTCATTTTTACGTGGTTTGCAGCTTCGTTTTTACGTGGTTTGCAGCTTCGTTTTTACGTGGTTTGCAGCTCTGTTTTTGCGTGGTTTGCGACTTTTTCAAACGTTATTTGCAATTTTCTTTTTTACGTGGCTTGCAGCTTCATCTTTACGTGGTTTGCGACTTTCTTCAAACGTGGTTTGCGGCTTAATTTTTACGTGGTTTGCAGCTTCGTTTTTGCGTGGTTTGCGACTTTTTCAAACGTTATTTGCAATTTTCCTTTTTACGTGGTTTGCAGCTTCATTTTTGCGTGGTTTGCGACTTTCTTCGAACGTGGTTTGCGACTTTCTTCAAACGTGGTTTGCGGCTTAATTTTTACGTGGTTTGCGACTTTTTAAATGTTATTTGCAATTTTCCTTTTTACGTGGTTTGCAGCTTCGTTTTTACGTGGTTTGCAGCTTTGTTTTTACGTGGTTTGCGACTTTTTTAAACGTGGTTTGCAGCTTCGCTTTTATGTGGTTGGCGGCTTCGTTTTTACGTGGTTGGCGGCTTCACTTTTACGTGGTTACTGTATTCTACTTGAAGATAAAAGCAGGGGGGCATGGAGCAGGGTCGGGAAGGACCCAAGATCCTTTTAACTTCCATCAGTCTTTTCGAGTCAGCGTATGATTTTATTGATTTGTTAAACACAACAGAGAATCTTCTAGAAATGGGTGCGGTGACGGGTGTGGCTTCTAAAAGTTGCCTACAGGAAAGCTCCTTCCTAACACTTAGGACGGCACCCCTGGACAAGGTTTGGAATACTTCATAAACGTCATCTCTATGGGTAAGCTCGAAGAAATTTTCACAAAGAAAATACGAAAAATTCGTTAAAAAACACCTATGAATACCATTGACTGCAAATAATTAATCCTATCAAAATTTTGATTAAAGTTCGTCTTTTCCCTGCAAAAAAAATAACAAGAATTTAATTTTGGTTCAAAACCTGATATCAACTCAATTGAATATAGAATCGCAATGCCAGAAATAACACCTTTAGATTTTGTATTTTGACCATACTATCTGAAAGAACCCTACAGCGAGAGTTAGTCTTGACTAACAGGTATCTGTGATTTTAGTAAAGAAACAATAAAAAATAACAGTGATTTGAAATGAAAAAGTTTATTTGGCTAATTCTCAGGCAATATTGGCCAGAATCGACTGCTATAAAAGATGCAGTTCTATTGTACAATATTTTTATATTCTAAAAATACATTTTTGTGACGTCATCAACTCTTAATTGTTGGTTAAAGACAGATTTATGAGTATTCTCATATCTTTGACATCCTTGAAAGAAACTTTGTTGATGAAAAATAAATATTGTCAAAATTTTTCGATCACAGCTCTTCATCAGGCGAGGTTGTTTAATGCAGAAGTTATTCTCGAAACATCGCATAACACTCATCTCATTCGATTTATATAAAACGCTGAAATATATTGTATAATCACATTTTGTTCGATCTGCATACAAGATTTAAAATCCATCTCACAAGTATTTTTGGTGAGAAAAATGATTATTTTGTTGTGGTGGGCTAGCGACACTTCATGAAAATCTCGTGCGCCTTTGGAAAAAACTCATTTTTAGGATCCAATTGCTTTGAAAAATCTTGTACGCTTTTTGAAAGATGAATTCTATAAAATGTCACAAAACAGAGGCAGTGAGTCTAGCAGAAGATAAAAACAGAAGACAAAGGCCTAGCCAGAAGATAAAAACAAAATATTGAAACAATACCTTTGGAACTTTATAGCATTCGCAACGGGAGTCGGCGTCACTCGGCTGGTCTACAAGCTCCATATCTTTGTGATACTTTGGATTCTGTTTTTGCCTCTTAGCATACTCCTGGAAAATAAAAAAATTTCTCTTAGCATATCCTCGAAAGTGTAAAGTGGCCTTTGGATTCTGTTCTTGGCACAACTACCATACAATAACTATAGGAATTATAAAAAAGGAAGGATAAGGGGCAATGAAATAAAATGAAACAAAGTCAAATAATCGTAAATTAAAAGGAATTAATAATAAAATTAAATGAAATTTTATAAAACAAAATGAAATAAACAGAAAAAGAAATTGAAATAAAGAAACTAAGCTCTAATGAAATAAAACAAAAAAAGGGTAAAAAATCATATATAAGAAAACAAGGCAAAACAAAATAAAATAGAATTATGGAAAATCTTACTACATCAATTCAATTCAAATTAAACAAAATCCCTATTTTGTGAGCTTAGGTCTGAATCACAAACTTGCATAAAAACTCTCTCAGGAATTTTAAAAAATAATAAAGAATTCGTATATAGTGTAACAGTTACACTGAATAGCTTAGTAAGAACATCATAAAATAAATGTTGCATCGTTTTTGGTTTTATGTACAGCTTGACAACACAATTAAGTAGACCGGACAGAAACGCCCAAAGAGCCGTTTGGCCCGCCGGCCGTAAGTTGCTCAGGTCTGGTGTAACTATTAACCGACCTCTCTATAGAGAGACATCTCTCAAAACCGGATAGATACTTTCCTGTCAAGTGGTCAAAACTCTCTTAAAGGAACCTCTATACAACGGAAACCCTTATACAAGAGACAGCTACACTGGTCGGAAAGGTATCCGTTACATAGAGGCTTAACTGTATCTAGTCACGATAACTTTCTGGTTTTTGTAATGTAAAACTAAGATCATGTAATCGATACGCCTAATACCTGAAACAATTGAATTCATATACCTGAAATAATATGGACATATACCTGAAACATCAGCACTGTATAGCAGTAAATAGATTCTGGCATCAGGTTATTTCGAGCATATGTCCTGCCAGCTTCAGATATTTTTCGGGCCTAGAAATAAACCTGATGGTTTATTGACCTGATAACGAACATATAGACTAAGAATACTAAAAAGAAACAAACAGTTCCAAAAATAATCCAACTTCACGGAGAAAGAAAATGTTTAATAATGAAACTGACTTTTTATACTGTTCCAAGAAAACTTTTTAGAAAACAGGTATAAATAAAGTTGCTTTGGAATTCTCCATTTCTATAACTTTTTGCTACCGCAGAATCTTAAATTGTACTTGCTTTATTAAAACAGTTATAAAGCCTTTCCACGCTCAGTCTAGCAGAATCCCAGTATTACGAGCAACGTTTATTACGAGCTTCTCGCTTTTACGAACTAAAAGTCTGGTCGCTTAGAATACGCAAGGTATAGCTAAGTCTTGGGATAACAAATTCCTCGATCCGGCTTAAAACGATCCTCGTTTATTACGATTTTCTCGCTATTTCGAACAAAAAGTCTTTTCTATGAATATTCCCTGTATAAGGAACTTCCGGCATTGCGAACTCCCGCAACTACGAGCCCCGCTCATTACGAACATATCGCCACAACGAACCAAATGTCCAGTGTCAGAAAATACTTTAGACTGAGCCTTTTTAAATTGGAAAAACTTTCGAAATTCATAGCAAATAACATCCCCATTCTAAGTTGAAGGTTTTCAACAAAACTACTTCCAATAATTCAAGAACAGTAGCTCAATTACTGTCTTTTAAAAATTGTTTGACTACAGCTTCTTCCCTTTAACGAATGGAAAAGCCGGAGGCTTTTAGTTACCAACCACCTCAGCTTCAAAGCGCTACTAATTACCCTCAAGCTCCAGTTCTGCTGCGTGCCTACGTGCCTACCTGATTACGTGCTAGCGCGCTATCGTGCACCATTCCCCACTAAAATCCCTGCAATGCACTGATAAGTTAGATTAGTTCGATCCACATTCAGATAAGCAGGATTCAAGCAATCGTAATCAGGTTAAAAAGATTGGACCAATCATGATTTGAGTTTCCAAGATTGAAAAAAATCACGATTTGTATTTCCTTGATCATGGTTTGGACAATCTAAGAAACACAGTTCTTTCAAACTGCATCAATCAAGACATGTTCAGAATGATTCCAAAACAAAAAAAATCGCATAATAGCTAAAGTCAAAGATTCATACCATCGACGTTAATAGTTATAGGAAGTTAGTATCAGATTTTAGATTACAAAGATTACAGATCATAGATTACAGATTACAAAGATAACAGATTACAGATTACAGACTACAGGCTATAGAATAAAGATTATAGATTGATGTGTTATAAAAAGAGATTGACCCTTGAACTTACCTCTTTATCATTGCTCTTTGCCCATATCAGTTGCTTTTCCAGATCACTGAGATCTCTTTTGAAGGGAATATAATGCTCCCAAGGCTTTAGGTCCTTGTAAAAATGTTCATAATAAGGTGAATCTTGTTTAAACACAACAGAATCGCCAATCAGCAGGTATGGAAATCTATAAGCCGCCACTGTTCCATCGATGTTTATCTGGTATTTGTACTAAAATGGAATATAACATGTCATTTATAGTACAGGATGCATACTACAATATTTCGATTTGAGACTACACTGAAGTTTCCTTCCTTTGCCCAACAAAGCAATGTTATTAGTGTGACTTGAGTAAAGGTAGATGGTGAATCTCAACTTCAAAACAAAATTGTCTTGTGTGGGAGACAGGCATTACAATTAATATTGCTTTATCGAAATAATAAAACTTGTGTTCGAGAAAACATCGGAAAATTACATAGGTTGTCACAGGTTTCAATAAATTTAATTGAAGCATTTAGGTTGATATAATGGCTAGTTGTGATGATGTTAAATTGTCTTATTGATCCACAACTAATCTTCACAATGAAACAAAAAATTCTAATATCTACACACAGCTAACTGCCACAAAAATATTCACTTGATTGGACGTTGCAAGGTACTACAAATAAAAGAACATACTCTTGAGTGCACACCCATCCTGAAAATTACAGGTTCTGTGAATATTACAAAAATTTTCGACGTATTTTTCTCAAAAGAATTCCAAAGGTTAAATGAATTCAAATGACCTTAAAAAAGTCAAAGAACGAAACCGTGTTCTTTGCGCCATATTTCTTTTCATCGTATGGGAAAAAGAAGAAATTTGACAAAGCAACATCGAAAAGATCTGTCTTCTTTCTTCCCATAACAACTAAATCAAGACGTTCTTGGCGACTGTCTCTTCCTCTAAAAAATGCTTTTGCTATTTTCTTCTTCCATTTTGGCCCAGTATTAGCTTGCACCGACATCATGTCCAGGGTTTGCCTGCAGAATAAATTTGATCTTAGCTTTTAATTAATCTGAATCAACAAATTAAAAAATGCACAGGCAAAGATGCATACTCTTAAGAGGTACTTCTCTCTCTAGATACTAAAGAGGTTTAAGCCACCAGTCCGCCATTACTTGGTAAATCAAAAAGCACCAATAGTTGATTGATAACTGGCTGAAGCCATTTGAGTGTCTCTCGATTGCCTTTAAGTCGATGTTTCAACTCTTTCATTAGTTTTGCATGCATCTTTCTCAACAGAAATATTGAATTCTCGACAGGAAATAGATAACATTTATTTATTAAAGGGTATTTTAAAAGGGATGCAGAAAGATGCATGACGGTCTGTGGCTGTAAACTTTTAGAATACAATGGTTTCATAACATCTCTACAGAAACAGTCTGTACAGCTGTTTTCACTAAACAAATAGTGCTGCTCGACAAATTTGCTTTTATGATTAAATGTGTTGCTGTTTTAGCAGCCCAATGCATAAAAGCTAAACACCGAAATTCTCTACGCTTTTTTTCAATGCGTCAAAATCTTTGACATGCGTTCGATTCTTCAGGCTACATGAACATTTTTTTATTCTTGCATCCATTACCTTTGTTGGTTTTTAGAGTTCCCAAATATGCTGGGTTATGATAGAGTTTTTAAGACATTTAGGTTTCAAGTTACTCGCAGCTAGGCCTTACTTGTCCGCCATTACAGAAATAATCCTGTCGATACAGCATTGCGCATGCAATCTTAAGGCGGTCTGTTTAGAAGTAATACCCAAAGTCCCGGAAGGCTGTTTATACCTTCAGTTCTCAAAACCGCTTAATGTCTGTGCTGATAAAATAAAAATGGTCGTGCTTAATAAGATACAATATTCACCTGCCAAGAGCCTCCAGAATCGACTGAGTAACGTCATACGTAGGCCAAACGATATCTGCTGTTTCATCAGAACCACACCATGATAAAATTGGAAGAGGATCACTCAAATTCTTTTCCAAAGGCCAATCACCAAGATTGGTAAAAAATTCTGCATCAGGAAGCTTTACCTATAAGGGAGAAGATCGTTAAAATATCGGACGTATGTGGTATTTCATTACATTGTATCCCGGGGGAGGTACTTCCATATTTGACCTGCCGGGATATGCCGCTCAACAGACCGTCCTTTTGCAGAAAAATTATGGACAGGGTGCCTTTTCTAGCAAAAATAACGGACAGCGTAAAATAATTGGAAAGGAAAAAACAGAACAATATTTTCTGTATACTTTTGGCAAAATATTTTAGCGACGAGGTATACTGTTTTGACATTTTATATGCGACAGATTACAGGGTGTGGGGCAGCTTTCCACCTAATCCTTCGTTAGTCAAGTAAACATCCCCCCATTCGGGCATTGCATCAGTCGGGATGCTAGTGGCTTGAACATTGGTTAGCACAACATCAAAAATCCTTCTAGGGCAAATCCACCAAAAATCTCAAGCTCTTCTGAATTTCCTTATGAACTGAAATGAATCCATTCTCAAATGGATCAAATTCGCAAGCATTGGCATAAAGACCAAGAACACTATGTGTTCTGCAGCCCCCTCCCCAATTTACTGTACCCCCTCCCCACACATAAACCGCCACCCCTAATATAGACGTGCAGGATAAAGGAAAAGCCTGGCTTACAGAAAATTATTACCAATTTTCTCAACGATTTCTCACTATCTTTCTAGTTTCTCATTCCTCGTCATGGGTGTAGCGGAGGCTAAACGTTTAGGAGGGTTTAGTATTGATCTTGCCCGAATACTGTCGATTCATTGCAATTGCCCGAAAAGGTCTTAAACTCTATAAATTTTGTGTAAACCCTCCCAAGCCCCTATGTCTTCTACGCTTAGGTCCCTTGTCTGAGAAATTGGTGCTCTGTCACAGCAAAGCCATGCTTGTCTTTTCAGGTTTCGAAAGAATTGTATATCAAGCAAATTTTGGCCACAGTTCTCTCAAAATGATGTGCTTTGCCATGATCTTATAAAGTCTGTCTGTTCCTCAATTCATGAAATTAAAATATACCTTGATTTTTTTGTGTTGAGGTTTCAAACTAGACCACAGAAATTCTGGTCAAGATCACAAAAAACAGATCATCTACTTCATCTTGATGAAATTTGTCAAAGGTTAAATTGAACTAAGAAGAAATAATCCCTTCAATGGTCTTACCAGTTCATAAAACCCCATTGCTTCTACAATTTTTATCTGCAAAATATATAGGTTTGCTTTTGAAGGTTTCAGTAAACTTTGCCTCAAGTTTTTCTTCTTATCTCAATTTGCAAAAATATTGCTAGAATTTTATATTTGTTTTTCAGAACATCTTTGTCAAAAGAAAAGAGTCATCAAAAAATAGAATATGCTCGTTAAAAACCTTTTTCCTTCAAAATGTGGGCTTTGTCACATTTGATGTTGTTTGACAACCACTGTTATTTGCTTGTTAAATGAATCTTTGATCTTACAGATTAAAAAAGAGGAATACAGTAGGCTCTGTTTATAGGCACAGCAAATGTTGCTCAAAAATTTGTGACTTTGAATGGTGTGTGACTGCAAGGAGAGCTAAATTGAATAGTTTGCATAATTGGATCTAAATTTTATGTGACTGTTCCATTTATTGTGACTTTAAATGGAATTGGCTTATAAATGTTACTGAAACAAACCTTTCGTAGAACTGACAACATAAAAGCATCTACGAACATTTTGAAGTCAGTTATTGAGCCAGGACACTTTCTATAAAGCTGGAAAAGTATAAAAACGTCATAAATAATATCAAGAGAAAATATTCCTAAATTATTGTAAAATCCATTAGTAAATAACTAAACAAAATGGAGATGAAAGGACTGTGGGAAGGAGAGTGAACCCAAATAAATGAGGCTACAAAAAACAGCTACTAGCTGTGGAGTTCAGCTTTATACTTGCTCTTAGATTAACACAAGACTCAATCCAACCTCTCTAGAGAAGGTTATGTTTCTTAAATAGATAATTAATAAATCAAATCAATCTATATAAATTTAGATTTCTGTCTTGGTGAGACCTCTGCAAAACCTTCTCAAAGGTAGATCAGGTAATCCATCAAATACATAAAAGTTGAGAAAGTATACACCAAGTAAATTCTTTTTGACATCACATTTTCAAAGTGTAGAGGTAACGAGCATGCACGCTTTTACAGAAATTGAAACAATGCCCAGTAGAACCTCTAGAGCTGTGACTAGACAGTGTTTAAAGGGGCTTTTAAAGATTTTCATCTTAATCCACATGCATCATCAAGAATAGCTACAACAAAGAAAAAAGTTTTAAATTATTCAAGAAAATACTCATATATCCTAAAGAGGGCAAATTAAACATAACTTAGCACTATCTATGATGTAGCATTAATATTGCCATAACATAAGACGTACCCTTCCGTCAATCAAACTGTAGTGACATACTGCACCACTGTCATATCTCTTGAAGCCTTCCATGCGTAATCTTTTCAGGTTGATACTTTTAAAATTTGCAAAGCCTCTTTCAATTTCTGGAAATGACTTTGGACATTTCATATCCTCCAACCATTTCTCTATGTTGGTCTCTGGGCAGTTGCATTGCTCATGGTAAATAGCAGCTAGTAATCAAGGCATCAGCATAAATTATAAAAGATATCATGATAATAAGTTTACACGGGGCCTTCACATTATAACTCATAAATAGTATCACCATTCCTACTACTTCAACAGAAATGCATAATATAATCATCCTTCGTCATCAAGATTGAAGTTATACAGAATGGATAAAGATGGATATATCATATTATCACAAGAAGGTATATAGCCGTGTTTGTCATGCTTGCAATGCATGTAAATTACACATGTGTTTGAGAATTTCACAAGGACATATTTACTGACATAGAGTGTTTTTTGGGTTGGAGCCCCCCCTAATAATTGTCAAGCTGTAGTATATTTCTTTATAACAGTGTACTGACTGAGAAGCAATACAATGGGCAGCCCATCAGTATGATTTTCATTTCGATGACACTGTGCTAAGTTTCAAAGTATCTGAAAATAATTCATTGGACCATATTGAGTCTCTAATCATTGCATTAAAAACATTGTTCAGAAGAGGAGAAGGAGATACAATTAAGCCAAGAGCCAAGAATTTAAGCAGGCATTGTAGCAATTGGAAGGCTTGCTTTGGACCAGGCTAGAAAACTTGCATATGCATGCAGCTACATTTGACCTCCAGTGCTGGCACCTTGGACCTCTTGTGACCCAAATATAAAAGGTAATGTATCCATATAATAGTACTGCGTATACCCAACTTGTCAATTAAAATGAAAATAACAGCTTGCATTTGGTCAGTATTCTTGCAATGCAAAACTGCTCACATGAAAAGCTAACTTCGCAGCAGGGTAGATAAACAGAATGACTGTAATGGCTGGGGCGATGACATGTAAAATCACATGTTTCTGAAAACCCCCATAGAGTTGCTTGCTTTAGCTGGTCACATTACCTTTATTGAAGTCATGCATAAATGGCTTTGAAAAATGCAAACATTTTATAACATAGGCTAAAAGCTTTTTCGTAAAAAACTAAATGTTTGATGGGCATTGTCACTTGCAGCTCAAATGCTTCCGCTGGCAGGGGGCAGTTGATAATGTGCCATTGGTTGCAGTGATGCATCAGCAAACCATACAAGTTTTCCAACCTTGGCTTTGGACAAAGTGTAACCATCCTTGTTTCAAAATGGTGATATATTTACCTTTCAGCTGATAAGGTGATTTAGCTATATGTTGATCTTTCCATTTCACTGAAATCTTCAAGTCATTGTATGTATTCATAATTCTAAACCTTACAATAAAAGATCCATCATTTCTGTCCAGTAGATCTGGCCACAACCTTACCCTGCCAGCACTGGATGAATATTCAACTTTTAGGTTTTCTTTTCCAGGGGATGATGTAAGGCTGAAAGATAACATGGTGCATCAGTAGAAGGAATTTTCCAAAACTGTCTCAGCATACTAAAATATGGTCTCCTTATTGGAAGGGTGATTTCTGCTAAGATATCTAATGCTCAAGGCATCAATGGATGCTTCTACCTGTGCCTAGGTGCCCTATAAGAAAGTGTGAAGCACTCAGAATTACATCTCAACATATGTTGTGAAGTAATCATAGTAACAGTTATGGCTCTTGCATAATTAGTCAGATCGGTTGTAAAGCCTTTAGGAGTTAACGATAGAAGATTGAAGATCAAGTTAGAGTCAAGTTAGTGCCCGAGATGGTGTTCGTGAGTAGTATGGTCGTTAGAGTGGAAGTTCAAGAATTATGCTATGCTTGTAAATATATGTTGCAAATAGTTTTATATGGAGTGGAGTTAGATTTGTATGAAATCTCCTCAATTGTGTTAAACTGCAACCTACGATTACAACACCATACTAAATTTCCTTCTTATGTTCCCAGATGCATACTATTGTTCTTTTGGTGGTAAAAAACTTGAAAATGGCTTTGAAAAAAGCAAACATTTAGTAAACTAAAGCTTTTCGTCTGACACTCTTCAGAGTCTATGTTCTGACGTTTTAAACTCTGAGGAGTGTCAGACGAAAAGCTTTAGTTTACTAAATGTTTGCTTTTTAAAAACCATCTATTGTTCTACCTTATAAGCTACATTGTTTTTGTTGCAAATTCTGTTGATACTAGTTTCTGGAATGCCAGAAACTCATGCAAAATGTGTAAGACTTAGTAGGTCTGGAAGAGAAGGTTAAGTGGTGGCTCCAAGCAGGGGTGTCAGGATAATATGAAATCATCTTGCTCTTCTCAAATGATCATAAATGCATTATGTAGGGTCACCACCCAGAGGTGGCCATTTTTTGTTTAAATATGTCACTGTGAGTGAAAATGAACACAATTATTTCAGCACTTACATGATGCGAAAGGGGGTGTTATGTAAAAAAGATTCGGCCTTAAAAAAATTTCTAAAAAAAAGAAATTTCCCAGGCCCATGCTAATTCTCCTACACTTCTACCTACTCCTGGCACTATCAGACTGTACACTTTTATTCCTGCGTGGACAAGTTCTCTTTTGAAATGTGAGATCGTGTGCCAAGAAATTTGTTCTGTCAATAATATCAAATGTTATTACCATTATTACATAGGAATTTTGCGGGGCAAATAAGTGAAGCACATAGAGGTGTGCACAATTTATAAATTGTGGCAATAAGTGGCGTGGCTCGACCCTCCAGACTAGGGGGGGGGGAGGTCCATCATTGGAAAACTTACTGACAAAGACATAGATGGAGAAGAATTTAGGTACTATTTCACCAACTGATAGATGATTTCACCGACAAACTAAGGATTTTGTAAACTACCTAAAGATTCACAGACGAATTCATGAAGAATTGGGGATGTTACAGCCCTCTACACCCCCCCGCTAGCTACGTCCCTGCGGGCACGCAACAGAATTTCCACTCGGGGCATGGCGGACGAGGAGGTCGATGTCTAAACAAATGTGCATCATGTTTGTGTGAACAGTGTCCATGTTTCTTAACGTTGGATGAAGTTCACGACATCAACTGATCTATCTGCCCACTGATAAGTAATATCGGTACTCACTTTTTGCCTTTGGTGTCAACCAGCTGAATGTAGAAATACCTCACTGGAAGAACTATATTTGGCTCTAGTGCTGGCCCAAACACTAGGCTCTTTTTGACATCAACTTTGGGTTTTGCTGTTAGTGCCAAAGAGAGGTATGTGAGAAGGAAAACAACGTTTCTTAATTTGCAATTTAACATTTTCTCGTTGAGCGGTGTTCCCGCCATTACGAAACCCACAACAAGCGACCGAGAACAACAGCAACAACATAAAGTCACAATCGCACCACACAATCACAAAAAAGAAGTTGTGACGTAGAGGATCTTATTATTAAATCTTTTATCTTGGCACAATTGCTGCAAATTAAATTTTTACTATTGGTGCATAAAAGTTCTTACCAGGATAACATGTGTACAATCAGGGCCGTCGCGAAGAAAGCCTTGTTGGGCGTAACTTTTTAGTCATACTGAATTACAACATTAGATGTTTTGAAAGTGTTAGTTTTAAAAGAGGCGTGAAGAAAAGAGAAAGATGACAAGAAAGCAAGGGTAGGGAAGGCTGAGTTTCTGACGCAGGTTTTGGAACAAAAGCAATTTCGGAAAGCTGGCTGTCTTTTGCAGCTGAAAAGCTGAAAAATTTCTTCCACAAAATAATTTTTTTTAAATTAATTGATTTATAAAAATGATTAGAGCACATCAGAGCTGTCGTGTCGCGATTCAATTAGATGTTGTAAGACAAAAACATATTGCTCCTTACATTGCAGACTTCATCCAGATGTCAAGGAAGGTGTACCGTGGGTTATGTTTGCAAAGAAACTTGTGGAAACACTGATGGATATACCTGTGAAGGTAAACAAACATTCTGAGAATTATGTTGTTAGTTTAGTTAATTTCGTGATTATCTACGTTCTAGGCATATCTATTTGCAATTTCTAAGCGGTTCCTTGATCTTATTTGTGCTTCGTCTTGGTTCTGATCTTCACAAAATTGTTGGATTTCTAGCCTGTCATTAGCCAGAGGTTCGCAATAATAATGGTTTTGTCGAAAAGCTAAAATCAAGACAAGAGGAAGCGAGGCTTTATAAAAAGGAACTGTTGCTAGGCCTCTATTTCCATATTCCATGTTTTCTTGTTTTGCTGGATGTCATAATACAAGTCCTTACTTAATCAAATTTTCGGGAAATTTATGGAAAATAGGAAAATTCGGGCAAGAATCCATTGACATCCCTCTCAATACTTGAAAATCAATAAACTCCTAAATTTAACAGTTCTAAGTTAATGATTGGCTTAAACAACTTAGAACACTTTCTCTTTAACCTTATCCAGTGGTGGGGCTGCAATGGCCCTCCAAGTGTGGGCAGTCCTCTCTCACTCTTCAAGACCTCTGCACATTGAGATGGAGCTGCGATAGTTCCTCTGTGTAATCGGTAAAAGAGAGGGGCGGTGCGGGTGAATGGCTCGGCCTCGGGTGATGGCTTGACAGTGTGGATCCATCCTAACCAATGAATGTACAAATAGCTTGGTCTGACCAATCATATCGAAGACCAGCTGAATTTGTGTCATCGTTTTTATCATCAGTTTTAGGTCAAAGTGATCATGAATACAACTGCAAACAATACGAGGATATTGCCTTTAACCAAGGCCTAATGCCCAGTGTAGCGATAGACACTCATTTGATATAAAATTTATTACTTCAGTGTTGCAAATGAATACTTTGTTGATATCTTTATAACTTATTGTTTGTGATAATAAATTTTTTCAACAGACATTAACGAGTGTTTGACTTCTCCTTGTGCTAATCGTGGAACATGCTCCAACACTGCGGGTAGCTATACATGCTTCTGTGGAATGGGATGGGTAGGAACACATTGTCAGATAGGTACCACATGTTTTATCTACGTATAAATTTAGTTAGGGGGAACTAATCTCTTTTGTTTTACCTGTGGACCAACCTCCCCTTACATTCCCCATTGTATGGGTACACGTGATTGCTTTGTTTTGTATCTAAACAATCCTTGTAACATATTTTTACAGAATTGCTTTGAACAATAACATCGATCAACTACCCGTGTTATTACTGGAGTAACCACAAGCAAGCTTGGAATCTCACAGCTGGTAGTACTTGCAAGATCGAAATAACATTTGATTCGTTTTTAACAGAGGAAGGTTACGACAAAGTTTCATTATGGTACGTAAAAATTTTAATTTGCTTGTCAAATAGGTTTAAATATAAAACAAAAATGTACAACTAAACACCTCCCTCGTTGATCTCTATTTTTCAAAGTCTATTTTCAAGAAAACATTTTATCTGGATATGGAAAACCAGTTGAACATGTAAATAATTTGGTGAGGTACTGCCAGCGATAAAATCAAAGTTTGCCAAGGAATTACATTTATTTTGGTTTGGGTCATAAAGTTATGGACAGAGTCCAATTGAGAGTGGTTTGATGAAGCGTTTGCGCTTTTAGTTTGTTCGTAACACATTTAACTGATTGTGCACATTTAGAGGTATTTCATGATGCCCTATCAGTTTATGTGCTCGTTAAGTTTAGTTCTAGGTATATATTTTTGGGTGATGTTTTCACTTTAGAACTGCAGTTTTAAAACAAGTCTACCATGATTAAAACTGTCACCATAGCCTGTTTTTGCCCTGGTATCTTTGAATCGTCCAAAATTCTGACTCGTTCTTAACATAACATGACAAGGTGGAGTAAAGCAAGCTCATAGAAATGCTTATAAAGGACCAATCAACATTTTGTCAGCAAGGGACAAATAATGACAGCATTCTTCATTCTTCAGACTAAACTTTTTAGTCCAAATTTTTGTTTCATACAGCAGCTCTTTTCAATTCTACTGTATCTTCTATATCAAACGAACCAGTGCTCTTCAAGAAAAGGTCTTTTCGACTTCATCTTGTCAGGCATTATTAAAATAAAACTATAAAGAATATTCGTTAACTTGATATAATATATCGAGAAATGATTTGAATTACTCGACGCTGTATGGTTTAAATCCATATCTAAGAAAATGTTGTTGAGTTTATGAGCACAATTGCAAAGTAAAGTGACTAAGTGTATTTGCTTAGTTGTAGATAGTAAATGAAGCATGGCACAAAATGATTTGTTAATCCTGTATCAAGTAGATCTATCTTGAGGAATTATATTTTTCTTGTTCTATTTCAATGTACATTTTGGCATTGCAAATATAGATCTTTGACTTAGGCAGCAAATATTTTGTCAGTCCTTGTCCTGATTTTGTATGTTATTTGCACTGAAAATTAGTTTGAATGTGTACCATCACCAATTGAAAATCTTTTTATTCACCTTTTTTCTCATTCACAAAGATTGGATCGAACTTTAGAGGAACTTGCAATTTTAGGAAAGTTAAAAGAGATTTTCCTTAAGGTTTACGGCGAACTCTTTCGAGTCTTTAAATCTGGTGACGTTCATATTGTTGAGAACTATCGTTCTATTTCAATCCTATGTAGATCGAAGAGAGGATAGCATCAACCATATTTACTCATTCCCAGTCAAGGAAAGATTGCTTCACAAGCTATAATCAGGGTTCAGAAAACTCCACTCAACTACGTCTGCCTTCCTACACATGATAGATACAAATTACACTGACATGGATAATGGTCTGTTACAGACTAATGCTAAACTAGCTAAAATATAACTAGCAAAGAAAATGCTAAACCAACTAGTACTAGTGTATGAAAGACTCTGATAGGTAAACGTAATCAGCTACTAAATAAATGTCGTTATTTTCGGTTGAATGAAATGAATTAGAAATAAACTTAGAGAGGCTTTTAATGCGGTGAACCATCAGATCCTGCTATCCAAATTCAAAGTCTTAAATTCAGATGTACACTTGCTACACTTGCTGTCCTCATACTTAGAGTGTAGAGCACAATTCATTGATTTCTATGGAAAGCCATGTCGTTCTGCAGTAATTTCTAGTGGTGTTCCTCAGGGCCCCATCCTCGGACCACGTTTGTTCTTATTATATGTAAATTACCTACTATGCCTTATTGATTCCCAAACAGTGAAATTTGCTGATGATACAACAACCCTGTCACATTGGCCCTCCAACAGTAGTCTTACTCCAATCATTCAAAAGGACTTGGACAGTGTTAGTCTATACTTTCCTATAAACTATATTGTTTCTAAACCTACCAAGTGTGTTGGATTCTCGTTGGAGCAAAACTTGGACTACTTTTTACATGTCAAGGATACCTGTAAAAAATAATTGTGGCCTCCAAATAATTAGATGTGTTAAACCTGTCGTGCCAGAGGGTAGTTTGATCCTTCTTGACAACTCTCTTATTCTAAGACCCCGTTTACACTGTCCCATGCAAGTCAAAACTGCCACGGTTCGCCCTTCGATTTACACTAGCACTATGGAACCGAGGCGATTTTGCTCTGCTATCCGGATCAGTTTTGACCCTGCTTTGAAAGCGAACGAATTTTGTACCTTCACGGCTCCGTTTTTGAACGGGACAGTGTAAACACCTATTGGAGACGATTTTGTCATGGATTCACAAAGAGGTCTTTTGTATGGCTGTTTCAAAGAATCGAGGCTTTGATTTTGGCGCAACTACCTTGTCAAATTCCTTATCGCCTTGTTAATTTCAGTGGCAGCGATTGGATGAATATCTATTGAGCAGCTATGATATTCAGCCAATAGAGATGGCTAACACCGTCTTTGCCAACGCCATTTACAATCTCTTCTCGATGGTAGTACTTCAAAACTCCTAAGGATAAAGAAAATTTTGGAAAAAACGACGACAGAAAAGGCTTGTATTGTTTCCCATTCCATGCCTTCTTTGGAAATTGCAGTTTTGTAGTCTAAAATAATACTGAGAATTAAAGCCACCTCGTCGTCCGTCCAAGTGAAGTTTTTATCGGCCTTCTTCTCCATTTTCGCTCTCAATACATTTTCGATTGTTGATGGTGGTGGCAAAATAAAAGCCTCGGTTGACGAAATAAAGCCTCCTCTAAACAATGTTCTACCATCGAAAGAAAATCGTACCAGTACTGTGTAAACGGAACGGCTAAATTAGGAAGGTCCCAAGAGCTTTCTTCCAATTTGTAAAGCCATTTACAACAAAGCATCGATTCGAATCTAAATGTCTTGCAGTGGTTGGCTTTGGCAAACCTTCATTTATGGCGCTAACGCAGACTTGACAAAATACCCGCTGCCTTTTACTGTCTTATGATAACCATGTGTACGTTTTCTTCCAGTTATCTTGGAGCTTTCTCGTTGACTTCCTTTCCTATTCGTCTAAGCCAACTTCAACCAACGCTGCTCCAGCTTCTCCTATCAAATCTCCAATATTTTCTTCTTGTTCTTTTTCTCCTACTGGCTTATTTACATTTGTTGGTTCCTTTTGTTTAGATCTTATCACAAATTTGTCCATAGCTGTTATCACGTCAGCAAAGATCGCACGTTGCTTTCCTCTGATGCTTCCAGCCTCTCTGAAGGATTGGCCTCGAGTTGGATCTGACCTTATGTTCACAATAATTTCATACTTTATTTTGCTGTAAACGCAATTGTCTAATGCAACAAATCTTATGCGTGAAACGAATAATATAAGAAACTAATCTAAAAATTGGCAAAGCACTTCCTTGTTTTCCAGGGGAGGGGTTTCAGCCCCCCTCGGTTTTCGTCAGGAGGGGCTGAAGCCCCAGAGCCCCCCCTCCTGAGTTCACGCCTATGCAGAAACATCAAGGACAAGAAATAGATGCAAGAAAACCTGCGCCATTACTATTTCCCCTGTTTCTTAAGTCTACGCACAAGCTTAGTAAACTCCTAAACGCAAAAGAGTTTCGTACCTTATCAACTAAGCGTACACATTTGAATAAACATATGTGCTTGAATATATGATGATCAAGTGAATTTTTTCAGAGTAAATTTCTCTAGGGGTCATGTAGAATTCGATTTTATTAGTGGTCCTTTGAGCTAAATTGTATTGTTCATATTCAAGCAATAAGGTACATGTTTTCATTCTTGCATATAAAGACTCTATGTATAAAACCTTTGTATGATATCGACGAGATGTTCTGAAGTTTGGGTTTTACAAAGAAGTATGATCCCTTGACCCAGATGAGCGCGCAGTTTTTCATTTTAAAAATTATGTTTTAACACGATTTATTCTACTTGCAATAAAAAAATATACTTCAAACCAAACTACCCTGCAAATGCAAAGACAGGCTCTTTACTGCTGTTTTAATGCAGCTTGCGAAGTTTATCGCTTTCTAGAGATGTATTCCCATCCCCCCCCCCATCCCTTTGCTGTTTGATGAATTTCAGATTTTGTTAACTTTCCTGAAAACATACTATTTTTTGAGATGCGACTTTTTTATAATATGCTAAATAGATATGAGTTGAATTCAATCAAAAACCAAAAACTTCTGATTAATATTAGGGAAAAAAGACATCTGATATGAGAAGAGTGTTTTGTAGTTTTGTATTATTCAAAGTGGTCATCAAATTGGAGAAAACTGTAAAGCAAAATATTTCATCGTTTTGAAATACATTTGCTAAAATGTCACTAAATGGCATTTTAGCTGGGTAATTTTAAATAGTATGAAATGGAAATCATTTTTTGATCTGCGTATTCTATATTAAAAGCATGGATCTTGGAACATTCTTCTTTTTAGCATTTACTGAAAGGAAGTCTGGACGTGCAAAATTGGTTTTAAAAATCAGCAATGAGCAGGTGTCCAATGGGCAAAGTGTTCAATTGACAAAGTGTCGAATGGGCAAGTGTCCAAACATAAATGTATGGGAAGATCTGACTTCTGTGGATTTTAATGTATTTGTCAATGACTTATTTCTTATCAATCTTTAGTAAGATTTATGTAACTTTGCAGACGATAACACGCTATATGCTTGTGGCGTGTGGCCATTCTTTTGAATCAGTCGTTTCAAAACTTGATTACGATCTTAGAAATAATATGGTTGCAAACCCGGGAAAATTCCAATTGATGTTTCTAGGTATGAAAGAAACTGAACACGTGCTAGTGACAAAGTGAAGTTACAAAGAGTTACTATCGATAAAAAGCTTATTGATAACAACTTTTGCCAACACGAAGAGGATTTCTGCATGAAAGTTAGCACAAGGTGAAAGCATTCTCTAGATTGTCAAATTATATTAACAATAACGAAGCAAATATATTTATGAAGTCAAAATTCAACTACCGCCTTCTGATCTGGCTATGCTATAGCAAAATCTGCGAACAATAACATCAATCGAGTACATTAAGGGCTAAACGTGCTTTAATGATTTTGAATCAGGATTTTGAATCCACTTTGGAAGAGCTTCTATCGAGACATGAAGATGTTACAATTCACGTAAAAAAACCTACAGAAACTGCTATTAGATGTTTGCAAAACGCTTCAGCACCCAAACCCCTCATATCTCTAAAGGGAATTTCCAAATACATAGACTACAACCTATAACTTATGTAAGCAAGTTTTATGCAAACTTCCTCAGAGGTCGCACACAGTAAGACATGGAATAAATTCCCTATGAATTAGAGGGAAAACGCTGTGGAAAACCCTAAATTATGATACAAAGAACCTAAAGTCTGTTGCAGCTTTTACATGAAGACTTGGGATGGAGCCTGTTGCCTCCGTATAATTTGTAGAGAGACGTACGTATTCCTTTTATCAGTAGTTGATACATATATAAATACTAGGTTTATTGTAAATATAGCAAATAACAAACACCGCAATGCGACGAGAATGAACAACAATAAATACACGTAAATCAATGAAGGCTAATATTTCGCCCCCGCATACGGGGCTTCATCAGAGCAGAACTCCTTTGAGTCCGTCGAGAAGACAGCTATTGGGATTTTTTATTTATTCACACATTTATTGTAAATAATCTGTGAAAATTGGGATTTTTCAAAAAGGTATAATGTTAACAACTGTGAATAAGTTGATGATGATGATAATGCTGATTTTGAAAACCCATGTTGTGAGTATACAGGGGCGACAACAGAAGGAAATATATGAAGTTGATAGGGGACCAGAGACCTTGCACAGAAATTTAGATGCTACACTCTTTAACTGATTGAAACCCCCTTTTCTTAACACTATTGCAGAATAATAGCAACGAAATAATTACCTTAGCTTTATTGTCCTTACAATCTTTTTCTTTTATAAGAATATTGTTTACAGGAATATTCAGACACAGAATCATCTTAGTCATCGAAAGTAATTTTTGAATAAATGGAAAAATGTCAATTTTACAAGGCTTAACCCCCACATTTTTTGTAGATTTTCAGAGGAATAAAATCCATAGTTTTATGAGATGGAGGCTAGCTGAAAATAATTGTGCTGGGGAGAAGGCTTGCTGGAGAGCATAATGTAGCGAGGTGCAAAGATGTACAGGGGTACTTTTGAATAACAGTTCGCTTGCCACACCAGTTGTTTCTGGTGTTTTTCTAAAAGGAAAGTTAGTAATCGAAGCGAATAAAGAAAATTTATCTATATACAATAATTGTTCTGATTCTGGTAATTCGTAATATGGTCATTGAATATTTGTTACAGTGGCGGATTTAAGAGGGGGGGGGGCAACTAGAAGCTGTTGCCCCTTCCTCAACGAGTTGAAGCAAGTCTGGCACCCCTTTTTGGAAATTTTGCACCCCTTTTGAAGAATGAGAATCGGGTGAAATAGTTTCTGAGACCGATAGGCTAATATGCTTCAAGGATTACCTCAAAGTTATGTTGTTTATTCTGAAAATAGATCTGATATTGTTGTATACAGCGTACTCTCGTCACCATTTTTTGAAAATTTTACAGCGCCCCTGATACCGACTGCTTCTCCTTCAAATTTGCCCTGGATCCGCCCCTGATTTGTTGGATAAAAGCTGCTAGAGACAGATCAGCAGAACCAACACCTCATTGAGCAAAACTTAGAATCTTCTTAGACCCGTAGGGGCAAATACTTGAGGTAATTATATGGTATTGCAGTCTGTTAAAAAGAAGGGTTATTTATCTAATAGGGAGTTCTGCTGTATCATCATTTCTTCCGTTAAGACATAACTTTTGAAATCGTCTTCTATTGCCTTGAAAACTCAGAATTAGGGTCTTTCGTAGATCTAGGCCCAGGAACAGCGCCTTAATCATATACTTGTTCCAAATAGTATCAATCATTCGTTGTTACGTAGTTTCAGTGCACTGGCGATGGATAGCTTTAGATCATCTACAAGGGTATCATCAATTCTTTGGGGCCCTCTTTCAATTAACACACCTCTGATTATCCAACTCTTCCAGCTTGTAATTCATTTACTTTGCAACTATATCGAAACGGCCTGAATCTAGCAATACAAACTAAAGGGAAAACCAAAAAAAGACACGATATACATAGTTTGTCTTTTTCATAAGTCTTCTTCTACGAAACTTCCGTTACGTCTCCCTTACCAATCATTTATCAACAACTCTTCTTTCTTCTGTTCTCAAATATCCACTTCTGTCAGTCAATTTCTCTCCCCGCTCTCTAACAACACGTGACAAAATAAGTAGGTTCAAGTCCTCTCACATCTCCACATGTGTGTTCTTACCCTTCTTAACATCCCATTATACTTTATCTGATTCTCTTGTTAATCCAAAAGCTATTTTTGTCAGTCCCATTTTGAAAAAATTCACAATAACAATAGCTCTGTGTATTGAAATCAACTGTGACTCCGTTTGCTTCTGGGAACTGATACATGCAACTTGAAATGCATCCACTGCCGCTCTTTGTTCCAATGATTGGGATATCTATCCCTCCAATGCCATCACCAAAAGTCCATCCTTCTGGTACTATGGAAAACCACATGATATTTTAATTTGTAGTCAGATTGATATCATTGGGGGGGGGCTAGAGACTAGGGGGTTAGAGAATAGGGGGGTTAGAGGATGGGGTGGGTAAGAGGATGGGAGGGTTAGAGGAAGGGGGGTTAGAGGATAGGAGGGCTAGAGGACGGGGGTTAGAAGATAGGGGGATCTGACCACTACGGGGAACATTCAAAAAGTTGTTGAAAGTTCTGTAAATGTTTTTCGGAATGTTTATAGATTTCTTAAAATACTTATACAGATACTCACAGAAATCACAGAGATACAATTTTTGTTTGGAGGGGGGAAGCCCTGATAAGTCAGTGTAACAGCAGCCATATTTTTAAAAATAAATGTACTTTACTTATACAGCGTAAGTTTTTTTTTGGGGGGGGGGGGGCATGCGCCCAGCAAAACTGTTGAATGTACTTACCATGAGGCACCAATGTTTCGCAACGAGGGCCAGTGTATCCTCTTGGACAAATACAATGGTTTCCTGAAGCAAACCCTATAGCATGTCCCTTGTTTCTACATGGGTTAATGCGGCATTCCTCAACAATAGGTTCAGCTAAAACAGAAAATATTATAAAATTTGTTAAGAATTAGCTGAACTAGGATCAAAAATGGCATGCAGTTGCGCTGTTTATTGCTTGAATTATTTCGTCCACCAAAACAGTCGTATCATTATAAACAAAAAAATGTGTCACGCTTGCTCAAATTTCGCTGCACCTCGAATTCAACGTGCAAAATTATCAAGGGAATGGCAAGAGTGTGCGTTTAATGACTGACTCTGAAAATATGCAGTCAATAAAACGAAAGTCTTGCTCTACTATTTTTATACTGGGCTAATTCTGTTTTAGTGGCAATGAAAAAACTTTTAAAAAAATCCATTCTCCGTAACGTTCCTAAATCATGTAATGTAAGTCACATCTGTAAAATGTAATGGAACTACTGCTTCACATATTGTATCACTATTGTACTATTTAAAAAATGCAAACGTATAGAGTTCTTAAGTGATGACGTACACGATATTACAATGTTAAATCTTTTGGACACTAATACACGAAGGTTAAAGGACTTATTCTAAAGCCTTTTCGTAGTTGCATACTAAAATATAAGCATTTTGCTATTTTTTATGTACAGAATTTAGTTTACATAACCGTCCGGAAAGGTCGAAGAAGATCAATCTCCAGAAAAAATAGTTATATTCTAGTGTTTTAACCTCCAAGGTTTTTGCCTCATGATACGTCGTCAATTTAAATTGTAAGTATTATTTTATTCAATCTGTTACTTGATTATACTATGCAATTCTGATTAATTTACTAACAATGACATCTTTTCTTCTGTATTAAGGAATATTATTCCTTAGCGAAAAGTTATGTTGATTTTTTATTTTTAGAAGATTTTCCATTCATCATAATTACCAATTTAGGCTTTCAAGAGCCTACAACAATTTTTGCCTAAAATTGACAAGCACAGTTTCAAATAGCATACACGGCCTAAAGTACAAGGATACCGTGTACGTTGGCAATACACTTGATTGCCATTTCGATATACTGAATCGCAAAGGGAACGGACACTGATAGCTGGGCGCAGTCCGCACTGATCACATTACGACTTCACTGGAGCATGGATTCGTTTTTTCACACTGTGATTCCTATCTAAATAAAATAGAAAACAACTTGCTTTGAATTTGAAACACGTTTTCTTGTGCGCAAATAAAGAAGGGATTTGATAGGATTTCGTGCAGCAGAATTTAGCCCCAGCCAGCATGTAACCGGGTATTTTCTGAATCATGCAAAAGCTCTTCAATGCGAGATATAAAAAGTTTGCGTCACACACGTAGCGTGTTAACACGTCGAACTTCGCCAGCCCGGCAACGCATTCGGAGCAGTAGTAGTTTTCCATCTTTCGTGATGTCGTCTTAACAAAATGACCTAGGGTTAATGACATAATGATTTTTGAAAAAGAACATGACCCGTGATAAATAGTGACTAGGGTGAAAAATTTAATCGCGGAAACGATTTTTTACAGCCTTTAAACCTTACCATAAAGCCACGAGAAGCAGCGGAAATATCATATCCGGATCTTTTCGATTAATGATATTTGATTCTGCGCATGCAAGCAAGTGGCTGCCTTTTTTACAAAATAATGTGCGCTTGTTCTTTCCAGAATCATTCATCATATTTAAACGACAGTTTTCTTTGGCTAGGCAGATGCATAACATTATAGGGGAATGTAGTCATGATCTTTCCTGAAAATCGTTGTTTCATTGAGACAGGAATTGACCGAAGGAAAGCCTAGAATGAAAATGTAAATATGTTTGACTAATTAGGGGGCTTGCAACCCTCGCCTATGGAACAGATGGTTTAGGTTCCAAAACACTATAATAATACCAAATTAGGGCTCAATCAACAAATATCAAAAAAGAAAATATAAATGACAGGGCGTATTTAAACTGATCATTATAGGGAAACAGTCTAAATACCATGAACAAACAAGATGTTTTAATATTTTTTGGTTTTTTCAACAACATTATCAGCTATAATTTTTGGGACCTTGTTTAAATTTGTTTTTATAATTTTGATGGGATTTTGAATATCTGTGGATGATTCACCCCATCGTATAAAAGTTTTGAATGACTCCCCTGGGGTTTAGGTCTTGTGCTATTGAACAGCTCCTTAAATAATGGCGCGGTGCTTGTATTAAAGAAAGAACCTTAGTAGACGTACCAGCCGACTGGATTGGTCTGTAGCGAAGTGAATCCAGTCGGTTTTCTGGATTGGACCGTCATTCGGGTTTTGCATGAAATTGTTCGCTATTGAAGCTGGGAACAGTAGTTTTCGCTTGCTGAGTTTCTTCTGTATTGGACCGATGTGCATTTTCCGCGTCAAAAGCGCAATGCTTCTTGCACTTCATTGAGCATGGGTCAGATTCTTCAATAAATGGTTTTCCAATATATACCGCATGTTTGATTATTGTAAATCTGCTCCTCATTTATGCATGGAAGTCTTAGGACACGCATTTAGTGACGGAGCACAAGCTGAAATTTCTGAAAATAAACATACATTCAATTCATTTTAATTTGCTTTAAGTTCTGATTTTGTACTACATTTTATTATCGTCATCTTATTGCATCGTATCTGACTGTTTTTAGTATTATTACTCCTTGCAAGATTCACGAATATGCGGTAAGGCATTATCGACCCCCCCCCTATGGTAAAAAAACTTTCGTTAAGGAAGAGCTTTTCTTGTGTCCTAAAGGTTGTGGACTTCCTTTCCCTGCGTTTCAAATCGCCTTTGCCCTCGTCCCATCTTACATCCTGGCTACGTCCTGGTCTCGCTTATTGATCTGAAAGGGAAACAAGAAAGAAAATGGCCCGTTTGGAAATGGTCAATCTCTCT